TCTTGGGTTTGAACACAATTTTCTACCATCTTCTTGGTTCTTTCGGTAAAGTCACGTAGAATGGAAATAATAAAATAATAAAAATACAACATAATAAAATAATTCTCACGACGTTTCGGCCACAACGCAAGCTTTATTTTTATTATTATAATTTTATTATTTCCATTCTACGTGACTTTACCGAAAGAACCAAGAAGATGAATCCCTGCAGTCACGAAAGATTTGAATCGAAATTTAATTTTCTACCACTTGTGAATCAACGGCGTTCTCCGGCGCAGCCAGTTGAGCTTTAGCAAGGGAAACAGAAACATTCTATCCCGATTTCACCCTGAGGAGGGAGAAACGGCCACGTCATGTTCCGCTGACGGTCAATGTTTTTACTTCGACCCGGTTTGCGAGCGGAGTCACAATTAGCATAACAAAGGCGATTCCCCGGCGCTAATAGGCCCATGCTGTCCAAGCACTGCATAATAACGGGTAATGAACTAGCATTAACCTTTCCCCTGCTAGGGCAACGTGTTCATTTAGCTGCTGCTGCCTCGCCACGAGCGAAGGGGGCATGTGGGATGTGGGTGCAAGAGGAATGGGTGGTGTGTAAAAAAAAAAAACATGTTAAGTAACTCCAGAAGATAAATCAAGAGCCCGATTCTGGCACTGAAAAACTTTATCCCCGTTCCTATTTTAACCCGCGCCCGGGTTCCCAGTAAACAACAGCACCCTCTTTGTCCATCGGCACCAGGTATCCCGCAGGCGTGTAGCACTAAAATGTAAAAGTAAAAAAAAACGACGCTAAGCTTGGCACGAGCGTGAAGTCATGCGAGTCGTCGGCATTCCGGGAAGCGTGGGCGACGAGGCGAGAGGCCACGTTTTCACAGAAGCGAGCTCGAGGCACGAGAGATTTGACGCGTCACGGTGGCTAGAGATGTTAACTACCTCGCCTGGTATACAGGAGGGGGTCGTGGGTTCTATCCCGCTGTATATTTGAAGCTTGCATGTTCTTCCTGTGGTCGCGTGGATTTTTCTCGGGGTCATTCGGTGTTTCCCTCCCCTTTTAGAAACATGTGTTTAGCACATTTGGCTGCTATACATTTCCACGTGACGATAAGCCACTTCGTTTTCTTGGTTCTTTCGGTAAAGTCACGTAGAAGGGAAATAATAAAATAATAACAATAAAACATAATAAAATAATTCTCACGACGTTTCGGCTACAACGGAAGAAGCCGTCCTCAGGTGAAGAATGAAACACCACCAAGCTTGGAGCGTATATTTGTCAAGGCGCTCTTCTTCCCCCTCCAACCCAGCTTAAATATACGCTCCAAGCTTGGTGGTGTTTCATTCTTCACCTGAGGACGGCTGCTTCCGTTGTAGCCGAAACGTCGTGAGAATTATTTTATTATGTTTTATTGTTATTATTTTATTATTTCCCTTCTACGTGACTTTACCGAAAAAACCAAGAAAATGAATCCCTGCAGTCACGAAAGCTTTAAATCGAAAGATAAGCCACTTCGTTGAGCTATCATTCGTGGCCAGGTCGCTTCTGTTAAAGAGATGTTTAGCTCAGTGGGCCTTACTTGGTCAAATAAAACGTAGTTTAATCTCGGTAAACAGTTGACATGTTCGGTGCGGTGTGTAAACGTCGCCACTAGGGAGACAAAGGCGGCCGGGCGTGGTTACTGACCACCCACCCCCTCGTGTGCCGTTCCCGGCCTTCATAGGTGCTGCTCGCTAACAGCACTTGCCCCAACAGCCACATGGGTGATCTTCTCTGTCTTTGGCGATTGAACACAAGGGATGTGGATGAGACGAAACAGTTTCTGGCAGACCGAGTCCTCAAACAAGGGGCCGTCCATAAATGACGTCACGCATCTAGGGGGGGGGGGGGTCAGACATTTGTGACGATGTGTGACGAGGGGGGGGGGGGGTGAGAAATGTGACGTCACATCAAAATGCGCAACTTTAAATAAATATCGACAACACGTTCTACTAAATTAAATATACTTTTTAATAAAGTGCAGCACCACATTAAATACGCACTACAATGACAATAGTTTAAAGCGATTTGAAGCATGTTTTATTTTGGGGGGTGGGGGGGGCAGAGCTTTGTGACGTCATATTTGAGGGGGGGGGGGAGGGGGTCTGACTTTTTGTGACGCCGTGTGACGAAGGTGGGTGGGGGGGTCAAAAATCGTCCAAAATCGCGTGACGTCATTTATGGACAGCCCCTGAGACGAAACAGTTTCTGGCAGACCGAGTCCTCAAACAATCAGCGAGCGAAGCTCACGGGAACATCATTACCACGTGTGCGTCAAAAAACACAAACACACCACCGGATTCTAGATTTGAAGTTTTCGTGAGTGCAAGGATTCATATTCTTAGGTTGTTTCGGTAAAGTCACGTAGGTAAAAAAATTAAATTAATAAAGGTAAAATAAAAAATAAATAAAAAATCACGACGTTTCGGAGGCAACACAAGCTTCCGTCTTCAGGTGGAACCGTCACAGCCACGACAGCTGTATCAAGTAAATGAGGGATTACAGGAGATACCACTCCATATATAATGGTTGAGGGGGGCAGGGCCAGGAACGGCACACTTTTTATTAATATGGTAAGGTGAGGCTTAAGACTAAGAATAGACTGCATAACAAATAACTGAGCCTTTGTTATGGAGCAGCATGGCAGGACCTGTGTGTGCGTCCCATCTACGCAAGGTCGTTTGAAGCATGAGGCAATACGGCCGCTACACAAACAGCTGAACACGCGGTGAACCTAAAATTGCGTTCTCTGCCCATCTAATCAGTCGTCATTCATCCCAGAAGGACGCCGTGTGAATGTTCAATGCCAAGCCTGAGCGGGCAGCGATTTGGGCGCTATCATAATAGACACTGCACGAGTTGATTGGCCATGAGACGGCATGGCTCAGGATTTCTACCTGACATTCACACGTGCTGGTTATTTCTGCAGAGTGGCTTTGGCACGGAGAGACATTGCAAGGGTTAATTGCTCCACTATCACAGCATGACCTTATTATAAATGTGACTAAATGAGAAAAGCGTTCCATAAAAAAAAGAGTGGGATGAATTAAAATGAAACGATCCTCTTTTGCCTTAGGTCACTGGCAGGTTTTCAGCGTCTGAGAAGCTAATTCGGGAGTGTTTTTTCCCCCAATAGGAACACGGACGCTGTGGCCATCAGCACAGCAAAGTTATACTGGTAGGAACCTCCTGGTTACACCAGCCCACAGAGGATTATTGTGTCCGTCCGTCCGTCGTGCATCCAAAAATGGGAGGGGTGGGGAGGGGCTGGGTGGGGGGTAGGGGTGGGAGGGGTGGGGCTGGGTGGGGAGGGCTGGTCACCCCGTGGTGCCCTTATAAAACTCAACGTTTAACCTACTCACGCCGGCTTGTGCCCGCCCTCACAGTCGGCCGTATTTGCGGAATACACCACGCCGCCGTTGATCCTGGCCATTGACCGAGCAACCCAACGTTCCTACCAGCTCCCTCCGCAGGACAACGTGTTTATTATTGTTTGTGGAGCTATGACGGCACGACAAGTGTCAGCATGAGACCCAACCTCTCGCTGGAATATGGCACCCTAAGAGGTCCATTTTCATTTGCGATTAGAGCTCCGTCGTTCATCTTGCTGGAAAAAGGATGCGATGTTGGAGTTTGGGATTAAATGTTGGGTGAAAAGGGTACTGCCCCATGTATGCAGGCATTGAAATAACACATTTGAAGCCACTTGGCCCAATATATGAAATCAAATTCTAATTGACCTGAACGGCAAGCTTACAAACGGTTGCTGTAATTTGTAAGGCGCAAAACGATTTAAATGTTTAATCAATTAGTGCCTCTGATGCAGAAAGAAGCTCTGTATTATTTTGTTACAAAACTTACGTGTGAATAAACCATCTGTCCGAGCGTGACTTCGTCATCAAAACTGACACACAAATAAAAAAAGGTGTCAAGATGTTTTTTTTTTCTTCTGGTGAATCCAAAGGGTTCACTGTGCTTTGCTTGTAAAATTAATGGTTGTAAATACTGTACGTGTTCCAAATTTCGCTGCGATAGATGGTATCAGGTAAAGGCGGGTTGCGATGTGTGCGACACTTTGTGCTGGACGGAAGAGGGCAGGTTACCGACAGCTTTAGTGGCCAAAGGGGGGGAAATTTGAAGCCAAATAAATGGTGGCCAGAGGCACTCATGGATTAAGTTCATACAATTGAATGTTTCAGGGCTGACAATTGTCAGGGACAGCTTTTGTAAGCTTGCCAAGCAGGACATTCAGAATGTGATTTAATGTCTTTGGGTCCAAGCGGATTAAAATGTATTACTGTATTTCAATGTGTGCATACATGGGGGCATTAAACCTATTTCACCCACCGTTTAATCGCCGTGAGAGAGGACCTTGAAGGTCAGGTTTAAACTTTGCAAGAAACACGGAGCTCTAAGCAGGCGGAAGCATGCGATAGCGAGGCGTGGTGGTAGCAGCAAACGCATTGGCCATGATAGCATTCATACTCTTAGTTCTTTCGGTAAAGTCACGTAGGTAAAAAATGAAATAAAAATTAATAAAAAATAAAACAATAAAAATCACGACGTTTCGGAGGCGTCTTCAGGTGACGGAAGCTTGTGTTGCCTCCGAAACGTCGTGATTTCTATTTTTTTTATTTTTATTAATTTTTATTTCATTTTTTACCTACGTGACTTTACCGAAAGAACTAAGAGTATGAATCCTTGCAGTCACGAAAGCTTCAAATCTAGAAATACATGATAGCATTTTCACTTCTGATTATCAATCTCAAATTGGACACGGTGTCCAGTTTTTGAGTGATAATCGCTCAAATCCCATGGAATAAAATGTTATGGCGATTAGGCATAATTCTGTGGTGATGTTACATGGCGATTGTGTTGCGTACAATAAAAAAAATATATACGTTTTCACATTTTGATAGGCAATGCAAGTTTTAATTATATGTATCAATGAGTTCACACCACTCTGATATTTCCATTATAATCCTTTATTAGAGACCAGAATTAACATTTTGAAGAATGACTTTTTATTCAAGTCTTCAAACTTGCTGATTTCACCATTAACCCAAGTGTGTTTATAACAAGTGTACATGCAGCAACTGAAAAAAGATTTTAATAAAAAAATGTTACTATCAAGTTCTGGTTTACCATTTAAAATGTTATTGAAAAAATGATCTCATGGTGATGGTACATTTTCCACGTTATAATTATGTTCACTAAGTCAAAAAGGAACAATTAAAAGGGTTTTGTGAATAAGACTTTAAAATGCCATCGACGGAGACGTGACATTATTTTCAGTAGCGTAACTGCCATCACTAATGTAATGACTAGAACTTTAAAATGTGTTTCCAAAATAAACCCGACATTACAGTTGCTTGGGTGTGACTTTTTCAAGACAACAGCTAGTGTTAAAAAAATTTCAACAATGCCTGCCTCTGTTAGTGATAACTTGGGGTGTAACGATGCATCAATTAATAAATTAAATGAATCCCTGCAGCCACTAGAGCAGTGGTTCTTTACCTTTAACGCAGCCTTGCACCCCTTTGGTTCTCAACCGTAAAACTAAATGTATAATAATTATTACATGGTTCTTTGGGTAAAGTCACGTAGAAACAAATTATAATAATTACATAGATTTGATGAAACAAAGTAGTTATTCTTACATGCCCGTGCTTAATTTGTTACGATTTACTTGCAAAATATATCTGGCCACGTCTCGCACCCCAGGGAGTGCCTGTACTCCAGGTTAAGCTCCACTGGACTGGAGTCTACACCTACACATGAAGACATTCTATATGTACAGCAATTTTTCCGTCCACTGCTGGATGAGGGCCTCCCCATGCCATTCAAGTCATGGGGGCTGTTCGACCATATTTCACCATGCTGGTTGGTGCAGATTGGTGATGGGGGGGGGCCCAGAACGGGTTCAGATTTCACTCGTCACTGATGCTCGCCTTGGCCGGCAATCGAATGAAGGTTGTTGTGTCTTTATCGCAGAGTGCAAATGACTGCGCTATTGCACCACAGCTCCCACGTGTGGCATTATGCAATTTGTTGGTACGTTCATTGTCTCTAAATCTTGATTTGAAGCTTTCGTGACTGCAGGAATCTATACTCTTTTGTTATTTTGGTAAAGTCACGTGGGTAGAAAAATGTGACTTTACCGAATGAACCAAAGAGTATGTCTCTAAATGTCCAACAAACCCCCCCTATAATAACAATTTTGAGCAGCCAAGACGGACGATTAATGCTAGTAAGGGTTAATTTATGGCCACTGATTTTCACTTCAAATCACACAAATACAATTTAAAAGGAAAATAGCTAAATTAGCAATTGACTGACCATATTGTGAAAAATATAGTGGAATACACCTGGTATAATCACATCTGAGATTCTGGCGCAATGGAACATCAACATTGTTTAATTAACGGTATCAGAAATGCAAATAACGGTAAAACATTTTGATTTCAACATGCTCCCAATGAAGAAACAATATACAAAAAAATGAGTTGAATTCTTTTGACACTTTGAGGTGACCCAAAGGCTCAAGAGGTAAGATTTTGAGATAGCTCGTGTGATATCCACATACGTGCCCCATTCTCTCATACAAAGGATCACTGTTCTGAGAGATGCGAATGGAAAACTCTGCCTAACGGAATGACGCTGATAGGACACAATCAGGAAAGAATTGGGAGGAAAATTATCAAAACATTTTGAACGTATATTTAAAAACCAAATCTTTTTCTACAATTCGAATTCACCTGTACAAATGTTAATGTTGCACGTCTAACATTAATACTGTCTTCATACATCTATTGGCCAGTTCATTCAAAACGAATCCTTATTTAATGAGAAAAGACAATGATTTTCAACACTTAAATTTCGATTTAAAGCTTTCGTGACTGCAGGGATTCACCTTCTTGGTTCTTTCGGTAAAGTCACGTAGAAGGGAAATAATAAAATAATAAAACATAATACAATTCTCACGACGTTTCAGCCACAACGCAAGCAGCCGTCCTCGGGTGAAGAACAGGGCTGTCGGAATTATGTTGTATTTTTATTATTTTATTATTTCCCTTCTACGTGACGTTACCGAAAGAACCAAGAAGATTTTCAACACTTATTTTAATGAAAACCCGACCTATTTAGGATGCTTAGTTTATTTTTGCATGCAAGTGTAAAACGAAGTGTCCATGGAAAACCCATAAATGAGAATCAAGTCAAATTGGCCACAGATAGGTTCGTGACCTACTTTCTGTATAACTCCACGATAGGCGCCTAGCGGGCTCTACAGGTGGGCGTTTCACACATGAACCCAGCACCAACCCCACAAGTGAAGGCGCAGCGTGATTGGCATGAGCCCTAGTGCAAGGAATGAGATGAGGCCCTCCCCCCTATCCGATTTCTCCTCCACTTTAGCTTGGCATGTGGGCCCCTCTGGCCCTTAGGACCTCGTGCACTGCCTGCGCTGCCCAAAGCTACACCACTACCCACAAGCCACATTGGTGACTTACAGATACACATCACCAGTACATCTGCATTATTTGCATTTTTGAATGTAAACAAAATCAAGTTATAGTATTTGCACCACAACGCCAGATGTGTGTATTTGATAGCGTCATGGTAAAAAAAATTGGTAATAAACGAAATATTGTTCAGGAAGTAGGCGGATTAAATTAGTGAATTATTATTCCAGGAAATTGCTCAATTTGTATGGCTCAGGCCTTGCTAAATGTGGGAGTGTAGAACACTTTACATATACCCCCATCTACTGGAAGAAAACAGTAACTACAATGGTCTCACCAGCTACAAGCAAAAACCATGTCCTCAAACTCCAGCAGACCCGTGTTCTCCCCAATTGCAGCGCCTGCCTCCAATTTGAGGAAGTGTCAAAAAAGTCTGTCCCGAGGTTTACCAAATCTCGGCTGATGCGTGCAGCTGGAATTCATCGAGTTAACTGAAATTCGATGGTAGGGGGACATTCGACAGCAGATGAGCACACGACCCACCACGCGATCTCCGAGGAGAACTTAGTCTGGTGGCAGCCGATCCCATAATTTGATGTTGCCTTCATATCCCAATAATAAATTGAGTCACTTGCGCGTTGTCGTCCGAGTAGCGAGAATCAAGAGGTGGACTCTGTCCGCCACCTCAAACCGAAGACAAGGGTGCTGATGATGGTTAACATCAAGGGCAATCCTAATTAACAACAAAAACATAAAGACCTGGAGTAGCTATGTGCACTGTTGCGTGCAATTTCACGTGATATGGCATGTAACTGTCCGATGTATAAATGCATTATTTTTAACGCAACGTGCATTGCGAACATATACGCAACGTAAAGACGTTCAGTTTGGAAAGTAATGTGTATTGTGGCGATATAAGTGCACGTGTTGGTACAAAACACCACACATCTGGACATATTACACATGCAGTATAAAAGACACGTGTTGGGGCATAAGGCGGTAATGAGTGGCACAATTAAAATACATTTTTCAGGATGTTTCATCATATTTAATTGAAAGGATGGCCAAACCCAACACACAAAGACATGTAGATGACCCATACTTTGGCGGTTGGTGATGTCACGGCGGGTACTTTAGAGCAAAGAAGTCAGCTGATGCAGCGCAACACAATTTCCCAAGTTCACTTCCGAATAGAAGCTCAAAGCAGTTGGAGTGAAACTTCATATTCAGTCATGACAAGCCTCAAGCCGCCGGAGAGATTCTATTGGTTATTTAATCAAGGCAATATATTGGCACGATTAAATAATCTTTATAAATGTGACAAAACTTGTCAGGGTGGTGGAGGGTTAATAACATTTGGCCAAGAAAGGACCACATGGCCAAACAAAACATGGATCTTTGTATTGGCTAAAAATATCTTACCCAGTACCCATGTTCAGGGCTTAATTTGTTATGGAATATTTTCTGGGAGCTCCCAAATGCCAACCACAACACACTGCAGCTTCACCTCCACAGAGTGGACAATGGGGGGGGGGGGGGGGGGTGAAGGATGACGGCTTAATATCAGCTGGCCAGCTCCAGATGAAATTAAGCCTTTCCTGTGAAAAAAGCATCGCAATCCTTGAAATTTTCCCTCCACATTTAGAAACACACATTCTGATTATTTAGATTTTGCTCTTAGAAATTTCTACGTGATAATCCACTTTGTTGAGCGATCACATGTGGCCAGGTCGCTTCTGAAAAATAAGTAAATACCTCAGTGGGCTTTGCTTGGTAGGATGGGGATGGTTTAGTTGTTGTATCTTTATGCATTTTAGTGATTTGTTTACATTTCTTGTACTTTGCACTACTATCGTGTGTTTGCACTGTTTGTTGTTGTCACGTTCTTACCTGCCCCTACTGGACATCTGTGAAAAAGAGCTTTATCGCTCATTGGATTCCTCCGGTATGAATACCTTCTGATTCTCATTAATTAAACCAATGACAGTGCATTAAATTAACCTGATGATTCCCGGGTCATGGGGATAAAGACGAGACAGATTTGTAGACACAGATGGATTACTGAGATGAAAGCAAGACAAACAAGAGAGAAACCTGGAGACTAGAGGGAGATACAGATTAGTGGTCACATGACATCATGCAAAGTGATTTCATAACATCTGTATACGTGAAGTATGACATCACGTGGCCCACTGGCACACACTAAATTTATTGTGGGCCACCAGAAAATATTAAATATAGTTGAAACACATTCCTGCGGAGGGAGCTGGTAGGAACGTTGGTTTGCTCGGTCAATGGCCAGGGTCAACGGCTGGCGTGGTGTATTCCGCAAATATGGCCGACTGTGAGGGCGGGCACAAGCCGGCGTGAGTAGGTTAAACGTTGAGTTTTATAAGGGCACCACGGGGTGACCAGCTACCCTCCCCACCCAGCCCCACCCCTCCCATTTTTGGATGCACGACAGGACGGACACAATAATCCCCTGTAGGCTGGTGGAACCAGGAGGTTCGTACCAGTAAAACCCTGCGCTAATATATCGGCGACGTATTGATAGTGCCCATCAAATCTCACCCTCGCTCTCCCATCTAGACACGTATGTCAATACCTATGGCGAACGTTTAGCCAAGCAATCACCAGTATCCCCAAGACAGCTCCTCCCAAAACCAGCTGGTTTTCCCCCAGCCATTCCCTCCACTTGCTTTGACCAGGGAGTGGTTTGGTTGCTTCCGTCGCTCTGGGCACTGCTCTGGATGCGTTATACTGCTCGTCTCGCTGCTCTTGGGGTTGCTCATAGCGCTGCTTGGAGGATTTCTCATTATGCCGCTTGTAGGGCTGCTCGTCGAGATGCTCTTGGGGTTGCTCGTAATGTTGCTCGTAGGACTGCACGGAGGATTGCTCAAGCTGCTGCTGGTTGTTGGATTGCTCATTATTCGGATTGTAGGGCTGCTCGTCAAGATGCTCTTGGGGTTGTTTGTAGCGTTGCTCGTATCGCTCGCCAGGTTGCTCGTTGGGTCGTTTTGGCAGCACCTGTGCGTCTTCCTTTCGTGACAAGTTGTTGCGCACAACGTTTTCAGATGCTGCAAGCTGTCCAGTGGAGCTTCCCATCTGCAGAGCCGATCCTCTAGCCTCCGTTTCAGACAAGCTGGTCACATGGTCCATTCTGTTGTCATGCTGAATTTGAAGAAACATAGGCGAGCTTGTATCGTTGACATTATTCAACAGTTGTGGATTTTGGTAGGCACTATGACTCGCCTTACTAACTTCCAGGGTATCGGCAACGCTGGTCTGCAGATCAGCACTTGTTAAATTAAAGCTCCTGGGTGGATTTGCGCTCAGAACCTGTGGCTTTCCAATGCCATCTTCATCTTCGCGACGCCTGCTATCTCGACCGGGCTGTGTAGGCTGAGGCAATAGATTACATTCAGGTACCCCGGGCGGACTTTTGGCATTATCAAGTGTAATCGCGGCAGACACACCTTGACTGGGCAAAACGTTGCGCTCACGGTACTGCCCCCACCGCATCCAAGTCGGCGTTGTTTTGCCGCTTTTCAGAAGCCGGTTTGCGTGGTGCGAGTTTTTCTTCCTCCACAGCTGCGTCGCTTTCCTGGACTGGTGCCCTTGCGTCTTTACCATCCAAGAAGCCGTCACTGCTCACGTCCGCCGAACCCCCTTCCAGGCTCGGCGCGCACGTACCCTGCCACTTCGGCAATTCCACGGCAGCGCCACCACCGGCGGTGGGCGTTGGCAGCCCTTCCCCGCAAGCGATTTCAGCCAGAGTGGACTGGGCGGACGCCTCATTCTGGACAGGTGGTTGCACTGGAGATGGGGCAGGAGGGGGTTCCGGCGTGACCTGCACTGGGAAGTTGGCCTGGTGACCACTATTCTCACTGGAGAGGGATTTCTGCTCGGCCACCACCATGGCGGGACCTCCAACTCTCGCGTGAACGTTCACATCCATGGGGGGGGGATGCACGGGCTGGCGAGCAGGGGTGGGTTGTCGTGCCGCTAGTGAATGACAAGAATAACAGCAATTAAACATTGCACAGCGTCTAAAAACAATCGCATCTTAACCTGCTTTATGGAACTGCAAGCAAAAAAATTTCATTTAAATAAAAAATAAGCTATGAAATTATGCGAACCACTTCAGTGAATCTCGGGAAAGTTAATGTATATAAGCGTAATCAGCAGTGGCTGCTTTATGATCATGTGACACACACAAAGACACTCCAGATCTACAATCCATATCATCACGGGATTGTTTTTGCTCTGCGTCTCACCCCAAGTAAAAAAAAAAACACCATGAAGATAGTCCCAACAATGAGAGGAATATTCTTTGGAAGAGGCTGATATGCAGGACTGTCTGAAGGTATTTCACCCACGATGAATGCTAATGAAACTTTCAGACGCAAACACAGATTTCTTGTTGGAATTTGCCAAAGCCACCCCAAATAGACACAAACCACACCTCACAAGGCGTGCACACAGTCCATCCCTAACAATGAACAGGCGAAATTACAAATTGCCATCCGAAATCGTGCATTGGCACTCCTGACAATTAGTGGTATGATTTTTTTCATGTACAATGTACGCAATTGTTTCTCTAGATAAAGAGGAAACATGGGTGGCTTGGAGCACATTTCAACAACCTAATCTACAAAACCGTTTTTTTTCTCTCTCTCACAAATGATCATTAAGACGTTTGTGGGGTGTTGTATTCACCTTTACGGGCAGAGAGTTCGGCTTGCATTCTGTCAGCCAGTTCACCGTGTTTTTCCTTGCGGAGGGCGGATATGAATTCGTCGTACCAACGGGAACGCCTCCACAGATGGTTCAACAATGTATCCATCCCACGATTATTGCCACCCCGGTCGAGATCACATTTGATCCGCTCCTGTATGTGAACAAGCAATGCAGCGCAAATGCAACTTTGCCAACGATGGATTATACAATGCCTCACTGTCAGCAATACAGTTGCTTTAAAAATAACATTCATTATTAATTACACCTCATCAGTAAACTGCTGGATGAAGGCTACCCCATGCCATGTCATCTTTTTTTAACCATACTTCACTAGCATCACGAGTCGAATGGCATGTTGCATGTGGTGAGGTAGAATGTGGGTACTTCCACTTTGTCCAAGATGTCCGTTTGCACATAGTCACATAGTCACTTTAAGATGTTTTCTTGTTCATGTTTTTTGTTTGTTGCGGTTGCATCCGATTCAAGAGCTGAATGGCTCACAGGGCTAAACAAAACAAATTAAAACTGAAACTGAAATGTCTGGCAAGCGTGGAACAGCGGGTTAGAGTCCTCTCTCGAGCGGCTCTCTCGAGAGAGCTCAATCTCGTGGAAGCCCTTCGGTGAGCAGTGCCGTGAGCAAGCTATTGTAGGCCTGTGCCTTTAACTTTACATCACCAAACTGGTCAGTACAGGTTGGTGATGGCAGGGACCCCAGGACCGTTTCAGATATCACTCACCACTGATATTAGCCATGCCAGGGAATCAACTCAGACCACCGTGTTCATACTGCAATGCGATGTCGCAACCTCTACTATGCATGTCTCGTTAAAAATAGAATACTTGTCCAAAAAATACCTATTTTAAAGTTGTCAAGAATCACAACTACCCCTACATAAAAGAAGACCAAGCACCTTTAAAAAAGTGCTCAGGATACCCTGCCCTTGTACTGTACATGTGAGCTCAAAATTGCTAATGACAAGATACTTAAATGTCTGGTTCTTCTGAAAATGAAGTTCAAACTTAATTGCAATTGGATTTGAACAATACTTAACAGGACCTCATATCCTTCACACACTTGCTCAATGTAAGTTAGATGAAATCGTGATCATCTATGAACCAAACATCTTCCTTTAAACTAAACCCATGTGCTGGAATGTCATTTAATGTTGCGATTTGCATACAACAAAACTTAGAAACCGAAAATAAAGTTGTTGGTTTTGTTTCTACATATATAAATCATGATTCTGATTAACCTCGTTGTGGGATCACACCTGGTTATGAAGGATATATTTGCTTGCTTTTGCTTACTTAGTTAAAACTATCGTGTCTCTGCCAGGACAACACTCATGGGCTCAACTGATCTAAACACTCATGGAACCTCGCTCAACTTTGCACGACAGTGATATTCCAAATGAGTATGCAGGCAGTTGCAAGAAGGTGATGGGCAGATGACCAAGTGAATGGACGGGAGATGCAGCAGAAGAAAGAGGTAAGACTGGCGGAGGATAGAGAGGAGTGCAGGGAGTCCCTAGGAAGAGGATGGCACAAGACGATGATGCTGGATCCTTAGGGCCTGAACTTTTGGTCTTGTTTCTCGACCCAACTAATTCCCATGACCTAGACAGTGCAGGGCACTCATCCAGCAGACAACTGACAAAGGGCTGTTAAACTAGCCTCTATCCTCCCCATGTCATTTGATTTTTGTTCACTGCTGCAGTTGTTTCTTAACCGAGGTGTCTCTCTTGAAAAAGCAACTCGCCTGTTAATAATTGTCATGAACAAATACATTTAAATTGTCGTATTTTATACCACGGCTTTATCCTCTTACCACATCGCTTTCGGTGAGGCACACAAGATGTGGGATGAGATGATCCACAAGCACGATGTAAAAGTCTACTAAATGGGACCTGCACCAGTCCTTCATTTCCTCGCGAATGGGATCCATCGCTTGAATTGTAATTCAAAGAAGGCTCCTGCTGGTATGACACAAACGAAGAATCAACACAGTGTTAGACAGGGCATCATTTCTCAACTGGATATTGTCCAGGTCCCCAGTACAATAGAAGATGGCACGAATGCGGTAACCACAACCAAAGCATGTGGCGTGCGAAAAAAAAATCCGGGTCACCGACGTGGCCAGATCCGGCTGAAATTAAACCTCAGTCTATCAATTGCGAATGTGAGAACCTATTCAAATGTACAGTATTTTCTGTTGCAACCAATGTAACCCCTTCCCCAAACGGCGCTGACTGGCTTGGTGAAATATGGCCAATTAATCCCCATGACCGTCCGTGGCATGGAGCGGCCTTCATTCGGCAGTGGATAACATGACTGGTGATTACGTAGGGAATTTTTTTATAAAGCTGTCGGTGATCTTCAAATGTTGTATTTTAGTAATGACAAGAACTTTTTACATGGATGAAAGGTAAAGGTACATTTAAAAAAATGTTACTTTCAAAACTCCCAACTCTCACCCAAGTTTGTGCGTTCACTTGTCGGAAAGGTAGAGTCGGTTTTCTGAACCCAAATTGCCCTGTGGAACTTTTCAGATTCGGAAAGGTTGAATAACCACCTTATCACAAAGCATATTCTTTCCCCCATGTGAAGAACATTTACACATTTACTTCAGCGAGGTGGATTCAGATCTCAAACGTTGGAAAAGTCGAGATCCGAGATTTTGGTCCACGTGAACGTCGAGTTTGACCAAAAACAGACTTTCAACAGAAATTGGCGAGTTCTTCATCACAACGCAACCAATGAGGAATGGAACTGCCCAATGTCCAATTATGTGCGTATGTCTATTTAAATTCATGTATATTGTCAACTTAATTAAATAACATTAAACAATATTAATATAAAATATATTTGTAAAATCACAGCTTATTTTTGAATTTGTTATTGGAAAGTTGTGCAGTACGATATTATTGTACATATTAAGTTTTGTTTATATAATGTAGTGTATATTGTTGTACAAGTATGGACATTTGTCAGTCCACCAATGGATCGAAGGGTTCCTCACACCTTAAGGGTCGTGGGGGCTATTTTACCATATTTCACTTTGGTTATCGTGGTCTGGTGAAGGTGAAATATAAGACATACAGTACAATTAAATGCAGTCAGTGATCTGGCTTCAAGACCTGCATGATTTTTTTCCTTGACCCCATATGAACACCCATTGAGGTGGACGTTTTGAAGGTTCAATAATTAAACTTAATCTTTCATCAAGTATAAACTTACGATTTGACCCCTTGTAGCTAGGTGACTCTGAAGGTCGACTTCAAGGAAATACAAGATACAAATCGGGTGTTTCCATTACAAAGGTTATTCAAAGACGCAAAGGTCTAAATGTTTATTGTATTACAGTACAGTAATTGTCTGCAAGAACTGAAAAGTAATTTAAATGGAGACCACAACAATCTCCAAGAAGCCTACACTATTGGCAAACATCTCACATTCTTCAATGACACTGCCTTCAAAATAAAACATACCTTTGCAAGTCACCTCTGTGCGTTGCATTAGTTCATAAACACGCTGCAGGTGATTACATATAGTCGTAAAAAACATAGCAGTACTTTATGATTAGTGACAATAGCCTTATGGCAATCCACTGCTTTATAATGCTCTTCCGATACCGATTCGTTCGTGGAGGTTGTTTGACCATACCTCACCACGCTGGTCAGTCCAGGTTGATGAAGGAGCAGAATGAAATCATACATCACTCACCACTGATTCTGCCCGTCGCAAGGAATCTAACTCGGGTGACTACGTTCACAGCACAATGCTCTAATCATTGTGTCACCTCTCCACCTCAAATACTTGAATACATGTCAATCGCTCTGAGGACACAATCTACAGCACGGTTTAAGAACGTTTCAATTGGACACAATTCAGTGGACGTCCTGGTACCAGACCTGGCTGGATAACGTATACAACTCAGTCCTAGGAAAGGAACACGGTCCCCTCTGGCGAAAACACTTGGTTGTATCGGTGCGATGGTGATAATGTATTGCTGATAAATAATTTGGGATGCTCAGGACACGATGAGTGATTCTACAATAGCCATCACCATACGTGTGTCAATCACAGGCCAGCTTTGGCTGGTGGACAATCATTGGACATCTGTGGAAAGGAGCATTATAGGTCATCGGATTCCTCCAGTATAAATATTCTGATTCTGACATGTAACGAATAACACAACCACGTGTTTGAAAAGGGTCCATAATTGTGTTATTTACATCGTGATTTTTGCTCTCTGTTGTATTGGCGTTTCAATTCTTCAGCTTCCTGTGTGTAGTTTGCTCCGGCACCTACAGCTAAAAAAGTAACCAAAGCACAGGAAGTGCTCGCTAGCACCACGACTAAAAGCTTGGGTGGCCTAACTCTTCCAACACACTGATCAGACGTTTTGGAACAAAAGAGTACCCACACTTTCAACCCACCACACACACTACGTCCATAATAAATTGTTTTTTTCCCGGTTATATCGCTTAAATGTCGTTATAAACCCTCCACCATCCGACAGAGAACGAGTCAATTAACTACTACTTCAGCACACCGGTGTGTTGGAGAGTAAACCCCAGGGCGTCGACGATTCGAGTACGACGTTTCGCTGGTCTACTCCGACTGCGTGGACGAAGGCGAGGGTGGAGTTTGCCGCGACGGGAGATCGTAAATTACAGCAACAACAACAAAAAAACCCCATCACCACCGTGGTCGATTCGTACACACACACGAGTACAATAACAATCGATCATCCGTATCCTCTATTAATAACCGGGCCCAAGTTTTTGCCCCAGCCCTAGGCTCGTGAAGGTCAACGCTGCCGCACCAAGCCTCATCACCCGAATGTTTGATTACCAAGATGTTATTTGCGTTAGAAGCAGCAGTCGCGTGACATCGTTATGCATTTAATGTGTTGTTAATTCACGCGGTGGCTATTTGGCGAGCGCTTGGTGCGGCCTCCGTGCCAACGTTGAACCACGGCGAACTTAGATTCTTTCTTTTTCTTGTTGTTGTTTTGGTAACAAATTCTAAAGGCGAAACGAAGTCTACGGGGGGTGGGGTAGTGTGTACTTACGTGTGAGATCTACGTGGCAATGGGATGAGACAAGAGACGAAACGACGCCAGTTGGGTGAAGTCGTGTCTCGAATGCCACCACCCTGAATGTGTCTCTGTGTGTGGATCGTGCACCGACTCGTCAATTTCCGCGTTGAGAAAGAGGGCCCAACAGCGCCACCACGACTGCCATGCTGGTAACACGGAGGAGAATAAGTATAACCCGTAAAAACAAAGTTTTTCACTCTAAATCCTTTATATGCGTGGCGGCTAGAGTCATATCGTCCTCTGGCTTGAGATGGCTGCCACCTATGGGTCAGATGATTGTCTGCCAGTATTAAGCAATTGGTAATTAAATATTAAATTTGTTTTCCCTAAACAGTGTAAAATTTTGGAAAAAAATTTTCACGAACATTAATTGTCTCGCACAACGAGCGCGCAAGCCAGCACGCAAGCAAGCACGCAAGCAAGCGAACTTAATATAAAGGATTTAAAATTCCGATGAGGCTGTGATGGCCTTAATTAATCTAAGTTGTCTTATTCTTGGTTCTTTCGGTAAAGTCACGTGTAAAGAGAAAATAATAAATTAAATACTAGCATACGACGTTTCGATTGCAACACAAGCAATCGTCATCAGGTATAAATGAAATAGAAACACAAATCATCATCGGGTATACATGAAATAGAAACACCAATATGTTGATGATTGCTTGTGTTGCAATCGAAACGTCGTATGCTAGTATTTAATGTATTATTTTCTCTTTATACGTGATTTTACCGAAAGAACAAACACGTAATTCCTGCAGTCACGAAAGCTCCAAATTAAGTATTAATCTAAGTTGTCTTATTCTTGGTTCTTTCGGTAAAGTCACGTAGAAGGGAAATAATAAAATAATGTAAATATTAAACAATACAAATGTCTCACGACGTTTCGACTGCAACACAAGCAATCATCATCAGGTGTGAAATCCACAGCAAGAAAATTGTAAAAATTTAAAAAATAAAAAAAACATGAACAAGAAAACATCTTAAAGTGACTAAGTGCAAACAGAAAATCCAAGAAAAGACAGCAAAATATTGCAGAAAAAAGCACCGTACACCAACGCTGTGTGCAAAAATCCCAGTGGGATGCAAGTTAAACAACAACAAGACAACTTAGATTTTGATTTAAAGCTTTCGTGACTGCAGGGATTCATATTCTTGATTCTTTCGGTAAAGTCACGTAGAAGGGATATAATAAAATAATAGAAATATAAAACAATAAAAATTATCACGACATTTCGACTGCAACACAAGCAATCATCATCAGGTGTGAAATCCACAGCAAGAACATTTTTCTAATTTTTTATTTTTCATTATTAACTATATTTTGGTTTCGATTTAAAGCTTTCGTGACTGCAGGGATTCATATTCTTTCGGTAAAGTCACGTAGAAGGGAAATAATAAAATAATTCTTCTCACGTTTCGATTGCAACACAAGCAATCATCATCAGTTGTTGCAATCGAAACGCCGTGAGAATTTTATTGTTTTATTTTTTATTTTATTATTTCCCTTCTACATGACTTTACCGAAAGAACCAAGAATATATGTTGGTTATTTTACCAGGCCTGGGCCACAAATGATAGCTCAACGAAGTGTAGTGGCTTATCGTCACGGGCAAGTGGATAACAGTAGCCAAACACATTACTCTGTATTCAAGAGCGAGACACCACAAACTCCAAATATACAGCAGCAGCAGGCGTCATCAGGGTCCAGATGGAACCCACGACCTCCTGCACACCCAGCAAGGGAGTCAACATCTCCTAGCCACTGTCATAATGATGAGAGAGAAAGACACTAAAAGTCCAAATAAATAGCAGCAGGCATCGGTCAAAGTCGGGATCGAACCCACGACCTCCCGCACACGCGACAACGAAGTTAACAATCGCCCAGCCACCGCAGAGCCAATCAGAGACGAATATGCAAATCGTTACCCCCCCCCACTAACCACGCCCACCACAAATCTCTAAGCAACAACCGACGTGATTGGTCGAAAACGGGAGAAGCGGTTTCCCCGCCCCCCCCCCTACATTTTGATTGGTTGAGGGCTTCAAAAAGGGGGCGAGATGGGGGGGGGCAACGTTTTCTGGTCACGGTGACCAATAAAAAGGCGGCTTGCAGGCGCCTTCAACGCCATTGGTCGACGCCCGTTTTGTTTTACTTTTTGAATTTAAACGCGGAAGTGGGGGGCGAGTGGTGGGCGAAGCAGCACGTGAGTTACGAAGGGAACGTCGCGAAAGCTCTCGCGTGTGTTAAACCTATGTCGCGAAAGCTCTCACCTGTGTTAATCTTACGTCGCGAAAGCTTCGCCTGTGTTAATCTTACGTCGCGAAAGCCTCGCCTGTGTTAAACTTACGTCGTGAAAGCCTCACGTGTGTTAAACTTATGTCGCGAAAGCCTCGCCTGTGTTAAACTTATGTCGCGAAAGCCTCACGTGTGTTAAACTTACAACGTCGCGAAAACCTCGCGTGTAAAGTTATGTCGCGAAAGCATCGCCTGTGTTGAACTTACAACGTCGCGAAAGCCTCGCGTGTGTTAAACTTACAACGTCGCGAAAGCCTCACCTGTGTTAAACTTATGTCGCGAAAGCCTCACGTGTGTTAAATCTACAAAGTGGCGCCCCTCGTCATCAACGCGACAACGTTAACAACACAAACCCGTCGCCGCAAGTCCGTCCATCCGCGGCTTTTGACACAACAAAGTGCACCTCGTTCTGCTTTTGTACGGACCCCTGCGCTCGATTTCGCCGGGGTTTTCGACGATAATCGTAGCAGCCGCCGCCTCCTCACCAACTCCACCACCCCCACACCCCCTTCTCTCTCGCCGTGATACAGCAAATGGACACGGACAGCGAACGCATTGGCGCTACTGGACCTTCGTTGGACAACTTTTAGTTAACGATGCAGGGAGGAGGGCGCATGCTGCGGACGTACGGACGTCGGCGCGGGGATGTTTTTGAGTCCGACCCCATGTGGATCGCAGCCTCGCACCATCTGTTCGAATTCTCGCCCGAGATCAGCAATTCAGACATGGAGGAAGAGGGCTCTGACGGCAGGTGAGTGTGAAATGTATGCGAGGTGTTAACTCCCTCGCCTGCTATGCATCGGAGGTCGTGGGGTTAGATCCCGACCCTGACGACTGCTGCTGTATATTTGGAGTTTGCGTGTCTCACGACGGCTAGGAGATGTTAACTACCTCGCCAGCTATACATGAGGTTCGTGGGCTAAGTCCCGAACCTGACAGCTGCTGCTGTATATTTGGAGTTTGCGTGTCTCATCACAATCACGGTGGCTAGGAGATGTTAACTACCTCGCAAGGTATACAAGATGTTCGTGGGTTAAGTCCCGACCCTGACACCTGCTGCTGTATATTTGGAGTTTTCGTGTCTCACTCTCTCCCCGTCGTCGCGTGGATTTCTCTCAACATTTATAAACAACATGCTCAACATTCATATATGATAAGCTACTTCGTTGAGCTATCCTTTGTGGCCAGGTCGCTTCTGAAAAGGAATGATAGAGCCCAGTGGGCCTTGCCTGGTAAAATACAAAAAATATTTTAAAAGTGTAATTTATGCCCAAGCAGCTTCTGCCTGACCCGATAGAAGGGGGCAAAATGGACGCGGCACAGGCTGGAGAGGAGATGTGCTAATGTGGTACAAAATGTTGTGGAACGGAGTGGATTGACTGGTACCAGCGATGCCTGCATCAGCCTCTGCGTAAGGCAGATAGCCTAAAGGTGCACCTAGCCTGGCACACGCGCAGTGGCGATCCGGCGGTAGATGGTGTGTGTGATTGAGACAAGTCTTTGATGGTGTGTGTGTGAGACGATGTAGGAATATGTATGTTGGACTTCTTTCACACCGTACGTAGCCAACCTTGGCTAATCGTGGAGGTGCGAGATACAAACGGTGCCAGACGGTGTGTGTGTGTGCGTCGATACCTGAACTTGATTGGCAGATGATAAGGTTATTTTTCAACAAAACTGCAACAAAAACCTCCAAGTCCCAATAATCCAAGAAATCCTGCAATCGCACTTTCACATAGCTGTTTTATTCTGGGGGTGGTTTCATCACAATTTTACCATGTTTTCCACAACTTGCATTGACCGTCAAAAATATATTGATTCCAGCAGGAGGGGCGTCTTTGAGGAGTTGAATTGCGGCGACTTGAACGGCACCGCGGGAAAGAAGCATACAAGGTGTTGCATCAGTCATGCCCACCACACACCTCCCTCAGCAATTTGATGAAATGTCACAATTTTATGCTGTGAGGTTTCATTCAAGCATAGATTTGCGTCCTGTTTTTGTCATCTAATTTGGATATTTCTCCATGACCCGTCCCGTGTACTTGTGTTCACTCGTTTAGCTTACATATTACAGCCTATAATTAGCATTTGTTGTAAATTATTGATTATCGTGTGCACAAGTACTTTCGTGCCTGAATCTATTTGAATTTCTAAATAATTTCCATGCCAAGTATTGTTTTCTGTGAGATCTCCCAGTGACATTATATCCCTGTACCTTGGGGGTATTTGTGTCTCAGACAGCGCAAAGCCAAGGATTCTGCCCTACTCAAACTCAAAGCCTGTTTTGAGGAGGAGAGCAGTGTTAACCATCCGGTACGTAACTTTTCAATACACAAATATGCATACATTCATGTACGAGTGCGAGCGACCAATCTTAGTGTCCCCTTCGTAAAAGTAAAATTGAAGACAAGCCGCGGTGCAAGTGTGTGGCTATGCAACCCAAACTATGGACCATCTAGTAAACCACTGAAGTTTACACTCCTTCAACGGAGTAGCAAAATGAAACAAATTCTCTCCTAAAGCCCTCCCTGTGGCATGCAGATGTTGAAATTGCATTTAGCTCCTGAACATGTTGCTATAAGCAAGAATACAGTAGTTTACTCGCAAGCATGGAGATGTTTTGTTTTGTTCACCCAGGTGAGAACTCAAGAGGCTAGGATAGTCTCCTTTGCAAGTGATCAGGACCATTCTTCTGCCATTAGGGGGCAATGATTACTATTGTATTTTCTGATTTAAGTATGTAGTTTGCGAATAATTTTTTAATTGGGCAAATTTGGACTCTGCCAGCAGCACAAAATAAACTGCTCTTGCAAATCACGTGAGAGGTTCTTTAATGTCTACTCTTAAGCTGATGGCACCTATCATGGTCGAATCGTGGTCCTCTGCAACAAGTGGTGAACTTGTTACGGCTAGGCCATGCCACTACCATATGTTAATTTAGTTTTGTGTCCTCGCGTGCAATGGTAGCATATTTGTTGCCATATTCACTGATCGGATGCAGCGTGCACTTCACGTTTCAGTGCTGTTGATTAAATTATTGCAGTAATGAACTGCAGTATTAGTCGTGCTAATCCCAACGTTATCACATGGCTCACAAACTTAAACCTGGAAGTATATTTTACACCTAACTTGCGATACTCTACAAGAGACGAAGAAGTAATGTAGTTTGCATTGCTATGGAGACTTGCCGAGTGGATTTTAAAAGAAACCACGGTTATAAAACCAAGGCAGATTTAGTACTTTGATATGGTCATGCAATATGGGCTATGATGAACGTTGAGAAACTAAAGATAATTTCGTTTTACTTTGACAATGACGGTATTGCACACAGCATTTTCCATGTAACGGCAAAAGCTAATTGTATTTTTTTTTCTATCGTGCTAACATTGTTAACAGTCTTATTAGTCGGCATGATCTGTTACTATTACAAGTGTTTATCCATTGAGATAATGTTCAGATAATTAACATAATTTTCTAATTTCACTTGTCTGCATGCAAATAAGAGTGACACCCGATGCCAATGTGGCACCGCTTTTGTACGGTAATCGTGATTTTCCTTGATCCCATACTTTTGGGTTTGGCTGAAACAATAGTCTCTTCTCAAATCTGAGATTTCACATAACTAGGCCGAATTTTTTGCATTTATCCGAAAAATTTAGAACGCAAAATGGCAAGCGCAATTTTAAAATATGCGCGGACCTTCGTTATTTTATTAACCTCATTTTGCTAAATGCTCAAATATCTTTCAGCCCGAAAATGTAATTGCCCACCTCCTTTCTGCACGTTCAGAGTAAATACACCTGTTGCTTATCGTGAAGATGCGCCTAGGTATTCCAAAAGAAACGTAGTCGCAGTCCAAGTAATTGTGTGAACAATAATAACCAGTTTCTGTTTGTTTTTTTGTTTTCTAACCCACTGATGGATGTGCAATCAAAGAAAACGCCCAAGTTGCCTGGCGGAGGAAGTAAAGCTAAAGATAGTCCCTGGGTGGCAGACGGAGCAATGGATGTTGCTTCGGAAGAAAAAACTATTGTTCGCAGAAAGCGATTTGCGGCTAAAGAAACATCGAGATTCACATATGCAGAAGACGATAACAAACAACTCAAAGCGACTCTTGCTTCCTCACGAAAGAATGGCAATGATGATAAATTTCGCAAGGGCATTAGGTTAACATTCAGCGACGACTCCCTGTATTCAACGGAAGAGACGTCCGATGTCTCGGTTAGTGGTGGCCAGGGAAGCGAGAGCTCGATGCCCTTGCAAGAGAATCCCCAAAAAGACGCGCGCAAGTTGGGTTCCCCTGTCGGGGAAATGCGAGGAAGTGACACGGGCCATGACGTAGCGTCTGCTGATGGGAATGCGTCGTTTCTGTTGGAAAGCGCTTGCAACAAATCGCCTTTCAATAGGTTTGTGACTGTAACGAGAAAACAGAAAATAAGCACTTTGAGCGATTTCGAGGACTTATTTAATGCCGAAGCTTCGACCGGATCCGTTGAAAGTATGTCAAAGCAGTTAGCTGTGTTTGCAAGTACACCAAAACGTAGGTGTTCCATATCTAATTTGGGTTTTTCTACAGTAAATGTAGCCAACAAACAAATGAGGCTCCGCAACTGTAAAGTGTCCTTGGAAGATCTTGTACTTCATGACGATATTCATAGCTTTCTACAGAAAAATAGAGTTAGGGTCAGTTCTAAGATTTTGCACAAACTCAAGAGAAATGGCCATTTAAACGGTTCGCTTGTGCAAGTGTGCACAAGTTGTCTCGCAGCAGGTCACCTCGCAGCAATGGACAAGATCGCCTCGGCAGGCAATGGAGTTGCCATTGACTTGTCTGCCAGTGTGTGCAGCGACAAGGCAGAGGGTTTGTTGGTCGACAGTGACTCTTCCCATCACATGGACCACGACAATACCATCATGACAGCAACACTTGTCGCATCCCGAACGGAGACCTCTGAAGTTCAGCACGACAGGTCCTCCCTGTGTGATAACAGCAGCCAGTCTTGCATTGGTCAGACGCCCAAGTTAGCCAACAACTTGGAGAAGGATGATCCCCCCAGAACGGAGACCTCTGAAGTTCAGCACGACAGGTCCTCCCTGTGTGATAACAGCAGCCAGTCTTGCATTGGTCAGACGCCCAAGTTAGCCAACAACTTGGAGAAGGATGATCCCCCCAGAACGGAGACCTCTGAAGTTCAGCACGACAGGTCCTCCCTGTGTGATAACAGCAGCCAGTCTTGCATTGGTCAGACGCCCAAGTTAGCCAACAACTTGGAGAAGGATGATCCCCCCAGAACGGAGACCTCTGAAGTTCAGCACGACGGGTCCTCCCTGTGTGATAACAGCAGCCAGTCTTGCGTTGGTCAGACGCCCAAGTTAGCCAACAACTTGGAGAACGATGATCCCCCCAGAACGGAGACCTCCGAAGTGCAGCACGACGGGTCCTTGTGTGATAACAGCAGCCTGCTTTACATTGGTCAGACGCCCACGTTAGCCAACAACTTTAGGAATGATGATCCCTCTGCAACACTTGACACATCCAGAATGGAGACCTCCGAAGTTCAGCACGACGGGTCCTTGTGTGATAACAGCAGCCTGCTTTACATTGGTCAGACGCCCACGTTAGCCAACAACTTTAGGAAGGATGATCCCTCTGCAAGACTTGACACATCCAGAATGGAGACCTCTGAAGTTCAGCACGACGGGTCCTTGTGTGATAACAGCAGCCTGCCTTACATTGGTCAGACGCCCACGTTAGCCAACAACTTTAGCAAGGATGATCCCTCTGCAACACCTGACACATCCAGAACGGAGACCTCTGAAGTTCAGCACGACGGGTCTTTCCTGTGTGATAGCACCCTGTCTTACATTGGTCAGACGCCCAAGTTGGCCAACAACGGCAAGAAGTGGTCGCGCATGAAATCGGTGCTTGGTCGACGCAACTCCGGTATGAAATGCTCACGCACATTATGTTTCTTCACACTCCGTTATCAATGAATGACAATGGCACTGTTTTTTGTGCACGGTATAGACGTGCAATAATTCTGCTTGACCCTCCCCATGGCAATACGATTAATTATTTAAATTCGGGGTTGAAATTGTATTTATAAATATTTTTTTTAAATGCTGTTGAATTTTGCAGTCACTAGTGGCTGCAGGGATCATGTACACACAAACAAAGTAAAAAAATGTATACGCCTGAATACATTCATCTTGAGCCTAATAATAAACATTAATTTCCAACGAGTTTTGAAAAGCGGTGATACTTATGCTGGGATGCAAATTAACGTTTTAGAAATTGCTATTGGTGTAAGGCAAGCACTCTTTGTCGCCCTGCAGTTTTGTTCACGCCAGAGTCTCCGCCAAACAAACACGCAGCATTGGTCCGGCGGTCGGAGTTTAGCACTTCGATACCACTGCCCTCCCTGGTGACCACTTGCGCCACTGACAGTCCCAACACGGAGGCGAGTGCTCAAGGGTTGCAGCTCGTGGATATGGACGACAACAGTGGTGCATACAACGCGTTTCTAGTAAGAGCCTTGTGCAGCTGAAACATTTGCTCCAGTGCATCCGTAACTGGCCACTTTTTTAATGCGATTGATCATTTTCTGTTTTGTTGTTGAATGTTCCAGCTCCCGATTTATTTTAGCAAGCCCAAAGTAACTGTAAATCTCGTCTTAGAAATATACAATTTTAAATGATTACGCGAAAGGATAACTCTTGCATCCCCAATATAATTTCGCACCCAAATGTGGCTAGATATTGTCAAAATGAAGACAATCGAAGACCATGCTTTCCTGTGAATCTTTTTTCCTTTTTAACATTTGTGTAGTGGCTTCCACGGAGACTGGCGACGTAGTTTTTAGAGGCAACACGGTTTATTGTAAATTTTAAACAGAAAGCCCCCTTTACACTCCCACTACCTGGGGAGGTATGGCCTCCGCGCTGACGTGGCCCTATCACTAGGGATACGGGCTCGGAGTCCTCCGACTAAGGGTGGTGTAGGGGAGGCTAAACTGACCCGACCCAGCCAAGGTGTGGGTCTCGACCACTGGTCCTTACAAGGACGTCGGGTCCCGGGGTCCCAGGGTCCTAGCCTAGCTGGTCTTCTGTCTTCGTCTTGAGAGCACTCCCCAGAATCGTCCTAGGGTCCTTCTTTTATACCCACCTCGGAGACTCTCCGCCCCTGGTACCGCCCCCTTTCTGGAACCTTCCAGGGGACTCTAGAATAACCCCCCAACCCCTCACCTGGGGTCGGGGGGGGTGAGAACTCGGTCCCTTAACGTTCCCGGCTCTCTCTCTAACCCAGGGTGGCACCCCCTATAGACCTGTGCCCGCAACAAACGGATAAGTATTAACATGGCGGTGTGTGCTATATATTTCCGACGCTACATTTGCAACAATGCATCATCTTGCATTTTTTAATGTGACACCCACGGGTCTCTTCGTTCTCAACCCACAGAGCCCGATGATTTACGACGATTCCATCCAAGATACAGAGGCAGGGTTGGCGGAGGAGAACATTTACCGAGAATGCAAGCAGATGGGCCCTTTGGCCTTCTCGCAGTGGCTGCTGTCGGTTGAGCGGGGCAGCTGCGTCAAGGTTGGGGAGGGGGTTTACGGAGAGGTGTTCCGCATGTGCAACGGTCGCGACGAAGTCTCCGTCTTCAAGGTAGCGACTGAAGAGTTCCTTTTTTGAGTCGCGATCGGGGATCTTTATTTGTCCCGGAGAAATATCGATGAGCTAGATGGAAGCTCTTTATCTCGCGTGTCCATTTGGGGTGGGTTAGAAAGTTAACACAACAGCACCCATTCAATACAAAACAACTATTTGGAGTGCAAAGTCACTCTGGAAGCTCGGAGAAGGCCGCTTGTGTATGCGCTTGCCTAAAGTGCTCCTGTTATTTTTTGTTACTGCCAGATTTGTTTAGTTGGTTATAAGTTAATGTAGGTGGATGGTGGATGTACAGCATCCCACATGTACAGTAATGATGCTTTTTGTGGAGTTGGATCCTTAACATTGGAAGATCAGAGTTCTAATAAAATATTTTAAAATACTTTTTTTTTAAACACGCTTTAATGAAATGTACTATCCGAGCTGCCCCTCCCCCTGCCTCCTTCCCCCATCGCCCCTCCTTCCACATCTCCCGCCCATCGGCGTGGCTTGCCGTAACGTAAGGGAGCGTGGTGATTTACAGCCAACGTGAGTTGAGCGTCGACAATTGGAGCCGTAATAAAGATAGTTTAAAAAATATATTTTAATTTTCAATGCTAGAATATAGTACTGTCATCGGTATGACATACCTATACGAAGTTTGCAGTCGATAGCACATTTGGAAGTGTGTAAAAATTGAGGATGCAACAGACGAAGTGAGTTAAATAAAAGCGTATAAAAAATAGGTGAGGAATGCAACGTTGAGTTTTTAGATGGGTCTACACTGCATAGAAACATGTGCTACACAATCCCAGTTTAGTGCTGTACAGCAGTAACTACTTGTATTAGATTGCATTCCCAAACTGTGTTGTAATTTTGACAGACCAAGTAACATCTTAAATAGTGATGAATGGTTAAACAACATCCATAACCATCATGGCATGGGGAGGGCTTAATCCAGCACTGGATAAAGGGATATACATTTTTGTTTACGATTGTTATTATTGATCAAAGTATATAAGTTCTATTGTCATTATAAACAACTACTAGGCATGTTACAATTCAACCTCCGTAACAAATTGATTAATTGGCACTGTGGGGTATTCAATTCAAGAATATATTTCTCATTTCATCTTGTTGATATAATTTCCATTCTCAATTGAACATGTAGGCCTTCGTGACCAATATTATTAATCGTAAAGGTATGTAGGTTAGATCACGTACATGTCATTAAGTCGTAACTAATTGGCACTTTTTGTTCCCGTGATGAACCTTTGATAATTGGCTGTGTCGGGTGGAGGTGGGTTAATGACACATTTACTCTATAACCCAAAGACCTTTATTATATATTTTCGTTTTCATATGTACAGTTTTTTTCGCTCAATTTGCCAATATTATTTGTGTGCAGTTTGTATGCATCATAATTGAATTTCACACAATTCATTACATGCATCATTGGTGTAAGAAGAATATACTTTTCGATTTAAAGCTTTCGTGACTGCAGGGATTCATCTTCTTGGTTCTTTCGGTAAAGTCACGTAGAAGGGAAGTAATAAAATAATAAAAATAAAACATAATAAAAGAATTCTCACGACGTTATTATGTTTTATTTTTATTATTTTATTACTTCCCTTCTACGTGACTTTACCGAAAGAACCAAGAAGAAGAATATACTTCAATGGTGAATGGACACATTACTCCATGTTTATAAACTGAAGCATTTATTCATCTTTGTGGTGGTGGTGTGTGCTTTTTCACTCTGCTTGTCTTGACTAGGTGGTTCCTATCGAGGGCAGTGCATTGGTGAATGAAGAATCCCAGAAATCTTTTAAAGAAATCCTTCCCGAAATCATGATCTCCAAGTACGCTTTCACACCACCTGTATTTCATTTGCGGAAAAGTCACAATTATTTACGTGTCTTGGTGCACGTGTGATTACTGTCAGCGTGCTACTTTTGGTGTTTAGAAACCATTTTTGAAGGTATTGATAAGTTAATGTTTGTCATGTGAATAAGACCCTAACAGAATTGGCCGCAGTGGCAAAAATAAGCAGTAACTTACAAGAGCATAAAACACGTAGACTTTCGCAACCAATATTTTAAAAAAACCCTGTATTATGGAAAAGCATAAACCTTTTTTTTACAGGCAATTGAGCAACCTACATGAAGGGGATCGGAACCAATCTGAAAACTTCATCAAGCTGAATAGGTGAGTTGGCAAATGGACCTGTATAGAATCTCGCCTATTGTGTTGGTGCTAGCAAGATGTTTGACCCATTCTACTAATGAGCGTTTGGCTTTACGTGGGGGAGGAAATAGGATTACCGGGAGAAAATCCTAGTGTTAAGTAACACTTAAAAGCTATGCACAGATGGATTCAAGAATTAATTGTTTCACTGCCATCTCGTAGCCCAAGTCTGCAATACCTTCTGTTCTTGGCAGTCTTCCCAAGCGCTAACCAGATTAAGCCGGAGATGTGGTGAGAATGGGCACTTTCAATGTAGATTTGAAGCTTTCGTGACTGCAAGTCACGTGACTTTACCGAAAAAACCTAAGAATACTTTCAATGTAATTTGGTTATATGTGAAAGCTTCAGTCAACAGCATGAATGATTACAATAATTATATCCTCGTGCAGGTTATTCATTGATTTGGTCTGGAGCTCCCCCTCCCTCGTCATGCATGCTGGTCAATTTCTTCCCTCTTTAGAAGTCCAGGCTCAGTACCTTTGCATGCTCTGCATATGACTGTTTCTCTAAAAAGATGGCCACAACTGTAACTTTCAGCGTCTTGAGATACGGTCGCGTTTGTATCCTGCACGCATCCAATTAGTATTGTGTGTGCGTATATGTGTGCTAACATACTCGGCATACCATTTCTTCAACTGAATTGCTGAACTCTCTACCCTCGAGTGCCATGCTGCTGGGGTTCCTCCATCTGTGTTTGACAGCACCCATCCGGTGTGTGCATGTGCCTCTAGTCTGCGCTGCCTGCAGGGATCTTACCCGGACCGTCTGTTGGAAGCGTGGAATGAATTCCATGAGAACAAAATATCCGACAACGACTGCCCTGGTGAGTAAAGCGTCCGATCCCTGCCGCTTTCCAATTTTTTTTCTCTCTAACTATATGCACCCACGTAGAGGTGCTCCCCATTAAAAAAAAAAGTAGTGATGCAAGTTTTAGTCTGGGCTGGATCAGAGGCGCAGTGTGTTCTACGCACTACTCCACAGACGTGGCAAACCTTTGATTCCCGATCATGGTTAACACCGGTGGAGAGTGATATTTTAACCGATTCTGGGAAAGCCTTTCACTAATCCACACTGACTGCTGTGGGAGAGTATCGTCAAACAACACTCAGGACTGACGTGGCATGGGAAGGCCTCCATTCAACAGCTTTACATTATTATTATTCTGTTGTATGAGAGCGTGAATTCAGGATTACAATATTTAGTAAATATTTGGTTTGTGCCATGTCTAACTTATCAATCATTCTTTTCATGACAATCCTGTCGTCTCGTTTCAAATAGCAAGTTTGTACGCAAGGTAGACCTGTATAAAGATGCATTCATCAATTAAAAGTCTATTGTAATTTTCATTATACATGCATCTGATTTTGTACGTGACTTATTTTTTTCATTGCATATACTAAGGTTATATTGGGTAAATGGTGAACAAAACTGCATAAATGAGACGAGAAAATTAGCAACTGTACGGACCAGACTGTACAAACGAATCCAGAACAAATAGATTCCTGACTGGAATCGTGGCCCAGAATCATGACAAGTCATGGAATTGCATGGGATGGTTGGATCTTTGGATGGTTGGATCTTTGCATGTCTGTCTTTAAAAATGTTTTCGATCAGACATTGGATTTATAATATATTTACTGTGTGTTTGCAAATGTCTGATACTTCACCTATGCTTTATGCCTTGTTTTGCCCTTCACCAGACTTCTTTACAGATTCCCAACTCTTTATTGTATTTGAGTTTGAGGAGGGGGGCACCAGCTTGGAGACCTATCAGGTATTGAATAATGAAGGACCACACAGTCTTGCGTTTTGTACGAATCCCCCATTGATATGAACTAGGCAGTAGTTCTGCGGTGTCCTTCCGGTCCTGTTTCTCCAGCGCAGAAGCATGGTCACCACATCTACGCCTCTATATAAGGAACGAAACGGTTAGACTTTTCCACAAATCTGGCTGTCGCCTGATGAAGCTAATTGTAATTACTGGCGAAACGTACTCAGATTGTAAATGTTGTGGCTTGGCTCTCCAACACACCGGTGTGCTGTGCTAGTGACGACTTGGCACGTTCTGTTTACGTGACAACCCTTACAAGTTGGCTGTGTCGGGTGGTGGTGGTTTAACGACACATTTATATAACCCAAAAAAACCTTATGGATGATATTGGTCGCGAAAGCCTACTACGTGTTAAACATTTTAAGCTGTGTTCCTCCTTGCGCCGCCATCATCGTCCTTGCGCCCCGGTGAGAGATCATCCTCTGTTTTTTTTTTGCAGTTCTCGTCGATGCTGCAGATGCTCGCCGTGCTGCAACAGGTGCTGGTCGCCCTGGCTGTGGCCGAGGAGGCCATATGCTTTGAGCACAGGTACAGGCGCAGCCATTCGCTCGCCGTCCCCAGCGTCTTTCGTTCAGCGTAGCAGAAGGAACCCCACTTGGGTTAGGCGTGCCGCAATTCTCCCGCCCACTCTTTTGCCGTTCTAATAGAATGACACGATGTGGGGTTGCGATGATTGAGTCTGTTTTTCCTCTTTCGCCATCCTAATGTTTTTTTAGAGTTTTACGATAAGGGCTGCCATGGATGGCAAGATGTTAGCTCCCTCGCCTGGTATATAGGAGGTTGTGGTTTCGGTCCCGACCATGACGCCCTGTATATTTTTGAGTGTGCATGTTCTCCCCATGGTTGTGTGGATTATTTTCCGGGTCCTCCGGTTTTTCCCTACACATTTATAAACGTGTGTTTTAGAGTATTTGGCTGCGAAACATTTCAGCATGATGATAAGCCACTTTATTGAGCTATCATTTTATGGCCAGGTTTCTTATGAAAAAGAGCTTTTTATAGCTCGGTGGGCCTTACCTGGTAAAATAAAAAAAAATCTGTAGTTTAGTTCAACTCTGCACACATTGCTCATTACAAATAATAATTTCTTACGCACCATTCAACACAAGTAACATATTTAGTGTGGAGGTTTGCCAGGTGGCTTCTACCGGTGCTGGCTTGGACTACTAAGACAGTGCTAACTAACACCCTTGGTTTGAATCCTGACACCCACCCATCCTTAAAACTGGGTTCTCAAGTGCAGTGGGTTAATGGTATTAGACCAATCGCCAATGACTGCACACAAAAAAATAGCGCAGTAAATTTGGTGTTGCACTTAATTCATATCAATTGCAGCTCTCAAAATTAATGTCAGTTCAACTGTCATACAGCAATGTCAGAGTAGATTGTACGGCAGAAGCCGAGTGAAATGACACGATCTTTTGCAACCGTTCGCGTGACATAACGCCTGGAGCTTATCTGTGACGGAGAGAAAAGGGGCAAATAAAAAAAGATTGGCAGGTTAGTTTTTGTTGCTTAGTTTCATATCACCATCACTTTCCTCGGCGTGTTGCCATTGGGAACTTTTATTCGCCTCCTGTGCGTCAATTGCTTTTTCCTGCTGTGCAAGGGACCTGCACTGGGGCAACGTTCTGGTGAAGCAGACCAAGAAGAAGAAACTGAGCTACCGGCTGTTCGGCCAAACGTTCAGCATGCCCACGCACGGCGTGCAGGCGAAAATCATCGATTACACGCTGTCCCGCATGGAACACGGTCAGTGTGCGCGTCGTCGGAGCGAGTTGCCACACGTGCAATTTGGACAATCTCGGAGGTCCGCACAATGAGCCGAGATCTTAGGGTTTGAATGTGTGTGCGGCCGCCCATTTGTTGAAACGAATCGCTGGGTGCGGCGAGTTGATTTGTCTCTGGTCCCTCGTCGCCAATGACTGCACCAATAAAAACCCACGATGTGACATTTATTTTGTGCGCTTCATGTAGTTTTGGGCCACCTGAGTTGCTAAGTCGCCTGCAAAAATATACTACGTCAACACGCTTTATCTTGTGAGATGTAGTGCGTGCTCTTTAGATAGCTTTTTTTGATAAGTGATGTTTATTCCTCCCCCCCCCCTTTTTTTTCATCAAGGGCATGTGATCACATGTACAAATGCCAATCGCAAGACCAGACGGAGTTTGTAATACAAGCACTAGGAATGTAGTGACGCTTTAATTCATGGATTTAAAATCGATTTCTATGCTTATGATAGTACATGAAATAAATTATAGAGTATATTTTTACATGATGATTTATTATAAAATTTTTGTCTCGTTATTTACATCCCAAAACATCCCTATTTCCGCAATTTCCCTACATGATCGTGAAAAAAAATCGACACGCATTCCACCTTTCACCATGCGCATTGTTCCGGTGACCAGTTCTTCGCAAGCCGACACCATCCTACAAGGTGTCAAAACGCATAGCATTCGTAAAATAAAGGATCGATGCATGAATTTAATCCAGAATGATGGTTCCTCTAACGTGGAAGGTGGATTGTTACATCACATCTGTACTGTGTAGTGTCAACATTTAATCGCTTGCTTCCAACAGGGGTTCATGCTGTGGTATATTTAGATAATTGTTGGCGATGATGATTATTATAATAATATCGTTGGTGGTTGTGTTGGTGGTGTCGCTTGTGCAGAAGGAATTAAGAAGTTCTCCGACATGGCATCGGACGAGATGCTTTTCCAGGGTCAGGGTGACTATCAGTACGACATTTACCGCATGATGCGCAATGAAAACAAGTGAGTCTCATCCCCTGCCGTCTCCTCACCCCTCCCCTGATTGATGCCGTGGTTGCATCACTGAGGTTAGGTTTGGACAAAACTGTCTATCTGTGTGTACATTGGAAGAGTCCAGCTAGATAAAAATAACTACGTATTTCTTTCGCACCGTGTTTAGCCAACTGCGCTAATTGGAGGTGCCTGGTAAGGACCACTAACCATAGCTCTAGTGGCTCCCTAATATCAGAAATGTTATATTTGCTTGCTTCCTGTAGCCTCTTGGGAGGTTTTGGGGGTTTTATAAACCATACCCTCGACTGCAAAGTGAACATGAAGAACATGGACTGATTTGCAGCATTCAAATGAAAATATTCTAGAATATAATTATTACAAAACACATTTTTTGAAGTAACTCACTTTGTTAAAAGAGGTGATTGATATTAAAGTCTCAACAGTAGAGTTGTAATACTACTCCATGGAATGTACACTACTGACGTTTTTACTCAATCCTCATGCATTTTCCAGATTCCAAAGAACACAGGATGAGATGTTACTATCCTTTGTGTAAGCACTTCCAAGAGTTCATGAACAGTGAGCCTGGTGAAATTTGGGGAGCGCATCGTCAGTAGTGACCCTTTGGTTCCTAGGGTGTTTCGGCCTTTCATACTATACACCCTCCCCAAAGGCGGCCAGCGACAGGGTGATCAATCCTACGCTTGCATCCCATTCCCAATTAGTCATAGGAGTTGCCTTGTTGTTGATAGCCAACATTGCCTTGTACAAATAATTGAAAGAAATGTTGACTCGCTTGGTTTAAATGCCATATTTGTGAACAAAATAAACAAAGCAAACTTCATGATTCTGAACTGACCCCTCTTGCCCTTCCTTTTTGACCTCTCCATATGCTCGTTTTTACAGTAACAACTGGGCAGCCTACTCCCCACACACCAACGTGCTGTGGCTGCACTACCTGGCCGGCAAGATGCTGCACGGAGTGAACTGCCGTCAGAGGCGCCAGGTGTCGCCACGCAAACGCCTCGAGCGCTTTGCGCGGGACGCGCTGGCATTCCCATCGGCCACCGAGCTCGTGAGGAGTGGGCCGAGCCTCCTCGTGTCTCCCCACCCCCTCCCCACACCGAGTTGACGGAAAGGTTTCTTTTATAAGTCCTTGACGGTCTCGTAGTTGCGCGTTTATTCATAACGGCGGCTTGGAAACGCGTGCGAAACAAATCTGGGGTGACTCTCCTTTATTAACAACACGTTTATCTCATAGTTCCATGCTTAGAATTGAATGCAATTCCGAACAGGACTGTAGGATTATCAGAATTGTGTGTGGGTGGTCAGGGTTGCATGAAGCCCTGGTTGTGCCATTCGGGGGGAAAGGGGGAAGACATGTGGGGCCCTGACCGTCTTGGTGGAAATCGTCATTGAAACGGCTGATGTTGGTCAACTGGAGGTCCTGTAATGTACCCACAATACTCGCCTCCACGAGGATGCATTATTTTAGACTTTTATATAAATGCTATGCTTATTTCATATTATTGCACAGACCAACATGTCACAGGGAGGATTGGCAGATTTGCAGAGATGGAATGTGATGGACAAAACATGACAAAAAAATCGGCTTAAATGGACAATGTGTAGAGAGGTCAGACGAGACCATAGAAGAAGGCTGTGCAGGAGAAACTGGCAACACTGGCATCGCTAGACTTACAAAAGGGGAGATGCGTTCTTTAAAAAGGCACGTGTAAAACGAAAGTTCGTCAAATCAGAATGACTTCCCATTAATTTAATACGAAATATTGGGGATGTTTCATACAGTCATTCCAACTCTCTACGCCCAACCTAAAAATATACCCAGATATCGCTCTTCGTAATGCAATAATAATAATAAAGAACAGGAATATTAAAACGATTGAATAATTGTAAAAAACTATTAACCTTTTCTGGGAATTCACCAAAAGATCTGTTGGAATGACTGCAAAGGTATGACTGTGGAGGCGCTCCAGTTCCACTGCAGGGATACTGAGGCTGTCGGTGGATGGATGACGCAGCCTCCTGGATGGTTCTTGTCTCATCCCACGTGAAATTTTGATAATGCGGAAATTTGATTTTGTTAACCGTGAAAAGTGTCCATAATTTGTCAATTGTGTTTACGCGAAATTTAGTTTACCGAACTTTCGTGAATCAAGAGTTATCTGTAGAGTAAAAAAAACGAACAGCACAAGATGGTAGAAAAAACACGCGACAACAAACAAGGAGAATTGGTGCCAGCATGTAGAAGTGAGCACTCATCAGCCACATCACGAGAAGGAATAATCCGACTGGTGATGCATCCGAGAAGACAGTCGCTGTGGAGATTTTGCACGGATGATAGTTCGTGCACGGCAGCAAGATGAACAGTATAAATGTCGAACCAATGGGGGGGATGGCATGGAGAAGCCTTTCTGGCATTGATTATGATGTATGTATGTATGAGAGATGATGAGATATTTAATGTGCAGGTGTGAAAAAATTGTGGCATCAATGGGGGGTTAATCAAGGGTGTTAAATCTCTGTCGTGATCACCTCGGTCCACTACCATCCCTAATGAGGTCAATAAAAGTAGCTCAACTTATTAGAGTACCACCATTGTTTTCACATGTCCATCGTTGCCTTTGCAGATAAATCCAGAGCTGCATCAGATGTAACGCGGATGACCAAATTGCAGAGGGCATCCAATGTCTTCTATTTGTTTTCTGAACCTTACTTAATTTTATTTTGTAATTTTGGTGCTCCAGCAGGTCACTATTGCAAAATGAGACTATCCTGGTCTCTTTTGAGTTCACCTGGCTAAGCAAAAGAAACGTCTAACTTTAACAGTGTATCAGAGTGGCCTTCCATTTAAACATGGCACTGATTTTCAAATAAAAGCTACTTTCCTGGGAAGCTCAAAAGAGGATGCCAAAATGAACTGAAATTCCTTCACAGCAATTTCATCCTTTTCCCCCCAGGTGGAAACCAGAGCATGTAACAGCCTTCCTGATACTTCCACCAAATAGTCGCCCTACAGACAGGCAGGAAATTCAACATTTGCAAATATTGCTATATAGAGCACACAACCCATTGTTGTGCTTTGCTACAATGTGGGATGCTGCAATAGGCCTTTAATAGCACGTGATGGGCATGAAGCATTTCTGATTTTATATATATTTTATATTGAAGCAGTGTTATTGACGATTGTTTTTTTTTTATTGTTAATTGTGCCTATGCACCACTGCCAACAGCCCATCACCAAATGATGTGTGCTTGAAACCCGATGGGTTCGTTATTGGTTGGAAAGATTGATCATTTGGCAACGCACACTCCTGTCGAGATTGTGAATGTACAATTTTAACCGTGCCGCAAATTTTTTTTGTTTAATTTGTTTTTAAGGAGCCGTCTTGCTACCATGATCCACACGTTCGTCAAATGAGGGGAGCTTTTTATTTGCATCTGAATTTTTGAAGGCGGCAAGGTGTTCTGCCAAAAATGAGATCTCAATGTCAGCAGGGTTCTTGTGAAAATAATTTATTTAATTGGCCGTTTTGTCAGCTACCTGGACTTGGGTCTTCAGGCCACTTGCGAAAGCATGTCACCCTAGCCTTTAACTTGTTAACGTAAAATTATATTTTTAAATTATGGATGGATCATTTTGAGAACATTTTTGGCAAGAACGTCTCTTTTTTTATATATTTTAATTTAATGTTATGCAAGCCTCCTCCCACTCTTGCACCAGTGCCTTTTTTATCTAAAAAATATCGCTTCTGCAGATAGGAGTGAAGTTCAACAATAAGCACGGTATATTTTTAGTTTTGTTTTAAATGCCTGAAACTTTCCACATTTTAAAATGGGCATTTCTCATTGTGTTGCTTGTGATTAAATTGACGCATTTTTAAAGGTTTAACACGACTCGGTGTGGTTGAGAAAAAAAATAATGCTTTAATCGTTTCCCCCATAGCATTTTTAACGTTCTGATTCGTATCTACATTACATCCCTTACATAAACAACCCAACAATCTGCTCTTTTAGAAGCATTTCTACTTTCCCACCTGCATTAACCACTGCAAAGTGCATCGATGGGTAGTATGGATGAGAGCAAAATGCTGTGATTTTTTTTTTTTTAGCCCTTGAATCTTGAAGAAACATCTATTTGATGTGTACAAGTTTCTGTCAATGAAAATAGAATGTCGCTGTATAGCACTGAATAATATGACCAGTGTTACTCGCTTGGTGACCGTGTACATAGTTTTCGCGACAATGTTTTTAAAGCGGTCCTGGCTTTTGGTTTACAGAAGTTGAATTGTGACACGTTATATTGTTGCATTTTAAAAACTGTATAAATGTTTTTAACTTTAAACCCGTCTCTTTTTTTATATAAACGATAAACCTGATCAGCCGAGTTCGATTGCCTGCCACGGCTATCGTAAGGGTGCCGCCGTGGTAATAAGAGATGTTCACTATCTCGCCTGGTGTACAGGAGGTCGTGGGCTCGATCCCGACCTTGACGCCTGCTGTTTATTTTGGGTTTTTGTGTTCTCCCCGTGGTGGCGTGGATTTTTTTCCCAGGATCCTCCGTTTCCCCCCCCCCCCCTCCACTTTTAGAAACTTGCGTTTGTGGAGTATTTGGCTGCTGTCAATCTCCACGTAATAAGCGAACTTAGTTGAGATGTCATTTGTGGCCACGTCGTTTATGAAAAAGAGTTTTATAACTCAGTGGGCCTTACCTGGTAAAATGAAATTTAGTTTAATTTTACTGGTAGGAACCACCTGGTTCCACCAGCCCACAGGGGATTATTGTCTCCGTCCGTCGTGCATCCAAAAATGGGAGGGGTGGGGCTGGTCATTTTTTTCTGTGGCTGTTCCACCTGATGACGGAAGCTCGTGTTGCCTCCGAAACGTCGTGATTTAATTTAGTTATTTTCATTTTATTATTTTTCATCCGCGTGACTTTACCGAAAGAACCAAAGAGTGTGCATCCTTGCAGTCACGAAAAATTCAAATCTGGAATAATTCGTTTGCTTGCACTCGACCATCAACTGGCTTTGCCAAAAAAACCCAAAAGAGCCTCCGTGTCATTCATACACAGAGGAGGTGCCCTCATTCCAGGCAGCTCATTGGAGACCCACGGACAACTCCCCCAACACCCATGCCAGACACGAACGCTGCAGCAGCAACACCAGCCCATTGCATTCACGAGGTGCGCCTCCCACAGCCACTCGTTCGTCCATCGCAGCTGCTTCACCCACCACTTGCAAAACGCATGCATAGCCCTCTGAACACATCAGCTACAACACACACACACACCCTCTCCATCATGCACAGATACATACACTCCTGGACACCCAGCCACAATATACACACCCACTCACAATAGAAACCTCACCCACAACGCACACCCCCACTATACCATGCACAAAGACCGTCTTTAACAGACTGTAGGGGCAAGTGCTGTTAGCGAGCACCGATGAAGCCTGGAACGGTACACGAGGGGGTGGGGGGTCAGCAAACACCACCGGCCAACTTTGCCTCTCCGGTGGCGATGCTTTTTTTTTTACACACCGTACCAGGTACTCATTTGAGGCTGAGTCGACCTAGGAGAGGCCCAGCACCGGTTCGATTAATTATCACTGGTGTTGGCCGTGAGCGTGAATCGTCCGTAATCCGTGAACCAGTGGTCCTTAACCTGGGGTGCAGGATGCGCTTTCTAGGGATGCGAGGCATGTCCAGATGTCTTGAGGACTTCAATAATCGAAACACAAATCAAACACTGGCACGTAAGGGGCCGTCCATAAATGACGTCACGCACCTGGGGGGGGGGGGTCAGACATTTGTGACAATTAGCGACGGTGGGGGGGGGGGGTTTGAGAAATGTGATGTCACATCAAAATGCGCAACTTTAAATAAATATAGACAACACGTTCTAAATTAAATAGACTTTTAATAAATGTTTTCTCCTACAACATCAGAGTGCAGCGCCACATTAAATACGCACTACAATGACAATAGTTTAAAGCAATTTGAAGCATGTTTTATTTTATAAATGGAAATATGGTTTTGGGGGGGGGCGGAGGGGGCAGAGCTTTGTGACGTCATATTTGAGGGGGGGTCTGACTTTGTGACGCCGTGTGACGATGGGGGGGGGGTAAAAAAAATCGTCAAAAATCGCGTGACGTCATTTATGGACGGCCCCTTACTTTGTTTCACCAAACCCTATGTATTTATTCACATTCATCTTTTTTTTTATCCTTTATATTAAGTGCGCTTCCTTGCTTGCTTGCGTGCTTGCTTGCTTGCTTACGACCGTGCAAATCTTTCGGTCGTTTTTAAATCCTTTATTTTAAGTTCGCTTGCTTGCTTGCGTGCTTGCTTGCGTGCTTGCTTGCTTACGACCGTGCAAATCTTTCGGTCGTTTTTTAACCCACTTCCCGTGATCCAATCGAGCTGACATTTTCCACACAGACTCGTTGTGCGAGACAATGTTCGTGAAAAAAAATTCCCAAAATTTTACACTGTTTAGGGAAATAAAATTAAATATTTAATTACCAATTGCTTAATACTGGCAAACCCATAGATTGCAGCCATCTCAAGCCAGAGGACGAGAGGACTCTAGCCGCCACGCATATAAAGGATTTAGAGTGAAAAACTTTGTTTTTACGGGTTTACTTGTTACGACTGAGAACCAAAGGCGTTTGCAAGGCTACAGCAAAGGTTATAGGAGCCACTGACATGTACACCCTAACACCCACCCCCAACATTCCACTCACACTCGACACTCACCCAGCCAGACCCACGTGGGTGACAGATGCTCCGCCCACTGGGCTGACCCGAAGCACCACGTGGAGGAGGAGCCGCGCACGCCACGTGTCCGCGTGCAGTGGAGGAGGCCTGGTGCGCTCTGTGTGTGCGAATCCGTGTCTGTGTTGGAGCTGGTGTGTGTGAGAGAGCCAGTGTTTGTGTGTGTGTGAGAGCCACTGTCTGTGTGTGTGTGGAAGCCACTGTCTGAGCGTGTGTGGTAGCCGGTGTGTGGGTGTGTGTGGTAGCCGGTGTGTGTGTGAGAGAGCCAGTGTGTGGGTGTGTGTGGGAGCCACTGTCTGTGTGTGTGTGAGAGCCGCTGTCTGTGTGTGTGTGGAAGCCACTGTCTGAGCGTGTGTGATAGCCGGTGTGTGTGTGTGAGAGAGAGCCGCTGTTTGTGTGTGGGAGCCCCTGTCTCTGTGTGTGTGGGAACCAGTGTTTGTGTGGAAGTCACTGTTCGTGAGAGAGCCCCTGTATGAGCGTGTGTGTATGGGAGCCACTGTCTGTGTGTGTGAGAGCCCTTGTTTGTGTGTGTGAGCCGCTGTTTGTGTGTGTGGAAGTCATTGTGTGTGTGTGTGTGTGGTAGCCGGTGTTTGTGTGTGTATGGGAGCTACTGTCTGTGTGTGTGTGAGAGCCAGCGTTTGTGTGTGTGGAAGTCATTGTGTGTGTGTGTTGGAGCCAGTGTGTGTGTGTGTGTGAGCCTCTGTCTGTGTGTGTGAGAGCCAGTGTGTGTGTTGCAGCGTTTCTGACTGCCTTGTCTCGCTAGGCCAGCCGGCACGACAAGAGCCACTAGGGGAGGAGACTTGGTAAGTGGGTTGACTTCAGTGTGTGTGTGTGATGTGTGAGAGCTGATGCAATGCAGCGCGTGGTATGTTAATACGAGTGGATGAGAACCGATATAAGCAGTGCTGTGTGGACGGAGTGGATTTTGAAGATTGTTCGTGGGTTTGTTGCTGATGACATATGATGATTGTGAAAGAGTGTGGTGGTGGTGGCAGTAGTACTGTCCACTCGTAGCTGTCAGCAGTAAATAGTGCGGTTGTTGTGCAGACGACAGCTGTCAACCCACACGGTTTATCCGTATTCTTATAGAGGGACATTAAGTTTTTCAGGTCCATACGCCGTATAGCCGTTTCAGTACGGGCAATACGCTGTTTTGTGTTTCTCTCTGGTGATAGCACTTTGTATTGTGAACTTTGAGATGTATACGTGCACGGGGTGGCCAATAGGGTCTGTTTTAAGGTAGGCACTGATAATGGGTTGACAGGTATGATTGGTTGACAGGTATGATGGGTTGACAGGTATGATGGGTTGAGAGGTGTGATGGGTTGACAGGTGAGATGGGTTGACAGGTATGATGGGTTGAGAGGTGTGATACTGGGAAGATAAACGGATACACTTGGAGACACGTGGTGTGTGTATTTTACGAATCAAGTGTCGTTCACCCGCCACCAACCCGACACAGCCAATTAATAAGATTTGTAACTTAACCAAAACGCGCTAATTAGCTACTGCTTCAGCACGCCAATGTGTTGGAGAGTAAACCCACAAAATGTACAATTTGAGTACGACGTTTCGCTGGTGATTACAACCAGCTTCATCGGGCGATGTGCCAGCATTAGAAATTAATAATATTGGTCGCGAAAGCCGACGTGTTAGACTTACTTCAATTAAACCCAGAACTTAGCTTTTTGCGCTTTCAGATGCGCTTCTGCGGCCGTCTGGAACGCTCTTCCGATATTATGGGAAGTCACCGGAGCTTTGCGCTTTAAAACCATCTAGATTGAAAACTAGTTTCTTGAGAACTGCTTTTTGTGTTTAGTTTCTTGCCCTTCCCCCGCTCCTCCGATTAGCACGTTAGGGCTACGCACGGTGCGAAAGAAGTTCAACACACGTGCACGTGTAAGAGTTGTTTATGAGCACCCCTTAGCAAAATTGCATAATATCCCCTAGCCGTCACATCCACGGACAGTGGTTGGGAAGGTGTGAGGAAGAGGAAGCAGGCATTAGTTGAGAGGAAAGGGGACAGCCCAATTTAAAACCCTCGCTCGTGCCCGTGTCCACAGATCAATGGCGTCGCAGAACAAGATGACATCCTTCAACGTGGACGCGCCGCGATGGGACCAGACGACCTTCGTGGGACGCCTCAAGCACTTCTTCAACATCACTGACCCGCGCACCGCGCTGCTGTCCAACCACGAGCTGGAGCGAGCCAAGGAGCTCGTGATGCTGTGCAGGTCAGACGCTCGCCCCCCGGAGAGAGAGAGACCCACGTACGACAGAGGTGGAAACATCGATACAGGGAGGCCTTCATCCAGCGGTGGATGATGGACACGGCTGTTGTGCAGTCTGTTCTCCAATAAGGCGGTAGTTGCTTTCATGAAGACCACCGCGTTGTGGGGGAATCGCGTCAATTAATAATGTCGGGTGAAGAGCAGTCCGCGATGATACTTGAGATGCGTACGCAGGCAGCATCCTGAAGAATCCAGCAGCATCCCAGTGCCTCGTGTGATGATGCTACGCCGAGGCAGCCGTGACGCGACCCCTTACTCGCGCGACGTTCACTCGATCGCGTTATAGCCAATTGGCATTGTGAAAACACGTGGCGTTATAGGGGAACGCGGACTGTACGTGCGAGTAATACACAGGGTGATCCTGGTGGTGTTATAATGACCCTCTTACTTTCTACCCAACGCGGCTGATTGAATTAATGTGGAAGCGACGACTCCGTACCAGACAGTTGTTAAGAGTGACTGACTTTTTGTGACGCCGTGTGACGAAGGGGGGGGGGGTCAAAAATTGTCCAAAATCGCGTGACGTCATTTACGGACGACCCCTTAACGATCATATAAGAGATTGGTACCATAAAGATGAAAGATGTGGCCCCACTCGCATATATTTGCACGAGACAGGAGAGGAAAGTGGGAGAAAAAAAATGACTAAACGTGCATCAGACGCCTACGGGCTCTCTTGCCCATGGATCGTGACGACGACGATGGCGGCACGAACTGTTGGGCTTTGCTGCGCAGGGCTGGATCCACCCCACCGGGCACCACCGTGGAGCAGCTGCACTACGCAAAGAAGCTCTACGACTCGGCCTTCCACCCGGACACGGGCGACCGCAACAACATCATCGGCCGCATGTCCTTCCAGGTCCCCGGTGGCCTCGTCATTACCGCCGGCATGCTGCAGTTTTACAGGTGCCACCCTGGTGCCACCCAGGAGCCCTCCCCGGGCGGACGGACGGGCAGTTCCGCCTGCCAGCCGACAATTTTCCCTCCCACCCCAGCCCCCTCCCCACCCCCTCCCCACCCCCTCCCCACCCCCCCTCCCCACCCCCTCCCCACCCCCCTCCCCACCCCCTCCCCACCCCCCTCCCCACCCCCTCCCCACCCCCCTCCCCTACCCCCCCTCCCCACCCCCCTCCCCACCCGCCCCCTACCCCACCTCCCCACCCCCTTCCCCACCCCCCTCCCCACCCCCCTCCCCACCCCCCTCCCCACCCCCTCCCCACCCCCCTCCACATCACGTGGCTAAATTCCATCTCTGATGATTGAAACATCGGTTTTTGCTGTCATACGATGAACAGGTCACCTGAAGAGTAACGTTCGTTTCCAGCGGCCGTTCTCAAACAAAAGAGGGTTGCTCGACATGATGCCGATCGCACGATCGGGTTAAAATGTGGAAAGATTCGTGAAAAGCGTAAATTTAAAAAAGTATTCAGCCCTAATGTACTTTACTTTGTCAGGTCCATACCAGCCGTGGTCTTGTGGCAGTGGATCAACCAATCCTTCAATGCTTTGGTCAACTACACGAACCGCAATGCTGCCTCGCCCATCACGTCCACGTAAGTCTGGAGTGCACATGTTTTAGTTATTTTTAAATACTTATACACATTATTTATAAACATATAACAAATTGTATTGTCATTCAAGAACCCAAAATGCAAAGTAGAATTCTAAAAGAGGGGGGGGGGGACAGCAGGTAACGTGTACCGTATGTATGTATGTTCTTGGTTCTTTCGGTAAAGTCCACAGTGGATTGTGGATTTCACACCTGATGATGATTGCTTGTGTTGTAGTCGAAACGTCGTGAGAATGTTTATTGTTTTATATTAATATTATTTTATTATTTCCCTTCTACGTGACATTACCAAAAGAACCAAGAATATGAATCCCTGCAGTCACGAAAGCTTTAAATCAAAAGTATGTATGTGTGTTGAACTTTTTTCACACCCTACTTGGTCAGCTGTGCTAATTGGAGCTGCTAATCCAGGGGTCGGCAACAATAATAAATTTTTTCCGAATTCGGGAACCGCCCCCCTCACCCCAATATTTTAAAAAGCCACAATGCTTGCGAGTATAAGACGTTCATTAATAAATAACGTCACGAAGCAATCTTGAAAGAGCCGCATGCTGCTGACGCCTGTGCTAACCGGAGGTAACAAACTCGGCGTAATAAACCCTCAAAGTCGGGGAACGAACGAGGGCGCCCGGGCTCGCTGCCCTACCGCCACGATCGCGAGCGGCGTACTTAAGGGGAACGGGAAGAAGATGAAAAATGTGGGAGGGGTGGGTGGGGGGGAATAATGGAACCAAACAGAACCAGAGATAAAATAAGGTAAGCGCGATGCCCAAGTTTGTCATTCTCGATTTAAAGCTTTCGTGACTGCAGGGATTCATCTTCTTGGTTCTTTCGGTAAAGTCACGTAGAAGGGAAATAATAAAATAATACAAATAAAACATAATAAAATAATTCTCACGACGTTTCGGCCACAACGCAAGCAGGCAGACCGATTGCTGCAGAAAAAATATTTTATTATTTTATTATTTCCCTTCTACGTGACTTTACCTAAAGAACCAAGAAGATTTGTCATTCTCCTTCGCTCCCAAGAGCAGCGATTACCGTGCGTTAACAGAGGTGGTGATGGGGGCACGATTTTGAAAGCGTGCGTGTTCCCGAAAAGTGTTACATTCCAATCGCAAAGCAAACACACAGTTTTTACGCAATCTCTTTAATACGTTATACACATCTGGATGAGAGTTCAATGTGTATATCGGTAAGCCTAGCAGATTTTTTTAATGTTATCGTACTGGTAACTGGTAGTGAGATTTTCCCTCTTTCTATTGACTGTAGCTTCACACAAGTAGAAGATATTTGGCCGTACATTATTTGTGGAAATTATCAGCTTTCGAGCCCTTCTGGAAGCTCATTATAATTTAATTCATCACTCGGTCACAGTTATGTACATTATGCATTATCTATGAGCATGGTGGTGCTGAGTGTTGGCACGGTTATTGCTTTGGCCTGCAATGCCATGGCTAATCATCCCTGGTTAATGGGTCTGGTTAATTGGTTTGGTTGATTATTCTGGTTAATGAGTCTGGTTCATGGGTCTGGTTCATGGGTCTGGTTCATGGGTCTGGTTCATGGGTCTGGTTAAGCCGGAATGCCTTTGTCTTCATCATGTTGCGTGTGCACAGGCAGATAGGCATGGCTTATGTGACTGCCACAAGCGCTGCTCTTGTCACAGCTGTGGGGCTCAATCTCTGCACCAAGGTACGTGAGTGACCGGCAGAGATTGGCTGAAAAGGATTCTAGGAGTTTGTAGTTAGAATGATATTAGAATCACACTGTGCTCGTTGGCGTCTTTCACAGAATGCGCCACCACTTGTGGCCCGCTGGGTCCCTTTTGTGGCCGTGGCAGCTGCCAACTGCGTGAATATACCCATGATGCGGCAACAGTAAGTGCGACTGCGTATAATTACTCTCAATAGGGGGTTGTCCAGTTTTATATTTGGCAGCGATGTGCGTCTTGATGCCCATCAACCCTTTCCTGTTGCGAGAAGTCTGCAAGTTGCAGGGTGGGTGTCCCGTTATCCGCTGAATGTCGGAACGGTTGAGTGTTAATTTTATTTAGAGGCATAGCGCCGTTGTTTTTAAAAGTCATTGTACTCACCGCAATGAACTGTAGAGACACGACCGCACTACGATGCCTGGTGCCAAACTGTGCCGCACACCCTCCCGCATGGCCTTCTGGGAGCCTCGGTACCAATTGAGTTATTTTAGTTTAGTTTTTCTTCCAGTTCCTTTCCGACGACGTACGTGTACGTACACGTACGTCATCGGAACGAAATCGGAAGGAGAAATCTGGTGAAGTGGACGTACGTCATCGGAATGGGAAAAGATTCAATAACTCCGCTTCAAGGCGGTCTGCCAACTTACAGCGCTGAGACGGCAGCGGTGAGGGTTCACGATTAAACCGGGTATGCAGGCATCAGGTGACCGATGGCTACAGAAAAATAATATTGGAAAAATGTGGAAAATAAAATTAAAATTAATAAAAATAAAATAAAAATCACGACGTTTCGGAGGCAACACAAGTCTCCGTCATCAGGTGGGACCGTCACAGCCAGATTTGCTGCATCAAGTGAGCAGTAAATCTGGCTGTGATGGTCCCACCTGATGACGGAGACTTGTGTTGCCTCCGAAACGTCGTGATTTTTATTTTATTTTTATTATTTTAATTTCATTTTTTACCTACGTGACTTTACCGAAAGAACTAAGAGTATGAATCATTGTAGTCACGAAAGCTTCAAATCTAGAATGGAAAAATGTGATTTTGCACTTAATTTGGTAAATTACAGCTCTAATAGTATCAATGTCAGTTTGACTGTCGCACATCAAATACCCCTGTTGTATCGAGGCTACAAAGGCCACTTGAGGGATTTTTTTAAAGTTCCGTGAAAAGTTACTTGGCAGCAGTTGGCAGACACTTGGGTTTGCATCGCTCTGCGAGATTTCCGAACGGATTATTTTTTTCTCGTGACATAAAACCAATTGTACTCCGGCCGAGTAAAGTTGGGGAATAGGCCAAAAAGACTCAAATATAAATAACATCACCTTCTCCGGGCATGGTTGTTTTTCCACTCCATCGCAAGTGGGTTTTAGCAGCAAAGCAAGCGAACTGGGAAATTACCCCCCCCCCTCCCGTGGTTTCTAGCCGTGTCATGTTCGTGGTGCTTCTTGTGTTCGTCTTTCAGAGAGATCATTAAAGGAATCGTCGTGACTGATGAGAACGGAAATGAACTTGGACATTCCAGGGTGAGTGAGAGCGAGAATCAACAACCAACCCCAGGCTGTGTGTTAAGTATTGAACACACTATTAACCATCCTCCATAGCCTTTCCCTAGTTTTTGTCTGACACTAAAGTACAAATGTACGTACCAGGCGTGTAATGATGCATCGACTAAAATCCATTCTTATGCTCTCGATGCATGCTTCGAATCTTGCGTGTAACAATTATTATTTATAATTCATACAACATGATGGTTTGAACACTTCTTTGTCAAGCAACTGCTGGAAGACAGCCTCTCAATCCCAATAACTATATAGCTCAGTGGGCCTTGCCTGGTAAAACAATACAAAATAGTTTGAAAAGTTTATGGAGGGCAACGTACAGCTATTGGCAACAACGGGGCTCAATGCTATGGACTCAAATGAGCGGAGCTGTTGAGTCCGTCGCGTTGTCAGACACCGACACTCATGCCGCTGTGTGTGTCCTGCAAACCCCCCCCCCCTCCATTCTCCGTGACGTCGTGAGACAGAAGGCGGCCGTGAAGGGAATCGCGCAGGTGGTGGTCTCGCGAATCACCATCGCCGCGCCCGGCATGAGTGAGTGTCCTCGCACGGTTAACGAGCAGCTCGTGCTGCCCCTTCCAACATCGCTGTCGCGCAAAGCGCCCGCACGGAGTGTTGGGTTCACAGTCCCGTTCTTCTAAAACGCGTGTTTTTTTTTTGGATATACAACGCGATGAATGTATGAGGGAGCACATTTTTGTTTATGACGCAGACGAGGATTGGATGTAACGCGGTTGGGTGAACGGAACTGCTTCGTAGGGCGGCCTCGGCGTAGCGTCACACAGGGCAGAGGGATGCTGCTGGATGATTCTCGATGCTACTCGCGCGCCTCCGTCTTTGTTGAGCCTGCGTACGCATCTCGCGCATTATCGCGGACTGTGCTTCACCTCTATATATTGTATATCATTTATTTTAACACGATTTTTTCCATAACTACCGCGTTATAGGAGAACAGACTGTACCTGAAAATGACGCTCGTTTTTATCTTGTCGGTTTTTTACGTCTTTTGGGTTTTTTTTTTATTCCATGTTAGTTGCATTTTGCTAATAGCATAACGGATAACTCTCGATTATCTGGGGTGATTGGGTTGGGGGCGGGGGTGCGAGGGGTGGTATGGGTAACACAGCGACACGAGGTACGTGTGCATTTGGCTCAAGATCGAATGGATTGCTTACTTATGTGAAACAGGGGGTGGAGGTGTTTTCTCCTACAACATCAGAGTGCAGCGGCACATTAAATACGCACTACAATGACAATAGTTTAAAGCGATTTGAAGCATGTTTTATTTTGGGGGAGGGGGGGGGGCAGAGCTTTGTGACGTCATATTTGAGGGGGGGTTTGACTTTTTGTGACGCCGTGTGACGAGGGGGGGTCAAAAAATCGTCCAAAATCGCGTGACGTCATTTATGGACGGCCCCTTAGACGAGTGAGGAGCAGCTGCTGATTTATCCCGTGCGCACATAAAAGATAAACATTTTGTGTATTTTATCGCAACAGCGGTTATGAAGCAACGCAGGTAACTGGTCCATAGGTAAATCGAGCAGTAACTGTACAGTACTTTTTTAATCTGTAAAGTTCATTGGTGTGACAATGATTGTGTTTGAGTGTCTGTCGCGTTATCAATTTGTCTCCGCGTCCACCTGTCTGTGCATCCATCTCGAGATGTCCACTGTTTAGTTTATTTTTATGGAGCGACGTAGAGATGACATTCAGAACCGAGCTTGATACATGGCGTTGTTCTTTTAAGTTGAGACCAAGAGCAAATGTTGACTGTCGCCTAAATACACTCATCTTGTATGCTGCCAGTTCGTGTGTTTGTGTATGCAAATACGTAATTTATTGTATTTTATCTGTTCTTAGTTATCCTGCCAATCATCATGCAGAGGTTGGAAAAATACGCATTTATGCAGGTTTGTATTTTGTAAGACGCTTTTTATCTGTAGTTGTACGTGGACACTAATTATCTATAAGTCAACTTATTGTTTTATAATTAGGTTACTATTAAGCAATGTGTTTTGTATTCATAAAGGAAATGTATTATTCAATGACGGCTAAAAACATACTTGTGTTTACAATCATGTCGGATTGATTTAACAAATGTCTGTGATCTTTGGCGGGGTCTTGTGTTTGTCAAGCCGTTCGTGTGCGTCTGCTTAAACTCTTCATCCTCTCTGCCCTTTCATATTTTACCCTTTTCATTTCACACCGAGCAGCGAAGGCGGATTCTGCTTGGCCCGATACAGCTTGTCCTCCTCGGATGCTTGTGAGTTGGCGTTCACTTGAATGCAATAACTGAATTATAATTATTATATTCTGATCACGATCCGGTCAAGTGCCTCAGCGGTAGAGCAAGTGACTCCCAATCGTAACGTCGTCCGTTCCTAGCATCCCTCCGGGGGTCGATAAATTGAGTACTAACTTTGTGAGGAAAGCTAACAGTGGATTGTCATATGCAAAGACCCTCCATAGGAATGTGGATTTTCCAGCACTGGCTCAGTGGTGAGCAAGAAATCCCTATTTAATTCTTAATATTCTTTTAAGAATTACTTTAAATTATTTTATACCTACGTGACTTTACCGAAAGAACCAAAGAGTATGATAATGATATTCTTTTTGTTTGAAAGTGGCACACTCTTTATGTTATATATTAAAAAAAGTGACCAATGTTTTGGAAACATTTGTTTACAGTTTGACTTTCATGGTGCCAGCCGGATGTGCACTCTACCCTCAAACCTGGTATGCACGGGATGCTGCACAGACCTTTATAGCACGCACCCCACATAGTAAAAATAAAATCCCTATTTAAAGCTTTCGTGACTGCAGGGATTCATCTTCTTGGTTCTTTCGGTAAAGTCACGTAGAAGGGAAATAATAAAATAATAAAAATAAACATAATAAATAATTCTCACGACGTTTCGGCCACAACGCAAGCAGCTGTCCTCAGGTGAAGAACAGGTTTGTCAGGAAGACAGCGTCTGAGCGTCGGGAAGACAGCGTCTGAGCGTCGGGAAGACAGCGTCTGAGCGTCTGACACTGTCTTTCCGACAGACCTGTTCTTCACCTGAGGACGGCTGCTTGCGTTGTGGCCGAAACGTCGTGAGAATTATTTTATTGCGTTTTATTTTTATTATTTTATTATTTCCCTTCTACGTGACTTTACCGAAAGAACCAAGAAGAATAAAATCCCTGTTAGAGCATCGATGGCTGTGTGTTGGCGCTGAGTGTTGGTGCTGTGCCGCACAGCTCCATGGAGGTGAGCCACCTGGAGCCCGAGTTGCGGAAGTCGATCGTCGACAGACACGGCGACGCTGTGGCGAGGGTCTTCTTCAACAAGGGGCTGTGAGCTGCTGCTGCCGCCATGCGCAGGGGGCAGCCAAACGTGGATTCCGTCGCGACGCCGTTCAAGCAGCCGTGAGGCCACCCCTTCACCTACCATCACGCAAACTCTTTGGCTCGCCGTCGAACGAAGAGGGTCAACGCGTCGCGCGCTGCGGCGGTCTGGAAAGCTCTTCCGATAATAATAATAATTGACATTTATTTGTAAGGCGCCTTCCACTGATGTCTGAAGGCACCCTGTAAAATGAGTGTTAAGCAAAGGCCAAGAGAGAATGATAAGCTAAATAGAATAAATGGACGTAAGAAGATGTGTTTTTAGAGGAGACTTACAAGTATCCACATTATTGGATATGATGGTGCCACTTAGCTTAGGGTACACATCGCAGACAACCCGGGATTCCGTGCCTCCTGCGGCTCCTCTCCCCCCGGCGGCCGCTAGGCTCCGCCCCCCCCCCCTCTCTCCCCCCTCCCTCTCTCTCCCTTTCTTTTTTTATGCATCTGTAGCGTTTTTTTTATTTCAACCGGTGAGGCTCGTCGTCACGTCGAACATAAAAGCCGCATACTCTTAGATTTTTTCGGTAAAGTCACGTAGGTAAAAAATAAAATTAAAATTAATAACAGTAATCAAAATACAATTATTTTATTTCTATTATTACTTTTATTAATTTTTATTTTATTTTGTTAATAAAAATAAAATTATTTTATTTCATTTCTATTATTACTTTTATTAATTTTAATTTTTAATAAAAGTAATAAAAATAAAATTATTTTATTTCTATTATTTCTATTATTACTTTTATTAATTTTAATTTTATCTTTTACCTACATAAAAAACCTAAGAGTATGAATCCTTGCAGTCACGAAAGCTTCAAATCTAGAATGATAACCGAGGCCACACGCTCTAAAACACACGTTCATGAAGCGCTGTGCGTGCCGTGGCACTCCCGTAGGTCACCTCAGCCTAAAATTAACATGAGGGTGGTGCGTAGACATCGACATCACAGTAACTCAACATAAACACCTAAGCCCTCTAAAATATGCAACATAAACGAAGGCGAAGTACAGTAGACGGGCGTGTGGTCTGACGAAAACGATCAACCATTTTTCTTTACCACGTAAGGCCCACTGAGCTACGTAGCTCCGTTTCAGAAGCGAGCTGGCAATCACAAATGATAGCTCAACAAAGTGTTTCACGTGGACATTTATAGCAGACAAATACTAAAAAAAAACGTGATGATGATTCTAAATGTGGAGAGAAAAACCAGAGGACCTGGGGATCATACCACACGGTCAGCGACCGGATCGCAGTCTGTGACAGGAGGCTACACGAGGGATCTGTGGCGTGCCTGTGGGAGCTGTCCCTTCAGCACCCCCTGGTGTCTCTGCAAGGAACCAGCAGAACGTCAACACTGAGCGGTGCTTTCAGTGATGACCACACAAGCCACAAGTGGGCCTACTGCTGACCCCGATCCGGGCGTGATCGTTCCGTACGGGTAGTGATGAGGGTGGTGGCGAGGGTGGTGGCGAGGGTGGTGGCGAGGGTGGTGGCGAGGGTGGTAGGCTGCGATGCCTCTGTTCGGAATACAGCAGCCCGAAGGCCACGGTGAGCAGTCAGATGCTGTCGCTCCCCGTGGCGATCACATTGCTGCTCCTGCTATCACCGCTGGTGGTGGTGGAGCTGCCATTGCTGCCAACTCCTTGTATGAGGCTTATCAAGGCCAGCATCTCAAGGCAGGGGCAGCTGTAGCTCTCCTGGGAGGACCAGCTGTCATCTCAAGGGGGTAGCTGTTGCTGCTGCTGTTGTTGACACAATGTTGCTGTTGATGGTCCAGCTGAGATGGGGAGAAGGCGCCAGAGTCTTGCGGTGAACGCTTGAACCTCTTCCTCCTGCGCTGATACAAGCCGTCATCAAACATGATAATTGTTTTCTTACCCTTTTATCTGGCAACAAAGCTGACACCTTTTTTACAAGGAGTCATGTTTGCATTGACCACAATACCTGCGGTCGGAATGCAAACTCTGATAATGTATGCACTGTCCTTGAAATGTATTGGTCCACACCTGCGAGACAGCTTTCCTTAGAGCCTAGTTTCACATGGTGTTGGACCAGATGATGCCAAAAGGCACACAAAAAAACAATTATCATATTTTGCTACTGGCAAAGGAGGTTCCAATGGTGTAAATGCTTAACCCGAGCTCTCATACTCTGATGGTGCATTGTCTTTGGGTTGTGCGCCTTTTGGCATCATCTGGTCTATCACCATGTGGGACTCGGCTCTAAGGAAAGCTGTCTCGGGTGTGTGTAGACCAATCAATTTAGAGGACAGTGCATACATTATCAGAGTTATGTTTTTTGTTTGCATTCCGCTGTGTGCTACATCTGCACCCAGCCCTTCTCGTAGACCTACGGCCTCCGACGGGTAGCTCAACTCTGCATGCAGAGCTCTCCCGTCATCTGCCACCGAGCACACGGCCTCCTCCAGCGCCCACTGCTCCTTGAAGGCCGACACGGCGTGGGTCAGCCTGCGCATGGCGGCACTCCAGCCACACCCTGGCTCCGACCAGAGCGCGGAAGATGCCCAGGCTGCTGGCCGGACGTTTCCCCTCCACGGCCACCTGTAGATGGCCGGCTTGGCGTAGCCCATGAGTACGTTGACGAGTCCAACCCGAAGTCCAAATCAATCACCTTTTGGTGCCCATAGATGAGGATCGTCGGGGAGAATTGGAGGCTGAAATATAGCAGGGCATTCCGCAGGACCTTGAACAGCTTGCGCTGGCACGTATTTGGTGCGCCGCCGTCTCCACGTCACCACAGGAACCGGCACTCCGGCGCCGTGTCGGTAAAGCACGCTAGGGAGAGGCGTTGGCGGTGACGCTGCTGTGGGCGATTCTCCTGCTGAGGTCCCCAAGGCGCTTGTACGTCGACCTGAAGTAAAGCTGCCTCCAGAGAGCCCTCTCCTGAGAGATGCATGGGCAAGGCTTTCCTCCAGGCATGGTCCTTATGATTCCTCAAGGTGTCCCTAGTGGTGGAAGTGGATCATGTAGGCGTACAGCACCTTCCTCTTAACGTCCACAAACACCACTTCTGGCAGGCCTCCCAGACAGCAAAGGTTGTGTTCTGCATTCCTCGGTTGGGAGTGACGACTCGGTGGCACGATGGAGAGCACCGGCGGAGAGGGACCGAAAGGGGCCTCATCATCGCTGATGCTGATGGCCGGCATTCTCTGCGCTGCTGCTGAGAAGACGCTTTTTTGGCTTCAGTCAGGATCGGAGCTGCCACCCGGAGTGACTGCAGTCCCAGCTTTGCGGCCATCTCAGCCGAGTGAAGCCACCGGCCCTGTATTCCGGGCTTCACCAGATCTCCCATCCTGGTGAGTAAGGCTCGTCTCCCTGCAGGGGGTGGTGATGGATGGCGGCTCTGTCTGCGGATCCCCGAGGACTGGTTCGTAGACCAGTTCCACCACCGACCGCCGCTGGTTCAGCCTTCTGACAGCGACGCTCCTGTGGAAGGGTGGCAGCTGTCCCAGTGGGAGGCCCCGCATGTCCGTGTAGAATAGCTGCTTGGTGCACTGCAGACCTCCCAGCTGCTCCAGGAGAAAGGAGACCGTGACGCTCCAGGTCGGTGGAGGGATGTCGTGCAGGAATCTACATGCGGCCAGCAGATGGAAGGTGGCCACCTGACTCACCAGCACATGACCTCCCTCGCCTAGTGGCAGAGCCAAGACCCCAGCCGCGAGCCAGTGTCCTCTTCCTGACCAGAAGAAGTTGAAGATCCTCTTCTGTATCGCATTGATGAGGCGATTGGGGGTACAGGGAGAAGAGTAGGTGCCACAGCATGAACGTAACCAGCTGGTTAACCACCAAGGTCTTCGTCCTGAAGGTGAGGAACTCGCACAAGCAAAGAAACTGTGCACTGCGGAGAGCGCAGCCACGTCCTCATCAGTGAAGCAAAAAATAACAAGCTAGGAAAACCACAAAACAGTGTCTAAATAAACAAACAAGTGATCAAAATGTGTGTAAAGCAAAACACTGGTGGTAAATGAAATTCCCACGAAAAATAGTGAAAATATTCAAGTTTGTAGAGGTAAAGCCAGGAGCTCTGTGTGAACACGTGCCTCACCCTTTTTTTACACGTATTCTCTGGAGGTTGTGAATGTTTGATGGCCCTGTAAACGCCTTGCCACACGCAGTACACCTGATGGGCTCCTCTTTTGTGCGTGTTCTTTGGTGTCACCAGCTCCCTCTGGGAGGGAGCGAGGCTTTCTCGGTCTCTTTCCCCGCTCTCCCCTCTCTCGATCGGTGAATGCTCACGAGTAGTCTGTGAACTTCTCTATGACACGTTGACTACCTTCCGATATTTGAGCAATTTAATCTGTTCATAATTACCTTTGTGCCTACGTGCATTGATCTTTGTTTCATGCAGACTTAGTATTATAGGGCTGTGGTATGCCTATGAAATGCAGGTATAAACAATAATTGTAACATTACCTACAATTCGTTGTAAAAGATGGTAAGATTTTTCATGGAGCTAGGATGTTTGTTTTTCAGGGATCGACAAAATATGCTTTGTGCTAATCACATTTTCAATGTGCAGATTTTATACATTTGCAACTCGCACAATGTGTTATTTTTCTAAACAAAGTTAACATCTCTGTCATTCATTATTTTTGATGTTGTTTAACAATAAAGGAAAACGAGAGAGAAAAACATTTAGAAGTTCATGAGTATTCATAATATTGAGCACTTGGCTGGCATGACTGAGGTCCTGGGTTTGAATCCAGGCAGCCACACGTGATTAACCTGGGTTCGAGCACTGTCATCAATGATTACACACACAGACCAACAATGTATAAAGTGTAAGTTTGGACTTTGGCTAAATTCCGAACTTGGAGAATTTAAAGGGTGTTGGTTTGGTTGCTGTGCAGTCAGTGCTTATAGCAGTGCATGTGGGAAATTGCAGCCACTCCCAGGGTGAATGTGTTACTTGAAAGGCTCTAAGAAGTAGTTCTGCCTGTTCACCTTCTGCAGGCCGTTATCTCACACACAGGATGCACTGCACATTTCTGCAGGAGTTCCGAATGCACGCATTTTCTAAGGGAATGTCGCTGAATACACAATTGAAACACGTGTAAAAACACACTAAACATAAAACTCGATTATCCTCATGAGCAAAACTACCTGAATTGACTTAAACTTGCGGGAGCCTCCCAAGTTTGACATCCCAAGTTTTGACTTGCACATTGCTCTTCCTCGTAATGCCATTATGGGCCCTTTATCAGCAACCGTCTATTGCTAGGCTCGGTGCGTCCCTGTGAACGGGAGAGCGTGGAAAGACCAACATGCCCCCGCTGTAGCGATAAGACCATAAAACAAGCCGCTGCACGCAGCGACGCGTACGTGGGTTACATTTTTGATATTAAACCGCTCCAGTCGACCACTTGTCACCATAGCAGCCAGACTCTGCAACTCCCCCCCCCACTGCCCGTCCCTGAGAGGGGTGGACACGCGAGTTTGCAGCGCGGAGACAACGCTTGCACGCGGGAGGGCGAGGCAGCTCACGACTTGGCGTGGGAGGATTCGCCTCGGATTGACTCCGTCAAGGATCGCTCGCTCGCTCACCTCCCTCGCGACCACTGTCTCTCGCGAGCGATCCTGCGATCGCCGTCGATCGCACCGGCGCAGGGCAGAGCGCTTCGCAGGCGGGAGGGGAGCGGATCGAACGTTGGTTCGGAGGAAAGCGAGCGAGGACGGCTTCTTGCTGCAGGCACTTTGTGAGTTTTGTGCAACGCACCACCGGAGGTTTTTTTTTTTTTCCCGCAGAGTACATTTTTTGTACGTTTAGCAGACATTGCAGGCATTTCTCTTCTCTTTGTGGGAACATTATTCTCAGTAAGTAAAAAACAACTGTTTTTATGTGTGCATGTTGAACTTTTTTTGCATCGTACGTAGCCAAACGTTCGAATCGGAATTGTGGGCGAAGACAACAAATAAAACACAAAAAATACTTTTGCCTTTTTACAAGATGTTGAGGCCGTTTGTTCTTTTGCTTTTACTTGGAAAGCTAAAATTTATCACCACCAAAACACTGTTAGCTCAGCAACTTTGATGTGAACATTTAAACGTTGCTGATCAAATCCCCGCTATGTGGAAGAAGATGTTATTGCCAAAGAACACAATTGCCCATGTGTGTCGTGCATGCTTCCCACCAAATCCGATTCGTCGATATGCATTAAGAGTAACTCAGGTGAGATTTACTTTCTATAGTTACAGCGTATGAGTTATTTGCATGCCAAAAAGCCATCTCGGCTTTAGGGGCATTTTCACTATTTGAGACGTACACTGTAGACACTTTGAAGACGTGGCGATTCGTGGTTATAAAAATGTTGTGATTTTTTTTTTGCTTTACTTGCATCCAGTATGTGAATCGATTAGGACTGGAATCCAAATAGAAATAATGTATCCGCCTTTGTTGATCGACGAAAAATGGTGTTGGACATACTTGAACGAACTGACGTTTTTATCTACGCTGCAACAGTGATTGTGCCGTCCGTTCACGTCTGTACGTATGTGTCACTTGACACCCTATTCCATCTCACGGGAACGATCCAGACAACACTTTTAATTAATAATAAAAACAATATTATCTAAAGCTGTAGACAAATGCCATGAAAAGTACACTTTTATATTTCATTATCAGGGAAGATTTTGAATCCTCGACTGTGAGGATTGCCCAATGTGTAGAGCTGTCCCTGTTGTTTCTGCAAACCGTTGAGGTTGTTTTTCCAAGTCTCCGCTGTGCCCGTGTGACAGGATTCGGCGGCACCATGAGCCCAGAGAGGAGCTCTTCCCGTCGGCAAGATTCCGCAGATCGTGACAGTGACGCCGAAGGTAGGACCCCTCACTCGTGGGTTTATTGATAATCATCGCTTAACCTCTCTCACGGAGTACTTTCTGGGTCGCCGATCGACTGGAGTAGACACGTGACTAGTAGCCCGCAACCATAGCGACAGGCATACTGCATGTGGTGTACCGGATGCACTAATATTTTTCAGGTCACAGAATCCAACACACCCCAGTTGAAGTGAAGCCCTGTTTAAAATATTTATGTTAAATTATCAATAATCTTTCGATTTAAAGCTTTCGTGACTGCAGAGATTCATCTTCTTGGTTCTTTCGGTAAAGTCACGTAGAAGGGAAGTAATAAAATAATGAAAATAAAACATAATAAAATAATTCTCACGACGTTTCGACCACAACGCAAGCAGCCGTCCTCAGGTGAAGAATGAATAATAATCTAAAAATTAATAATAATAATAATAATATCAATAATCTATTCTATTTAGGATTTATATAGCGCCATATTTTAAAGAGACCCCTTGCTTGCTTCGGAATATTTGTGCAGTTCCATATTAATGAGTCGTCGGCTTTAGTTTGGGAGGACACCATAGAATCAGAATTTTTTTTACTTGGCCAGTCCCATGGCTAGAACGCTTGGTCAGCCCTGGTGATCACCCATCCAAGTATTAACCAGACTCAACCCAGCTTAACGTCTGAAGTCTCGTGAGATTGGGCGCATTCGGGGTGATTTTGGCGGATGAAATCTGTGAAGCTTGCCTTTTTGAAATACAATTTTAATGATCCATGACAAACTGGTAATAAATGGCTGACTGCGTAGACAGACACGACGTTTCTGTTATTTTCTACCATCTGTATCGCGCTAAAAATAACACCGTTGTAAGGCTACAGCATGTTAAAGTATGCAGCTGGGTTTAATGGCTGTGCTAGTTGTGAAATCCAGTGTTGAATACTGAGCAGGTGGGTGTGATGACAAAAGTTATTCGCAGAGCAGCTAGGAGAACTCCAAACCGGCGACACGGCCCATCTATCCCCACCTATCGCTTGGCCACAGTGTTTATCTTTTTTATGAGACAGGCCATAAAAATTGGCGCGGCATTTTCATTTTGATGAGACAGGGTTAGGGTGGTGCAACAATGGGCTAGGTGAGCGATGCTTGTAGTGAACAGAGCCACTGTGTTGCAGAATGACAGAAACCAGTTCAGACTCCATATCTTGCAAACCCAATGCTCATGCAGTATGGACCCAATGCAGCTCTTCGTAGCGAATTGTTCTTTCTTGTCAAACTTGTTTTTCTCGCAAAAGCGTTCCTCCGTCGTGGCCGAGCTGGAGCGCTTTTGCCACTTGTTGCAAGACATTTGCGGTTCGACCCCCGCGGCCGCCCTGGTTAATACTGCGGGAGGTATTAACCGCAAATATGCAGTGTCTGCTTCATAGTGGACGTTAAGCATTCTCTGGTGGTTTTTTTCTCTCGAAACAGCAGACACGTGTATGCCAGAGTCATGATCTGACTGTGAATTACCTGCAAATGACTCGGTTGCGAGAACGTATCTAGCGACAATTGCCACATACTACGAAACTACCCCGGACTTTATCTACGAAACACAGCGCGTTCGTGATAGCCTCACGCAATAAAAATGCCACGAATATCAAATGGGATTAGCAATGACTTGATTTGATTTTGCCCGCCAACAACGACACAAACAGTGCGATGCAATTCAGCCGTTTCTTAAAGGTGCCAATCTTGTCCACGTGTCTGGTGAGCTGTGACCGGTGAGCGTTTGCAGGAAGCCCGGTGGTGAGGTTGCCCCCACTTACTGGCGAGCGGTTTTCGCTGTCTTCGTTGCTATTGATTTTTGACCGATGGTTGCGTGCGTTGCGTGGCCCAGGTGAGAAGGAGTACCTGTCGCTGGTGCAGCAGCAGAGGAGGCTGCAGAGCGAGCAGCGTGTGTACAAGCGAGAATCAACCTCCGAAATCCGCAAGCAGATGTAAGCGGTGCAGAGGACACAACGCACCTGGCACACGGGCACCAACAGTGGCGTAGTAGTGTGGTTGGCATGGGCCCTGGTGAGGTTTTTTTCTTTCTGGATATATAAATGACACAGGTTGTCATAAGTATCACGAGGGGTTTCCTACTCAGTTGGATCATGGGCTGGCACTCACCGCAAATGAGCCGGTTGTGAAAATTCCACGATCCAATGGCAGACAGCCACTGTCGACTTCCTCTAAAGGTGGTATCTATTTTATCGACACCAATGGAATGATGGGTTGAGTCAACCCCCTCCCCTCCCCAATCGGGATTTGAATTCGCAAACCTTCCGATTGTTAGCAGTATACCCTTGCCGCTGCGCTTACACTGCCAGATAATGATCATTAAAATCAATGCAAATGTATACTCGAGCATGGTACAATTGTTTGGCGTGAGTCTGTTGTTTGAATTCATTGTGAAAATGCAGCCTTGTCAATTTTCAGGTGTCTTGGGGGAGTTTCTGCTGTTTGTCAGGTCCAAGGACACGTTGACTTCAAAGTAAACACGGATCTTTTTTCTTTTTTTAGTTTCTTTCTTCAGCTAGAGGTGGCAAAGAAGTGTCTACTGATGCGTGCATGTGCGGGCATGTTACGTGTTATGTGTGTGAGAGTGTGTCACGCGCGTTGTGTGTTGATAACTGGAGTGCAAGCATAGTGGTCTTGACACCGCTACAATAGTATAAAAAACCTACATTGACTCGTGGCAGCGAATGTTAATTGAAAAGGTTGTGTTTACTTAACTAGGCTGACTTGGGAACGAAAATACATTACATGGCATGGCGTTTATTCACCAGCACTGGAAAGACACGGACAGTTGTGCAACAGTGGAGCCGATTCCACTATCACGTGACAAGATTGTTTTCTTTTTCCCCGCCCCCCCACATAATTATTTTCCAATTGTGCCATCGGCATTTTGTCACAGGCAAATTACATTCCCGTTCGGTACGTTGGCAACTAGCAGTGCACCACTCTGTGTCGGTAGAACGGCGCTGGAAGATGATGCCGTGCCACAACAAATGGTGGAAGTTCAGTAGACCTCTCTATCCATATTGGAGGCGCAGCCTTCCGTATGTGCTGCACGGTGTTCATCGTATGTCGTCAGAGTGAAATTGTTGCAGGTGGAAGTAGTCAACGTCAATGATAAACTAATTTAATATATCTTCTTGGTTCTTTCGGTAAAGTCATGTCGAAGGGAAGTAATAAAATAACAAAATAAAAAAACATTTCTCACGACGTTTCGGCCACAATGCAAGCAGCCGTCCTCAGGTGAAACCAGGTCTGTCGAAGGCGACAGCGTCTGACGCGTCTGACGCTGTCGCCTCGACAGACCTGGTTAATTATTGTATTACTTCCCTTCTACGTGACTTTACCGAAAGAACCAAGAAGATGAATCCCCGCAGTCACGAAAGCTTTAAATCGAAAATTAATTGAATATAGTTGGGTTTTTTTATGCATTCATTTGTGATCAGCTGAGGCCATCGATTTTATTTTTGTTGTCCTTCCTCCGCACCTCCGATTAGTACGGTTGGCTATGCGCTGTGCGAAAGAAGTTCAAGCTGCATGCATGTGACTCGCTACTCTTGGGCCGGCCGATACCCGGATTCAAACCAGAATCTAAGCGGTGCCGGCTCAGCTTCTGTGTCTCATGAGCCACCCGGCCACCTCCGCTCAGAGGGGGGTGGCTCTTTCCCCTTGAGTCCCCGGTGAGGCTGCCCAGAACGGATGATGAATGTTGTTGTCTTTGCGATTGCTAGGCAGGAGCTGTCTCGTCTGGAGGAAGAGAGAAAGATCCACTCTCCAGAAGCTGGCAGTGGCTGCCAGCCATCGAGGAGGACAGAGGTACAGCGCGGGAAGAGTGTCCTCACTCCTGGCAAGAAACGGACATCTCGATGAGCAGATTGAGCAGGAGCTGCAAAGACAGCAAATGCTGGACGACCAGGTCAGAGGCTGTCTGGTTGAGTTTGTGGATTAAATGAATAATTATTAATCATAATAATGATGTATTATTTGTAATGCACTTCTTTTTGTTCACTCTCTGGGAGAGAGGGAACGATTCTAAGGCATCAGAAATTGCAGACAAGCCGGAACTGGTGCCAACAATTTCCCAAGCTCTCGGGTCCTACACCGAGATGTTTGGCCGACTCCGTTAATGAATGTTTAGTTACCGCTGCTGGTGCTGTCTGCTTCGCTTCAGAGAGCATGTTTAGATGAGAAGCCACCCGCAGACAAGGGTGTGTGACCCGTGCACTTTCATACTCGAGGAGATGGTCCAGTTTCAAAGACAATGCATAAATTATCAGAGTATTTTTTTTTTGCATTTGACTGCAAGTATTGTGGTTAATGTAAGCATGATTCCTTGCAAAAGGTGTCAGTTTTGTTGCCAGAAAAAAAGGGGAAAAACCCTATTAGTATATTTTGGTACTGGCAAAGGAGGTCCCATGATGTAGCTGCTAACCCCGAGCTCTCATTACTCTGGTAGTGCGTTGTCTTAGAACTGTGCGCCTTTGGCGTCATCTGGTCGAACACCATATGAGACTAGACTCTAAAGAAAGCTGTCTCTGGTGTGGACCAATCAGTTTCAAAGACAATGCATAAATTATCAGAGTATTTTTTTTTGCATTTGACTGCAGGTATTGTGGTTAATGTAAGCATGATTCCTTGCAAAAGGTGTCAGTTTTGTTGCCAGATAAAAAAGGGGAAAACCCTATTAGTATGGATGGGCTTCCGTCGGGAAATTGCTCTGATTCTGAGTGTAGTGTGAGATGTGGTGTGAGATGTCGTGTGTGGTGTAAACGCCCCATTGCAACATCGACCCCTACAGGGCCTACGACGCCCATTTGCGGACCGGTGCTGCTCACGCCTTTGTGTGCCACGTGGGGACGGTCGCCATTACGATGCCCTAGGCGAGGCTGCTGCGGGACAATGGAATGGCAGAGGTGGCCATGGGATGAAGGTTATTATTCACGCGATTGGCAAATATGTTCAGGAGCTACATGACAATGCAGAGGTCTACTGGGCTTCAGTAGAGCGTTTGTGCGGCTCTGCTATACTTCTGGTAGCCTTCGCACGGTCTCACGGTGGCCAACCTGATCATCTCTTTGGTTCTTTCGGTAAAGTCACGTAGAAGGGAAAAAAAACTATAATAAAAATAAAACAATACAATTGTATTGTTTTAATTTTATCATAATAAAAAATGTTTTATTGTTTTACTTTATTATAATACAAATTAAAAATACTATTTTATTGTTTTATTTTTATTATTTTATAGTTTTTTTCCCTTCTACGTGACTTTACCGAAAGAACCAAGAAATATGAATCCCTGCAGTCACGAAAGCTTTAAATCAAACTTTAACCTGATCATCATCGTCATTGTCACAATCCATGGGTGGATAGCCCTAAGGGTGTCCACTGGACATTTCATAATTTGTCTCCACTTTCCTCTCTGTCTTGTGCCAATATGCCCAAATAGTGGCCACATCTTTCTGGCACAAATCTCTTCTGTCGTCATCAAGCCATCCTCTGTGAGGTCTTCCTCTTTTTAAATCCTTTATATTAAGTTCACTTGCTTGCTTGCTTGCGTGCTTGCGTGCTTGCTTGCTTGCTTACGACCATGTAAATCTTTCGGTCGTTTTTTAACCCACTTCCCGTGATCCAATCGAGCTGACATTTTGCACACAGACTCGTTGTGCGTGACAATAAATTTTCGTGAAATTTTTGTTCCAAAATTTTACACTGTTTAGGGAAAATGTTTTAAATATTTTATTACCAATTGCTTAATGGTGGCAGACAATCATCTGACCCATAGGTGGCAGCCATCGCAAGCCAGAGGACGAGAGGACTCTAGCCGCCACGCATATAAAGGATTTATAGTGAAAAACTTTGTTTTTACGGGTTAATTTTTTCCAGTTCCTTCCATTTTTCCGAAGAACATACTTTTAATTATCCTGCTGTTGTTCATCCTACACATGTGTCCAAATAGTGCCAGTTTCCTTCTCATCGCTGCCTGCACCATCAGGTCTTCTTCTACGTGCAGCCTTTTTCTTATTTGCTCACTACAGCTTAGATGCAGTATCCTTCTGTAGCAATGCATTTCTAGTGCCGACATCTTATCTCTGTCAGTATTTTTCTAATGTCCAAGTCTCGCAGGCGTACAAAGCTGTACTGAAGATGTTCAATTTGATTTTGTAGCTGATTCGCTTGCTTCTCCAAATGTTATTGGATCCTGCCAGTACTCCTTTTGCCTTTCGTGATCATCGCTCTCTTGTGTTTATTCGTCTTTTCACCTAACCTTAAATACAGCTCCAACGAATACCGTAATCTCGGCGAAACGGACTATCATTCATTCGGGCCAAGCTGTTGTGCTAGGTACATTGGGAAGCTGAAGGATTTAAGTATCCTATAAATACAAATCTTCACCCCTTGTCTTTGCTGTGTTTGTGCGTTCAGCTGGTTTCCAAACGGCCCGTGTGGTCACGCATCGTTGCTCGCGAGTGGCCGTAAGCCTCTGGGGGTGGGGGGGGGTCCTGTTGGGAACCCTGCTTTTCTAATTTCCAGAGAAGCGTTGACCCACGCAGAGAAGCCACAAGTTAATGCTAAACTTGTGTCAATTTGCTCCCTACGCTGGTATTGACGCAGAGAAATACTTCCATCACCATGCCAATGCCGCCCCCCCCCCTTCTCCCCAACAAAACTTGGATTGCTCGTTAATCATTGCTGACCCTTGCAAAATTGGAGTTGTCGTTGAACCCGTGAACTGTTTTGGCATTGCTGTTAAAAGAGCGGAGAGTTTCAAATTTGTAAACGATCATTTTAAAACCCTTCACAACAGAAGCGTTTGTGCAGGCCAGACAACAAAAAGGTTGAACAAAACACATATATGCGGGTCTCCTGTACAAAAGCCTTCGGCCTTGTCTAGACCACCAACTCGAAAGAACTGAATGTGTGGCCATTTTTTTGGTTGTCTACGTGCGCTCAACTCGTCGAGTGTTGGTCTAAACGACAAAATGGCCACACATTCCGTTCTTTGGAGCTAATGTTCCGGAGAGGTTTTGCACGTGCAATGCTGCACATATTTGCGTGCGGTGAAAACTACGAGGGAGAGGCTGCAGGCTACAGATCGATATTTCTGGGAAGTAATAATCATAGTAATTCAATTTGTACAGCGGCTTTTCATCAAGGATCTAAAAGCGCTGTACAGGACACAGCAGCAGCAGACACTCAGCAAAAAATAATATAATAAATACATTTAAAAAATCATTTACCTAAATTAACTAATAGTTTAATAAGCGGAAGCGCGTAAATAGGTTTTAAGGAGCATTTAAAAAATATCTACAGACTCGGAGATCACTCCGATAGCTCGTGGAATAAGAGCGTTCCATAGCCTGGGAGCTACACCGGAAAAATCTCGGTCACCCATAGACCGAAACCTCGACCTGGGAATACGGAGAGAAAATCTGCATCCCCAGATCTTAGGGACCTTGAGGGGACAAATAGATGCAGCATGTCAATGATGTAGGCTGTGTGTCTGTCCATCCGTTTGTTCATTCGTCCGAGGACACTTGTCCACGTTTTATATATGGAAATTGCAAAACCATTCAACCAAACACTATGAAACTTACCAACACAGCTTACAAATATCAGTACCCATATCTCTACCATTTAGGGGCAAGATTGACTTTGAAATACCTTCAAAAAGCACTTTTACAACAACTAAAAGTAAAATGTGTGCTGTGAGGCAGTGGGATGATTTTCTACACAAGGTCGTGGGTGTAAGTGCACAAATGCCTAAATGTGCACTTGTGAGTGTGCGTTCGCGTGTTTTTTCTGAGCGCGCCTCTTTGTTGCACCTAAAAAAAATAGAGCCTCCATTACTGGGTCCGTATTACCAGCTTGTTTGGACGGTGTAATCCACTGTGTCATTTGCAAGCTGGGTTTATCTCGGCGTGGCGGTGCAGACATATACAGCCCAGGCCTGTTGTCAATCCACCGCCGGATAAACGCCTCGCCCACGACGCCGTGCAGGTCGCGAGGGTTATTCGAGGGAGCATCGGTATGGGAGCGCATGATACAAGTGCGATTCAACAAGGAGTTGTATTGCACTGCCCTCTGCTCTCGCAGCAGCATACAACACCGGCGTTATCCATGGCGGTAGCCAATACGATTCCTATCCAGGCTCAGACCTGCTTAGCTTCCGTCATCTGATGAGAATTGGGCGATTTGCGGGTGATTCGGCCGTGGGCGATGCAGACGCTGCCAATTAATTCCGGGTGCAGGAGTTTTGGGGGAGTTACCACAAATGGAATGTGTGTGTGTGTATGTGTGTATGAATGTGTGTATGTATGTGTGTATGTATGTATGTTGTGGGGAGCGATAGTGGAGCGGTTAGCGCGCTGCGCTATAAACCCGGCGACACGAGTTCGATTCCCGCTCACGGCCAACACCAGTGACGATTATCTGAACCGGTCCCGGGCCTCCCCTAGGTCGACTCAGCCTCAAATGAGTACCTGGTGAGGTGTGTAAACATTGCCACTGGGGAGACAAAGGCGGTCGGGCGTGGTGCTGGCCACCCACCCCCTCGTGTACCGTTCTGGCCTTCATAGGTGCTCGCTAACAGCACTTGCCCCTACGGTCAGTTCAGGCTATATGGGGGATCTTTGATCTTTGATGTTGAACTTATTTCGCACCGTACGTCGCCGACCGTGCTAATCGGAGGTGCGGGTGAAGGACACCAAACTAAACAAACTAAACACAAGAAGCAGCTGTAAAGAAATTGGTTTGTCAATCTAGATGATTTAAAAGCGCAAAGCTCCAGTGGCTTCCCATAACATCGGAAGGAAGAAGCGTTCCAGACGGCCGCAGAAGCGCATCTGAAAGCGCCGCCGCCTTAGTTCGATGGCAGCAGCCAGGAGGAGCTGCTGCGATGATGACACCGGGAGGGGGGGGGGGGTTCCCACGACGAAGCGCACGCAGCGCGACATTGTTGTTCCTCTGCGCGTGACCACCACCCGCCCAATTCAGATCGGGGCCATGGAGAAAAACCTTGAGCGCAAGCGAGCGGCTCCAGTGAAGCAGCTCCACCTGCACAGCAAGATTCACAACGCGAGTACGCGGCTGGACACGGTGAGCGACTCAACAGCAGCAGCATCAGCGTTCGTCCATGAGCTCGTAGGCTTTCACGAGCAGTGTTATCCGTAATCGAGTTGTCGTCAAAGCCGCCACCACCCGACACAGCCGATTCATAATGTTTGTCACAGTAAACAAGACGTGCCAATTGGTTACTACTTCAGCATACCCGGTGTGTTTCGAGAGTAAACTAACAACATTTACAATTCGACTACGATGTCTCGCTGTGTTGGGTGGTGGCGGGATTAATGGCACGTTTATATTTACGCGATCCAACCCCCCCAAAAATGCCCTTTATTATGAGCTCAGTAGCGATGGCAGGTACAATTGACTCCATCACGACATTCACAGTCACAACTTTTCACTTGCATACAACAACTAAAGTCACAGCCACAACTTGCTTTCAAGTTTTATATTTGAAACTACTATAAATAAAATACATTCTCTCTATCTCTTGTTGTTTAGAAGTGTCTAGTTTTACGTTCATGAATATTAATTAGGTGGTGGGTGTCGATCCCAACCTTGACGACTGCTGTATAATTGGAGTTTGGATTTTTCTCCGAATCCTCCAGGTTTTCCCCTCCGCATTTAGAAACATCACGCGTTTAGAGTATTTGGCTGCTGTAAACTCCACGCAACGATAAGCCATTACGTTGAGTTATCATTTGTGGATAGGTTGCTCCATAGCTCAGTGGGCCTTACCTGGTAAAACACAAACAGTTGTTTGTAATGGTGGGTGGAAGATGTGTGCTAGAGAGGTGCCACGTGTGTAAGGAACATTTTCACTTTGACTTGTTTTTCTGCCTGCTTGTCCACAGCCGTATGTGTGCACGTCTAAGTGTTAGCCTTGAGCGGGCAAGTAAAAGAATGGTGGCACAGTGGCTAACGCACTGCATTACGTACACCCAGTGACCCAAGTTCGATTCCCGCTCGCAGCCAACGTCATTGACGATTATTTGAACCGGTCCTGAGCCTCCCCTAGGTCGACTTAGCGTCAAATGAGTACCTGGTGTGGTGCGTTAACGTCAGCACTGGGGAGACAAAGGCGGCCGGGGGGCGTGGCGCTGACCAATCGTCCCGGGCTTCGACGACGCTCGCTGACAGGACTCGCCCTCTCTGATGTGTGCGACCACGTGGGGCGGGATGTGGGGCGGCGGAATCTTTTATCCGCGTGAGCAGACGAATACGAAGCTGGGTGAGCAGCTGACGGAGAACGGGCGACTGCGAGGGGACATCGACACCCTGCGTTGCGAGCGCGACAAGTTCCTCGTCGTCCACAGCAAGCTCGAGAAGGTCGCCCGCTTCTTCACCGACGACGATCGCCTCCCGTTTCTAGCTTTGCAGCGGGGTGGGGGGAAAATGTTTTGTTGTAAAAAAAAATAATTGTAATTCAAGAAAACCAGAATACAAAGTAGATTCCAAAGGGGAGGAATTTAGAACTTCTTTCGCACCGTACGTAGCCAACCGTGCCAATCTATGGGTCTTTGTGAGTCTCTATGGGTCTATTGGTGTCTCTATGGGTCTGGGTATCTGCGGGTTTCTGTATGTACGTATGTTCAACTTGTTTAGCACCGTACGTAGCCAACCGTGCCAATCGGAGGTGTGGGGGGAAGGACAACAAACTAAACACAAAAATCAGAGTTCTAAAGAAATTAATTTTCAATCCGGATTTAAAAGTACATAGCTCCAGTGGCTTCCAAATATCGAAGGGAAGAGCGTTCCAGACGGCCGCGGAAGTGCATCTGAAAGCGCGCGATGTGGTGAGCGTCTTTGTTCGATGGCCAGCGTGTACCAAACCTGGAGTGATGCACCCTCAAAATTAAGAACCGGCCGGAGGACATCCGAGCTCACGGCCGTACCGCGGCCAGGGCAACAATCGGGAGCGGGCTGTTTATGGGGGAGGGGAAGAATAATGGAAGAAGGGGGAGGGAGCGATGGGGAATAATATAACCAAAACAGAACCGGAAATAGAATAACATACACTCTATGTGGGAACCTTTTCCTTATCGAGGATCGAGTTGGTCTGGAACACGCAAACACCTCAGCGGTGTCCACCTCCGATCGGCACGGTTGGCTACGTATGGTGCGAAAGAAATTCAACATGCACACGCACACACGTGTACAATTATGAACCCGAAAGAAAATCGCGGCTCACTTTTACGCGGGCACGAACGAAAACGCCTGCCCGTGCCTTGGTCTCGCGAAGGCGTTGGTGTTTGGGTCGCAGTTCCGCAGCAGACACGACGCTAAGATGCAGCGACGGGCACCGCACTGTCTGTGGGCCATTTCGAAGCGCAGGGCCTCTCACGGGGCCAGGGGCCATGTGACGTGAAGACGCGGGCCGAATACAGCACCGTGGGCCATGTATATTTCACACTCCTGCTTTACAGATGCCGTTGTTAGCGAGGACCTATTAGGGTCAACACACCGACATGCAGAGTGAGTGTGGCATACAGCACCCACACGCGGAGTGAGTGGGGCGTACAGCACTCACGCCCATCTGTGTCTCTCCCATCTCGGTGGCGCAGTTTGCCATCGTTCATAAGGCTGAGCCAAATCGAGGTGCTAGGGGGATGTCTACCCAATTTTTATATATAAAAAAATCAGTCCTAGATACGGAATTTCAGTGCCTCCACTTACATTATTTTCTGGCCAAAAGTGACACCACATTACGTCAGGTAATGTAACTTCCGTGAGCATGAGAATGCCTTAAATAACTCCATCATCTAACCGATCCAAATATCTGAAAAAATACCCGGAATTACCCTTTTTGATCTGAAACTCGTCTTATTCGAGGTACGGGCAGGTCCAGGGTCATATTCGGACAATGCCTACACCGACGGTTGTGCTGTCATGTCACCTGCAGGAGCTCAAGGACCTGAAGAAGGAGATGAAAGCATCGATGGAGGCAGCGAGCGAAGCTCACCAATCGAGGTGAGGCAGCCATCAGTCACGACCCCCTGCTCCGTTTGACAACGACCTGGCTGGGGATCACGATGGGCACAGGGCAGACATTATTTAAAAGGAGACGGAGCTGGAAAACTCTTCAACAGCCTCCAGTCTTGCACTGTCGTTATACGCGAAATGTGCGATTCACACGAGCATCTCCAGGACGTATCCCTCGCGAATAACGAGGGAATGCTTTTACTCGAGCGCTTTAAACATACGGGAGTGGCGGTGGTGTTGTTGTCCTTGAGCGCTTTAACGGAACGCCTCGCCGTGACCGCCTCGCCATGACCGCGCGGCGCAGGGAGGATGCGCAGGCCAAGCTGAGCCGCGTGCGGGAGCAGAACGAGAAGGAGGTGGAGATGTTCCACGCGGAGATTGCGCGAGCTGCAGCTGGCGAGTGACCACGAGGGCGGGCTGCAGCGCTTCCTGCTGGAGAAGGACAAGCGGCGAGTGTCGCAAGACGAGCTGGAGCGCAGCCAACGCAAGCTGGGTCAGCGGCCCCTTTGCAATCGCCACCCTGCTGCAGGCGAAAGTTACAGAGCCGCCAGGCACACTGAGATAAATCCCCGCCGCTCATTGGTCGGTGAAAATTGGTAGCCGCTTTGTCAAATAAATATAGTGGTCGTTTTATGAATGGGCTGGTCCCCCGTCATAGGAACGTGGAGTTTTAACCACTGGCTCAAGACTGCTGATGGAGTTGGGCAATTCTCCGCACTCTCGTTGAGGACGGCGATGTGCATGCGCATACACGCGCGTAATAATGTATGTACATGTATATTTATACCTATTTGTGTTTTAACTAATTTTGCGACTTATTACAAGCCCCAGTTTGGTACGTCAACATTTGCTAATTTACTGGATTCAATGTTTTAATATATTCCAATTAAAATAACATTCGGAATTATTTTCCCCCGCCGTGATTCCACGCCAGACCTCGGGATAATGAAACAATGATCTGCTATTTTGTATTGGATAGTGCTGAGATAATAATTACCTATTTATCCAGCAAAGCCACACTGGGTCCAAAGACTTTTATTTTCAGGAGGGTCCTGCATTGGGATGTTTGGCCAATACTGTACAGTACTAATCACGTTTGAATGTTTTTGGCTATGGGAGGAAACCGGAAAACCCGGAGGAAACTCTTACAGAACAGGGGGAGAACATACAAACACTGCAGGAATCTAACCCAGGCCCCGACTCAATGTGTGCAGTTCGGTTGCTTTCCTCCGCACCTCTGATTAGCACGGTTGGCTACGTACGGCACGAATGAAGCTCACCGTGCATACAATTTGAGGCATAAGCGTTACCACGGCACCACTACGCACAAAACAGTTTCCGTAGACTACGGCGCAGCAAAATTAATTGTTGTAGTGCAGCGTGGACCAATGTCTATGCTCCCTGTCTTTACCCCCCCCCCCCCCACTGATGTACAGTTAAATGTTAAATGTTCTCCACGAGTGGGAGGGGTTGGTAACACGCGGCTCCTTAAGGACCCTGCTGCTTCCCCACGTTACTCATCAAGGACCACCCTCTCGTATTCACCACGTGCTTTGCGGCTCTTGAAATATTTTTTTTTACCGAATTCGAACAAAAAAAATTATGTTATTGTTTTTTTTCGGTCGCCGACCCCTGCCCATGACACACAAAGCGAGCGGGGCAGGGGTGGGGCCCTCATCCAGCAACGGATTGACAAACAAAACAAGCCGCGCCGTGTACGTGCACCCCATTCACCGGGGAAACGCAAGTTTTGTCTCGTCCTGAAATCGTCAAGAACGGCGGTCTCCTTTTTACATCGGCAGACGAGGCGAGACGCAAGCGCTTGGAGGAGCAGCGGGAGGCGGTGGCGCGGTACGATGCGGCGTCTCAGCAGATCGCGGCGCTGCTGGAGGGTGACGGCTCCCCCGGCGGCGGCGGCGGTGGCGGCACCGGCAGCCCCAGAGCCGGGCGCGTGGCCAAGGGCAGCCTCGCCGAGCTGAGCGACACCGATGTCAGGCGGCTGCAGGAACTGGCAGGTACGTGGACACCCCCCCCCCCCCGCCGCCTCCCCCCCGGTCCCCGAAAAAAACCCCAAAAAACGCTAAAACCCGAAAAAACAAAAAAAACACTCAAAACCGAAAAAACACGAAAAAAACTGACTGGATGGGATATGCTTTGCGCCCCGGGGAGTCCTCCCTCTGCCACGTTGCCCGAAACGTCTCGCCCCGCCCACCGGTGTGTGCCGCAGGGATGAGCCGTCGCAGGTCGGTGGCCCTGCCGGCGTTCCTGCACGCGTCGGCGGGCACGGAGGCGGAGGGGTCGCGCCGGACGCACCGCCGCATGTCGACCCTCGCCCTCGCACTCGGGCTCGACGATGGCGAGGGCATCCGCGAAGCGGTGGGGGGAGACGCCACGCACCTGTACACATCACCTGTACACATCACCTGTACACATCACCCGTACACATCACCTGTACACATCACCTGTACACATCACCCGTACACATCACCTGTACACATCACCTGTACACATCACCTGTACACGTCACCTGTACACATCACCTGTACACATCACCTGTACACACCCATAGACACTGCACACACCTGTACCCACCTGTACCTACCTGTACACATCACCTGTACACATCACATGTGCACATCACCTGTACACACCCATAGACACTGCACACACCTGTACCCACCTGTACCTACCTGTACACGTCACCTGTACACATCACCCGTACACATCACCTGTACACATCACCTGTACACACCCATAGACACTGCACACACCTGTACCCACCTGTACCTACCTGTACACGTCACCTGTACACATCACCCGTACACATCACCTGTGCACATCACCCGTGCACACCCGTACGTATCACCTGTACAGAGCTGCACATCACCTGTACACCAGTGACGATTACCTGAACCGGCTGCACATGGCCTGTACACAGCTGCACAGACACACACACACCTGTACGCACTTTAATGGTCGCTCGTGTCACCCAGCGCTTGACGACTGTGTATATGCGCGTGAGTGTGTGTTGTGTACCGTATAACTTCAGTTGAGTTGGGGGCACAGGGCTCGGTAGGCAAAGTAAGAAGGGTTCAGGGACCGCCTTGATGGCATTACCGGCCTTGTCCGTTAACTCAGCCGACGCCGACTCCTGCTTGTTGATGAAGAGCGGTCCCTGGCGTCTGCCAAGTGGGAAGTCGAGGTGGGGCTCTCTAGATGTTGCCATGCTCCAGCGTCGCGTATTCACATCTCTCAGATCCGGCGCTCCCTGGAGAAAGACGGCGGCACTGGTGATCGGAGCGGGCAGGAGGTGGATGGGGAACTTTTCTACTCCAAGTTTATGGAGCGTGAGGCCAGCACTGTGTGAACACACACACGCGCGCGCAAAGATCCCCCGTGTAGCCTTAACAGACTGTAGGGGCAAGTGCTGTTAGCGAGCACCTATAAAGGCCGGCACGGCACACGAGGGGGTGGGTGGCCAGCACCACGCCCGACCGCCTTTGTCTCCCCAGTGGCGATGTTTACACACCGCACCAGGTACTCGTCTGAGGCCGAGTTGACCTAGGCGAGGCCCAGGACCGGTTCAGATAATCGTCACTGGGTGTTGGTCGTGAGCGGGAATCAATCTCGGGGTCGCAAGGTTCGTAGCGCAGCGTGCTAACCGCTACACCACCGCTCCCCACACACGCACAGAAAGACAAAAATCCCCCTTATAACCTTAACAGACTGTAGGGGCAAGTGCTGTTAGCGTGCACCTATGAAGGCCTACACACACACACACACTTACACACCTGTTCATGCTCGGAACTCGACAACATTATCTGCTTCACTGTCCCTGTACTGAGCCAGCATCCTAAGTTCAAAATCACAGCACACAAAAACACCCTGACACGTTATGTTAGGGTTTTTCTCCTCACTAAATTCGGCTGAATTCCATCTGTGAGAATTCAAAATGTCACTTTTTCGCTGCCATGCAGCGAACGTCTCTGTGGCACGGGGCGTGGGGCCTGTGCAGTGCCTCCCAGCGTGGATGAGCAACGCACCGATGAGGAAGAAGGGAAAAAAATACTCTTAGTTCTTTCGGTAAAGTCACGTAGGTAAATAATGAAATTAAAATTAATAAAAAATAAAATAATAAAAACCACGACGTTTTGGAGGCAACACAAATCTCCGTCATCAGGTGGGACCATCACAGCCAGATTTGCTGCATCAAGTGAGGCAGGGATTCAAGATGCAAGCTCTTAAATACAAGTTAAGGGGGAGGAGAGGAGGGGGGAGCTTATCAGAATGTGGTCAGATGTGAGTGTGAAGCTTCAAATCTAGAATTAGGGTAAAAAAAGTTTGTTAATCGGCGGGATATCACCTGAAATGGCACACGGAGCACAAAACGTGGACAAGCAGTCACGGAGGAAACCTTGGATCAAAGGATTATCGATGCTTCTTTCCACAGGGGAAGAAAACAACTTCGCCCTCTACAACTACGTCTCGGAGCAGAGTGCGGCCATCCAGCAGCTCAACGATGAGATCGACAAGGTGGGTGGGACTGCGGGTGCCGCTGTGGCTGAGGACGTACGGGGAACGCTGGCGCAGTGGGCCACGCAATTGTTTTTGCGATTCGGGTGACCGGGATTTCACTGCACGCCACGGACAAATTCATTGGCGAGCGGTGTAGGTCAAATCGGCCTTTAAATTAGTACCTGCCACAGTTCGGACGCCTCGGTGTGGGTGTAGCAAAGGCAGCCAGGCATGATGCTGGTCACACCGCTCTCTGATGTCCTGCTCCGACCTCAGAGACGGCTATCGAAACGATGATGACTGCCTGCCGGGGCGAGTTCAAAACGATAGAACGGAAGGTGAAATCGTTCATAATCAACGTTTTTGGGTTTAGATCGCGTTATTTATAAATGTGTCGTAACCCTCCACCACCCGACACGGCCAATCAGTAAAAAAGCGTCACGTTGACAAAAGACAAATAGTTCACTGCTTTAGCCCACCGGTGGGCTAAATGTTGTGGCTTCAACACACCGGTGGGCTAAAGCAGTGAACTATTTGTCTTTTGTCAACGTGACACTTTTTTACTGATTGGCCGTGTCGGGTGGTGGAGGGTTACGACACATTTATAAATAACGCGATCTAAACCCAAAAACGTTGATTATGAATAACATTGGTCGCGAAAGCCTGCTGCGTGTTAAACTGGTGAAAGAGTTGTTTTGCATTATGACTGACGAGACCAATCCTGGCCACATAGCGTTTATATCGCACTTTGGACAGACGTGGACTGAATCTCGCATTGCATATTTGGTCTGGTGTTTTCTACAAGTGCTGCTACCGCATCTGGTTTTGAAGGCACACCATTTCTCTGCGTCAATGTCTGGCCTCAATAGGTGTTCGCTAACACCACTTGCCCCAGCAGTCTCTTAACGCTTTAAGGGCATCTTTGTGTTAGCTCAACACATTGCGCTGCAAATTTGGTGACCCGAGTTTGATTCCCGCTCACGACCAATAATAGTGGCGAATATTTGAACCAGTCCTGGGCCTCGCCTAGGTCTACTCACCCTAAAATGAGTACTCTACCCGGTGCGGTGTGAAAACATCAGCAGTGCGGGGACAACGGCAGCCCGGCATAGCGTTGTCCACCCCCGCGCCCCTTGTGTGCCATTCCAGCTTTCATAGGTGCCCACCAGAGGTCGCAACCGGGTACCCGATACCCGTACTCTACCCGATACCCGGCTACCCGTACCCGGCCGGGTACGGGTACGGATAGCCGTTTGCGACCCTGGTGCGGCCGGGTACGGGTAGGCCGTGAGTCACTGGTGAGTCACCGTTTGTCACTAATTTCGGGTAGGGTACGGGTACGGGTAAGGAACGGGTACCCGTACCCGGCCGGGTACGGGTACCCATTTGCGACCCTGGTGCGGCCGGGTACGGGTAAGGAATCAATACCCGTTTGCGACCTCTGGTGCCCACCAAGGGCACTTGCCCCAACAGTCTGTGAAAGGCTACGCGGGTGGATCTTTGCCCCCACCCCCCACGCGTCAGCTGACGGCCGAGCTGCGCGACGGCCGGCGGAGCGATGCGGAGCGCGACTCGCGGCTCGGGGACGAGGCGCGCCTGCTGGAGGAGCGGGCGCGAAACGCCGGCCGCGAGGCGGAGCGGCTGCGTGGCAACAATCGGCGGCGGCGCAGGATGGGCAGCCAGCTGCAGAGCGGTAGGCGGGTCCCATCCCGGACCTCTGACGCCTGCTGTATAATAAGATAATTGTTTTTTTTTTATCCTTTATATTAAGTTCGCTTGCTTGCTTACGACCGTGCAAATCTTTCGGTCGTTTTTTACCCCACTTCCCGTGATCAAATCGAGCTGACATTTTCCACACAGACTCGTTGTGCGTGACAATTAATGTTCGTGAAATTTTTTTTCCAAAATATTATACTTTTTAGGACAAAAATATTATATTTAATTACCAATTGCTTAATGGTGCAAAGCAATCATCTGACCCATAGGTGGCAGCCATCTCAAGCCAGAGGACGAGAGGACTCAATTATCATATTTTTTTGCTGGCAAATGAGGTACCAATGGTGCCTGCTGTATATTTGGAGTTTGCATCTTCTCGCTCTCTTCTCTCTCCCAGTGGTCGCGTGGATTTTTCTCCGGTTTTTCCCAGCACATTTAGAATCGGCATCACGTGTTTAGAGTATTTGTCTGCGAAAGTTCTTCACGTGATGATAAGCCACTTCGGTGAGCTATCATTTGTGGCCAGGTCGCTTCTGAAAAAAATCTATAGAGCTCAGTGGGCCTTACCTGGTTGAAACAAATGTTTTCACTTAGTTTAGACTCGAAGCGTCACGAAGCCACAGAATCGCTCAGCCATGCGTTGATTTTATTAAGTTACGTTCTACCTCTCTCTCTCTCTCGGTCTCTTCCCAGAGATCAGTTCTCTTCTGAGTCACATTGGAGGGTCTGAAGGCTCAGCTGGGCTCTGTTTTGGCCATGGCGAGGACTTATTGGAGCAGGTGGTGATGACCACCCTTGGCCATGTGGAGCAACGAGCCAACGAGCTACTGACAGCTCGTGCTTATCAGCACTACCAGGTGAGGGTCTTCACCTGGTGCGTCTCAAACACTGCCACTTGTTGCTTGGCTTTGCAAATTGCTATGATAGATCCACTCAGCCAGTTACACAGCCAGTTACTCAGCTGCCTAGTCAAACTACCACCTAGCTACATCCCATCAGCTAACCAACCACCCAGATAGTCACACAGCCAACCAGCCAGCTGTCTCCACAGCCAACCAGTCATTCCGCGCTCCAATCAGCCAGCCAACTAAATACCCAGCCACTTAACCACTCAACCAGCCAGCCAGTCAACCACTTAGCCACCTAACTCTCAGCCAGCCACTCTTTCAGGAAGCCACACAATCTTCTAATCAGCTACCCCAGCTATCCAGCCAGTCTCCCAGTCACCTGCTACCCACCTAGCCAGCCACATAGCCACCCAGCTGTTCAGTCAGGCACCTACTCAACTAGTTTAACACGTAGGCTTTCGCTACCAATATAATTCGTAATAAAGTTTTTGGATTAGATTGCGTCTATATAAATGTGTCGTTAACCCACCACCGGACACAGATAATTAGCAAGATTTGTCAGATAAACAAAAAGTGCCAATTAGTCACTACTTCAGCACAACAGTGTGTTGGAGAGTAAACCCACAACATTTGCAAGGTCCCCCTATCGCCTACTAAACTCGCCACACATCTGACCAACCATCCGTCCAGCCGCCTACCTGCCCAGTGCCTGCCACGTGAGTTGTCCTTGTCACGTGACGTGTGCCTACAACAGGATGCGGACGCGGTGCCGGAGCGAGGTGGCTCCACGTGGCAACTCCTCAGCCTCCCCCCACCGACCCAGGCTGCGAACTTTGACCTTGAGCTTCCATCCACCAAGTAAGGGATGCGCTCGCATCGACAAAAACGCTTCCTCGTGCTGCACGACTTTGGGATTTTCTCCCTAATCTACTTTCCCAAGTTCTTGTAAGCTTACTCAATTCCAGATCTATAACTCTTATCTCTTGCCGCCTGCTTGGCGTTTTAGATCTGTGGGGTTTGTGCATCTGGTTTAACAGAGAGAAACATCTCTGTCGCAGTGGGCTTAGCCCTTTTCCGTGTTTTTGTTACTCTTCTGGGCAAGTGGAGACAGCATTGTGTCGCAGTAACCTTGCGTTTTGTCTTTTTGTGAACCGATTTCAGCAAAAACAATGCACAGCGATCAGCTATTTAGTGAAATCTGATGACAGCCACTGGCATTTGACATTCATACGCGATTGCTGTTGGGAAGTCTTATTCTCCAAAACTAAAGTTGATACTTGTTGGCATAATGTTAAGCACGTCGACAATTAGGATTGTACGTCTCCGCAGGTTTCCGTGCTGCAAGGCCGTAATTGGAATATATATTGGGGGGGGGACACATTGGGGGGGGACACATCCTCCTCAATATATAATCAAATATGCTAAAAATGTCCCCTCCAATATGTTGCCGTAAAAATATTTTTTTAATAATAATTGCGATGCTATGTAAATACAAACAAATATTTGCTAACCCTTGGCCACAATATCTGGACTTGTCTTCATATAAATCAATGCATAGATTTCTGTTTATATGATTGTGGTTATGGTTGTACTTTATATCTCTGCTATTACATACAATGAAACAAGAAAAGGTAAAAAAGAAAAAAACAGATCAATGTAATACAATACACTATTAGACATTATTGTAAAAAATAAATAAAAAGTCCATCCCATATGTTAGTGAATTTCTTTATATTTTAGATAGGAAATGGCAGAAAATGAGTTTAAAAATTTAGATTTTTTTTTTCTGGGGGGGGGAGACCCCCAGACCCCCTGGAAGATTTGGTCCCCCCCAATGTTGACTCCATGGCTACGGCCTTGCCGTGCTGTGTATCTCTCCGATGTGTTCTCTCCAGGTTGTGCCGCGTAGTGTTCGACTAAAGTCTGACCTTTCGCTCCCAGCACGTCATGCCGAACGGCACGTGGCACAACCTGAAATCACACCGGAGAGCTAAATAAAAGCGTACTTCGGTAACACCATTCGCGTAAATAACGGTCGACTGCCGTGCGGAGGGATACGTGAGCTCCAGCGTATTTGGCCGTGTGCATCGGAGCGGTTTCTAGAGGTCATTCTTGGAGGTCGCCTGCTCATTGCCGCCTCACGACGCGGCTGTGTTTCTCGTTGTGCTCAGGCTCGTGAGCGGCAGCGACAGCGAGGGGGGGAGCAGCGATGATGAGCAACTGCTGACGGACACAGAACTCAGGGACAAGGCTTTGCAGTCTGTACGCACTCTCCCCTCCCTCGTGGCATCCGATGTGTATTAATCATCATCACAATCATCATCATCAAAAATCGGTGGCTACCATAATGTATGTTGAACTTAATTTGCCAGTAGAAAAAAATGATAATTGTTTTTTTACACTTTTATCTGGCAACAAAACTGACACCTTTTTTACAAGGAGTCATGTTTGCATAGACCACAATACCTGCAGTCGTAATGCAACACAATGTGAGTCTAGGCTCTAAGGAAAGCCGTCTCGGGTGTGGACCTATCAACTTCAAGGACAGTGCATCATTATCAGAGTTATGTTTTTTGTTTGCATTACGACTGCAGGTATTGTGGTCGATGCAAACATGACTCCTTGTAAAAAAAAAGGTGTCAGTTTTGTTGGCAGATAAAAGGGTAAAAAAACAATTATTATGTTGTACTTGTTTTGCAGCGTATGTAGTCAACCGTGCTGATCGGAAATGGCGGTAAGACAAAAAACTAAACACGAAAATAATAATGATCAGTTATCGCCATCAATCGCCATCATTAGTGGTCGTCACCAGTCATGCTCACTCCACTGCTGGACGAAGGCCTCCTGAAGCCGCCGCCGCCGCCGCCACCTCTCATGATCTTGCGATGCAACAATCCATCCAGCATATCTCCCCAGGCTGCACGCAAACTAAATTCATTGCTCCATCTCCCTCGGTGGACGCCCTATTGGACGCGCTCCATTCCTTGGCTGCCAGACCTTTATTATTCCTGACCACTGTGCAATCATCCCTTCTCGTAATGAATGCATCTCTACAGGTTCGATTAACGGGGGTGCAAGATTTTAGCTCAACAATGTAGTGATTTCATAATAGAGGTTTTTGGGTTAGATCGTATAAATATATAAACGTGTCGTTAAAACCCACCGCCACCCAAAACCTCTATTATGGATGATATTGGTCGCGAAATCCTACGTGTTAAACTGAATGTAGTGAATTGTTTCAGTTCAGAAACAGACTTTCTCGACATTGCGGTGCGTGATAGCGCCTCTAGTGGCTGATCGAGTCACTTCGCAGCCAGTACACGAAGCGAGTAAAAGACGCAACATCGGAATGCTATGAGACATCTCCTTTACCAGTGGCAAAATATAGTAATAGGTTTTTACCCTTTAAACTGGTACAAAAACTGACACCTTTATACAAGGCATCATGTTTTCAATAACCACAACACAAGCAGTCAAAATGCAAACAAAAAGAAACAACTCTGATGATGATAATGATATGCACTGTCCTCAAGTTGATTGAAGCTGTCTCGGGTGTGGACCAATCAACTTCAAGGACAGTGCATATCATTATCATCATCATCAGAGTTGTTTATTTTTGTTTGCATTTTGACTGCTTGTGTTGTGGTTATTGCAAACATGATGCCTTGTATAAAGGTGTCAGTTTTTGTACCAGTTTAAAGGGTTAAAACCTATTACAACATCGGAATGCATAACACAGTCATTATCCCCTGTGCGATGGCTGTCGTGTTACTGAATTACCGCGGTCCAGTCGCAGGGGCGGTTTCTTCATTAGGGCGATTGGGCGACGCACCACCAATCTCAACCACAGAGTCACGCTCGCCGTTACTGTGCCTCTGGATATAGTCCAATCAGCGTCATGTCACGTTCTGTGGAGTACCGCCTCTTTTTGGGCGATTTCACTCCGGCTGAGAATCGCCCCGAGTGTTCCCATAGACTTACATTCAAAGATGTTTTTTGTCGAACGGCGGGCGCTGCAATGCATTCTCTACGGCTTCCGGGAGGGCTCGCACTAACGTGCTTACGTCATCATACGTAAGCACGTTTCAGTCAACAATATTATTTGTCGCCACCTAGTGGAATCTTTAATAAAATAAACTGAGAGGATTGTAATAATAGTGAGTATAGAAACAAACAAAGAGATGTATTGTAAGAGTCACTTTATTTTTCATTAATATTAAAGTAGTGAAGTTGCCTTTACATGCTTAAGCTGTCAATTTATCCATTGCATGGGTGGACCTTATCCTTATCAATCATCCAGACATTTGCCCCCCCTGAGAGATTTTGCAGGAGCCGCCACTGCAGTCCAGTGTTTGTATGCTGGAATTCGACATTGGCCGAATCTGTGGTGGCCGCAGAGTTCACGTACACCCATTGCGCAATGAACGCACCACGTGTCATGAGCTTAAGAAGCGATATTGCTGGGGGGAGGGGGAAACAATCATTGACGCATCATCATTTCACAACCCCCTTCTCTCACTGCTGCGAGAGTTCATTTCGCTTTGTCGGGGCAGCTTGATGGATGATTCGTTTCTGCACGTGTGTGTGTCTCTGTGCGTGTGTGTCTGTGTGTGTGTGTCTGTGTGTGTGTGTCTGTGTGTGTGCGTGTCTGCGCGTGTGTGTCTGTGCGTGTGTGTCTGCACGTGTGTGTCTGCGCGTGTGTGTCTGCGTGTCTGTGTGTGTGTCTGCACGTGTGTCTGCGTGTGTGTCTGCGTGTCTGTGTGTGTGTCTGCGCGTGTGTCTGCGTGTGTGTCTGCGCGTGTGTCTGTGCGTGTGTGTCTGTGCGTGTGTCTGTGTGTGTGTGTGGTTCACAGGTTCTTCGCCACGAGACAAAGGAGTGAAGAAGAGTCTATGCACGCGAGTTACAAGGCATTATTACATCCGTTCAGAATTTTAAACCGACACGTTCTGTGTATGACAACAACGAAATTCGCAACAATCAAATGTGTGCGACACAGACTGCAATGAGGCTTGTTGTGATGGCCACAAATCTTGTTGGTTTGTTAGTGGCCTTAAACGATAATGTGGTTACTCTTTGGTTCTTTCGGTAAAGTCACGTAGGCATCAAATAAAATAAATCACGACGTTTCGATTGCAACACAAGCAATCATCATCAGGTGGGAAAACCACGGCAATAATTTTTTTTTTGCTCAAGTGGGAGAGAGAGTTGCCGTGGTAAGAGGTTATATAGGCAAGAAAGGGGGAGGGGCAAGGGGGGAGAGGGAGGGGTGGGGGTGTGGGGTAGGGGGAGGGACAGAGGTCGCAAACGGGTTTTGATTCCTTACCTGTACCCGGCCGCACCAGGGTCGCAAACAGGTGCCCGTACCCGGCCGTACCTATACCCTACCCGTACCCGGCCGTACCTATTCCCTACCCGGGTATCGGGTACCCGATTGCGACCTCTGAGATGAAGCCATGTTGCAGGCGCGGGTGGGTTTCTAGGAACTTGAATTGTGAGAAGAGACAAGACGTTGGGAAATGAGTGACAAACAGTTACTCACCAGTGACTCACGGCCTACCCGTACCCGGCCGCACCAGGGTCGCAAACGGGTACCCGTACCCGGCCGGGTACGGGTAGCCGGGTATCGGGTAGGGTACGGGTATCGGGTACCCGGTTGCGACCTCTGGGGAGGGAGAGTGCTGAGTGGTGTAGTAGTACCCGGCAGATATGATAGACGGCAACCAATACAAAGCAGTTAGGGTTTTACCTGGTTAATAACATCCTCCCAATGACTGCTCAATTTGTATCCATCTTCTCGGTTGAAGTTATGTCTGTTTATATATCTGGATGGCTTCATGAACTAACCTTTGATAGTAGCCCGAAGGTTTGCAGAGTACCTTGGTCTCGGAAAAAACAATATCTTGCGAGCCCACAGCGTTATAACAATGGTCAGCCACGGCAGAGGTACTGGTTCTGCCGTGTTTCAGATCTGCCTTGTGTTCGCGAACACGGTCCGAGATATGTCTTTTCGTTTCCCCAATGTGACTTTACCGAAAGAACCAAAGAGTATGGATCCCTGCAGTCACGAAAATTTCAAATCTAGATTGATAATGTGGTTATACGTTCAGCCCCTTAAGAGCTGTAGGCGAAATTGGGAGCATTGTACATGCAACATGTGATGGTCACATCACGTGGACGATGTCAGGCACGTGAGGAGTCGTGTGCCTTGTCGCCGTTCGTGAGCAGTCGTTTGTGTTGTTAAATCTACTCGTTCAAATCAGTGTGACGATACATGGAATGTCACAGATTGCTTAAAATGAAATGGTGCAGTGATTTCTTGCTTTGAAATATTTTCTTTTTAATGTTTGCATGCATACAAATACGTGAATGTGTGTCAGCAATTTTTTTTGTAATTTCATTACGATCCAATTTTATTAAAATGTCAAAATGTTGCTGTAACTTGCAGAATGCATTCCAAACCCTCCCCCTTCGGTACACCAACTCAATGTTTGGCAATGGGCCACAGAAGGATATCGCACAAACTGCACCTCCGATCGGCACGGTTGGCTACGTACGGCGCGAAGGAAGTTCAACAACACAGGACACAACAACAGCTTCTGAAACATTAGTGACCTCTTTATTGTAAATGTTGTGGATTTGCTCTCCAACACACCGATGTGCTGTACTAGTAACGCATTTGCACGTTCTGTTTAGGTGACAACCCTTACTAGTTGGCTGTGTCGGGTGGTGGCGGGTTTAAACGACACATTTATTTACGCGATATAACCCAACAAAAAAAAACTTGCATTGTGGATGACCTCTTGAACCCCCACTAGGGGGCAGCACTTTCCCATCCATCCCGTCGCGGAGGGAAATGCTGCCGTGTGACAGAACGACGTGGGCTCTGGAGACCGATATCATCCATAATACTCTAGGCGTAGGCGTTCAGGTGGATCACCTAGGGATCCACAGGGATCTTCAGAACCCTGTGGATCACCTAGGGATACACAGATATCTTCAGAACCCTGTGGATCACCTAGGGATCCACAGGGATCTTCAGAACCCTGTGGATCACCTAGGGATCCACAGGGATCTTCAGAACCCTGTGGATCACCTAGGGATCCACAGGGATCTTCAGAACCCTGTGGATCACCTCGGGATCCACAGGGATCTTCAGAACCCTGTGGATCACCTAGGGATACACAGGGATATTCAGAACCCTGTGGATCACCTAGGGATCCACAGGGGTCTTCATAACCCTGTGGATCACCTAGGGATACAGATATCTTCAGAACCCTGTGGATCACCTAGGGATCCACAGGGATCTTCAAAACCCTGTGGATCACCTAGGGATTCACAAAACCCATATTTCAATTTTGAAAATAAAATCGCTTTAAACTATTGTCATTGTAGTGCGTAACAATTAGTATTGTTATAACAATTAAGATTGTTAATAATTTTATATATTTAAAGTTGCGCATTTTGATGTGACGTCACATTTCTCACCCCCCCCCCCCCCCCCAGGTGCGTATTATAAGCACTGCGCGTCTCTCTTCCCACGCGTGCATATTTCTCAGTCATGTGCACGGTCGGTGGTGTATAGTTGGGGCACCACGGTGGCGAGACGTTAACTCTCTCGTCAAGTAAACAGGAGGTCGTGGGTTCGATCCCAACCCCCGACGGCTGAATATTTTGCAGTTTGCGTCTCTCTCTCCCCGTCGTCGCGTGGAATTTTCTCCGGGTTTCCCCCTCCAGGATGTGTCTGGAGTTGCTGCAGTGTTGGTGGGTGGCATGGGTGTTGGAGGGGAGTTGTCCGTGTGCCCTCCAATGAGCTGCCTGGAATGAGGGTACCTCCTCTTGTGCGAGTGATGACTCCTTGGGGTTTGTTGCTAGAAGCCAAGCTGTGGTTGAGTGTTCAGCCAAGGCCATTGCTTTCTTTAAAGGCATTGAGAGCACAAGTCATTTTCAGAATGGGTGTTTTGAAATAAAGCAGTATACAAAAGTGCAAGAAGCCGAGGTATCAGATTAGCCAGAAGGCATGTTGCTGATGCATTGTTGCAGGGCTTTTTGCAGCGTACTTTAATCATGTCCGTCTGCTTTTTTTATACGAATGTACATTAACCCACTGCTGAACTTTCTCCCCTCATTGTGTCAATCTTGGGGTTATTTTTTTAACGTTTCACCACCTGGGCTGTACGGGTTGGTAAAGTGGGGCTCCGGGTGGTTCAGATTTCACATCATTTTAGCAGATGGCAGCTGGGGAATGAAGCTCAGGTCTCACGGATCAGAGTTTATAAAGTAAATGGAGTTGGGTTTTCAAAACTTACTCAGTGTTTCAAAAGCACCTCTTTAACTTGCTACCATCCAAGTTTGTAAATCAATAACCAGGACTCACGACAGGACAGACCGTTACTGGGGAACGTTTAAATATTTCAAATGCGTTATGTCCTGCTCTCATCATCTGTAATGTCATGCAAAGATTAGCACAAGCCATTTAGAGTGCAACTGCTTGCTTTTATTAAATACATTATACATTCACAGCAAGTTTAACACGTGTAACTATGACATTTTAGTATTGGTGTACATTGCATCAGAATTTTTAAATATTTCAGTTTAATTTATTTAGTGAAATAAAATTAACATTACAAAATGTCCTTAGTACATTTTTAATGTTTTAACTTTTAAGTAAAATTCATACTTTTTTTTCCATTCAAATACTGCATCTGCAGATTAAACATCTGGATGCAGAGTACATTTATATATCTGGAGCAACATCTAAAATATACTTAATGATACAATTATTATAGGCTCATGTGCTTATAGTAATGCAAATGCACTTGGAAAAATGCTACGTCTTTAGTTGTTACCAGTCAGCATGAAGACGGCTGATAATTTGAAACATTCTTTAACTGGCTGTGACGTATCCAATAGCAAATGTGGATAAAAATTAATAATTCGTCTGACATATGCTATGGATCTCAAACTCTTGTTCCCGATGGTTCATTTAATCGCAGCTTGTAGAGTCTGTCATTATAAGAGCTGTGTGACATCACATTCATGGTATCATACAGCCTGTAAAATAGATAAGAATGCACTCGCCCCACCCCCAACAGTGACTGGAAGACTGAATGGCCGGGCTCGTAGTTTGTCATTCTTCCACTTCGTTTTCAGTTTCTAAAGAGTTTGGACAACCACACTCGATATCCATTAACCAGTGCCAGAGCAAAACAAGATATGTTGACGAACAATGAACTTTCAATTTGCAACATTATCCAGCCTTGGTATGCTGTAGTGCAAAAAACCCCCGACAAAAACATCCAATGCTGGAGTACAAATCATACTCCACGCATCTACAAAATGTCAAGAGCTACGTTTCACAACAATACTTTTGGAATCGATGCCTACGACAGATATCACTTCTTGGCGAGGTTCAGCACTGCCTTCACCATGGCCCCGATGCCATCAAATATGTGATGGTAGTCGGTCTCGCACATGAACGCCGGCGTCGTCACCACCTTGTTCTTGGTGTCCACGTGGACCTCGTGAGGATGGCAAGTCAAGGTAAAAAAAATTGACACGTTCATGCATTCACTCTGCTTATAATAAGGCGAGCGCCCACTGAGACAGATGTTTCTCTTGTAAGGCAAGACCTGGGATACAAATACCTTGGTGCATAAAAATGAATGCCACAATTGAAACCAAGAAGCTCCAACGGCCACGTACATGAACAGCACCACTCTTTGGTTTTTCCGGTAAAGTCACGTAGGTTAAAAAAAAAAACAAATAAATTCAATCACGACGTTTCGGAGGCAACACAAGCTTCCGTCTTCAGAATAAACGCCGTGATTTAATTTATGTTTTCTTTTTTAACCTACGTGACTTTACCTAAAAAACCAAAGAGTATGAATCCTTGCAGTCACGAAAGCTTCAAATCTAGAATGAACAGCACTGTCAATTCACTGCTGGACTGAGGACCTCTTCACCCCATGCAAGTTGTGGGTGCTATTTAAACATACATGACCATGCTGATTCTAGATTTGAAGCTTTCGTGACTGCAAGGATTCATACTCTTAGGTTTTTTAGGTAAAGTCACGTAGGTAAAAATTAAAATTAATAAAAGTAAAATAAAATCACGACGTTTCGGAGGCAACACAAGCTTCCGTCTTCAGGTGGAACCGTCACAGCACGATTGCTGTATCTTGATACGACATTTCGGAGGCAACACAAGCTTCCGTCTTCAGGTGAAACCGTCATAGCACGATTGCTGTATCAAGATACAATCGTGGAACCGTCACAGCAATCGTGCTGTGACGGTTCCATCTGAAGACGGAAGCTTGTGTTGCCTCCGAAACGTCGTGATTTTTATTTTACTTTTATTAATTTAAATTTTTACCTACGTGACTTTACCGAAAAAACCTAAGAGTATGACCATGCTGGTCAGCGTGGGTTGTGGGGTGGGCAAGGAGCAGATGTACGAGCACAGCAGTACAACTGTGTATTTTGCTGCACTTCCCTATGTTGCCCACCACGGTCCCAACAGCCAATGATTACCTGATGTGCATTACGGTTCACCCATCCAAGCTCAAAGCCTGCTTAGCTTCCAACGCCTGACAAGGTTAAGTGCATTCTGGGTGAATTGGTCAAAGGCAGCAAAAATAAAAGAAAAAAATTCCCGTTAAGTAGATGCACACCTCGGTACGGAAGAGGAAAATATTTAGCTATCAGTGAGTAGACATAGCATTTTTCTTTGGCGTTGAAATAAACAAAAGGATATGGTGACATGTTTTTCCACATGCTTCGCCCCCATGGCCTTGACAGCACCGGCAGCAGCGTGATGGGGCCACTTCCCACCCTGGTCGCTCTCCTGCCCAACGCTCACCTCCACACCAGGCAGCACACGCGCAGCCAGCACTGGAGCAATGCAGCAGAGCCTGGTGGATGAACAAAGATGCCATAATCTTCTTGGTTCTTTCGGTAAAAATCACGTAGAAGGGAAGTAATAAAATTATAAAAATAAAACATAATAAAATACAATTCTCACGACGTTTCGGCCACAACGCAAGCAGCCGTCCTCAGGTGAAGACCAGGTCTGTCGGGGAGACAGCATCTGATTCAGACGCTGTCTCCCCGACAGATTCAGACGTTGTCTCCCCGACAAACCTGGTCTTCACCTGAGGACGGCTGCTTGCGTTGTGGCCGAAACGTCGTGAGAATTATTTTATTATGTTTTATTTTTATTATTTTATTACTTCCTTCTACGTGACTTTACCGAAAGAACCAAGAAGATGAATCCCTGTAGTCACGAAAGCTTTAAATCGAAATTTAAAGATGCCATAAGTCTGTTGAAGGCTACGCGTGGCAAGTGCTGTGGGAAAACACCGATTAGGGCTGGAAATATTGTGGATCGCACCACGCCCAGTCGCCTTTGTCTCCTCCTCAGTGTTGATGTTTATACACCACACCAGGTACTCGTGCAAGGTTGAGTTGACCTAGCAGAGGTCCATAACCAGTCTTGGGATCAATTGTCACTGATGTGGAATAAAACTCACATTGCCGAGTTTGTAGTGTAGTGAACTAACTACGACATCGCTGATTTCCATACACACACACGTGCCGATGTCAAACATAGCCAACGAGAATGCAGACAATGTGATGCAGCTAAAGTGCTGTCTAACTTGTGTGGATGGAGTGGCCTTAAATGCACTCACCCAATTGGTTTCTTGGACCCATGGAACTCCTTCAGCACCCTCTCCACATCAGCATTCACTTTGCAGTCGCTACCCTTTTCAGCAAATGTTGACCTGGATATTGAGGAAAGACGTGGTCAGGATTGTCAAACTTAGAACAGTCAGGAACACAGTTGTTTAAAAGCAAGGAAATTTCCATGGGTGGCCCTCAGTGATTGTGCAAAGTTGCTACTTCAGGGTACACTATTTTCATGCTCCTAACTAAATGAACAAACGATCATGTTAATATGAAAGTGTAAAACAGGAATACCTAATTCACTTCCCTCTGACCTCTGTAACTTTGATCTCACATCACATTTTCATCTCAGAGCACTAACTCATGGTAAAACTTCACACAGGCACATTTAACCAATGTAGGCCAAGGCTTAATTTCACATGCAGGTTACGTGAGCACAGCATACCAATACACGTGTTATGCAGTGTTGGGGTGATGGCTGATGGTTACTAAGTAAAAAGATCCAGTTTTCTGAATCTATTTGACAAATTTAGAAAAAAAGCTGGTATTTGAAAAGATCCAATTTTTCCTGGCTATTCTAGTTTCCTTCCAAGTGAAAACACTCCTTTAAGAGGAACGCCAGTGTTGCCATCAAGTAATCACAGCAGAAATCTAGAAATCACCATCCCTGACTTAAACCTGCAGTGGTCACCAGCAAAACATTAAAAGTCTGGGGTTTGTCCCTACCACTTTATGTGACAGATCAATTTACAGTCCTCAAAGACACTGGGTGCTATTTTCACTGCCTCCAGCTGAGAGCCGATTTCCACAAACCCGACCCAAACTCAGACAAAGCCCATCAGCAGATGGATTAATATAACTCTCTTAAATATCAAGTCACACTGGATTGATTCATTTCTGTTTGACGTCAGTCTGGAAAATTATAACCGCCAAAATAAGGCCATATCCAACCTCACCAGTTCTGAGGTGCCCTCAGAACTCTCAAGGCAAGCGATGACATTGTGATAAAACCACCAACAAAGGGGACTCAGTGGTTATATGGTGGACATATCTCTATAGACTGAAGCATTCAGACAACCAATTGACACTTTCTTTCACTGCTAAGTCGACCATGAAAAAAAAGTCACACTTTGGAATCAGTCAGGGGGCCCTACTTAAGGCTGCAAAAATCGCAATCCAAACCGATTGCAAGAAGAGCCATTTACCCGAAATATTGCCTATAATATATATTTCCCTTTAAGGTGTCTTTTATTGATGAATGTATCAAATTATTAAAGAGAAATTGACCACACACCTTGTCGCTGGACCCTCTGAGAAAAAAGTTACAGTAAACCTCTTCTAAAAATATGACATTGTCACGTAACAATACTCACAGATTTTTGGCCACTCCAAAGCCTCCGGGAAAGATGATCGCATCAAAGGTGCTAGCATTCAGCTTGGCGAGGTCACTGACTTTTCCACGAGCAATCCGTGCAGACTCCACAAGCACATTCCTGCCAGGCATACAACAGTTACCGCTCATCACACCATGCAATCAATTCATGGGGAAAGATCACAATTAATCTTCGTAGACCCAACTAATATTTATACCTTTTACAATATTTCCTATCATAACCTCAGGTTTGAAAAATATGTGGCTATTAAGTGAAGAATGGCCAAAATGTTTTGAGAAAGAAACACTTTGAAAGGTAGTAAATAATGTCAACATTTATTTTTACATTTTACTGATATTTAGAAATTACAGGAACAGTAACACATTGTGGTCATGAATTAGTGCCAGTCTACAATTTGTGAGCAGAATCAAATTTGAATTCTTGTTTTCAGTGTAATTTATATCGTTTTTCTAATTGTATTGTCTAGTTCCGTTCCTTTCATAAGTATATCATTTGCATGTCATTTGGTGGATATTTAAGATACCTTTATTACATGTACAAAAAGATGCACGTATTGTGAGCATAATAAATCAATTCTGATCATTATACGCATCATTGCATTGCTACCATACAGTTGTGCTTATTGAGAAAAGTCAATTACTGTTAAGGGGCAGGCAAGCGGTGAACCATTTAGTGTCATTATCACACCGACACTACTCCTTACCCACCTCGTCTCTCCCATGGCAGGCTCCCCCTTGCTATGGTCCACCACGTGCATCTGAGAGACATTTGGAGCAAACATCTCCACCTTAGCCCCTCCACGGCTCAGGTGGATCAGCACACTGTAGAACAGAAAACACTTGTCTCCATAGATTGCTTGGCAGGTACAAATGTACACGTTCGACAACCAACTTTGAACACAAGCTAAAGGCTGGGGAGTGGTGCTGTGCATTGACACTCGGGAGGAATGTATGTCAGATTTTGTTTTAGATAACTATGCGCATGAGAGTAAGAAATGGAAATGAACAGCTGTCTTCAAAACAAAAAGAGGTGTAAACATTGCTGTACATTCATCGTTTGTTCCTCCAAAAGTGATTAAGTGGCTTGCATAAGTGATTTGATGAGCTGGCACATCTTGAGGTAGCCATTTTATCCAAGAATCTACATATTTTTTGCCATTGTGGTGCAAGTAGAACATCTAGTGACTTAAGAGTTTGTGTGAATAGTGTTCTTACAAACGCGATTGAAATAATGTATCACAATAATTAATTTTAATTAATCTTTTCAATGACCACGATCCATCCTATGTAATAACACTTACGAGGCTGCTTCAAGTAGCTCTGTTCCATCATATACACCTGCTCCAGACAGTACCTGGATGTAAGAGATGACACACATGGATTGCATACAATGATTGCTGCACTTTATTCCATAAATACACAAATGGAGGGTTTAAAAATCTGTAACCAAATTATCATCTACATTTAATCAATTACAGTACTGTCTCGTTAAATTTCAATCCTATGTCATCAATGCACTGCTGAAGGCCTCCCAATGCCATATTGAGCATGCTTGTTTTACCATACTTCACCTCGGTGGTCAATGTGGGTTGGTCAAGGGTTGGGAGGGCAAGCACAGGTTCAGATGTCACTCGCTACTCATGTTAGCTGTGGCCAGGAATCAAACTGGGGTCACCAGGTTCATCGTCCAATTTGTTAATTACTGCGCCACCACTCCCATGTTGCTGCTCAAAACGGTGTACGTGGAACGAAAACTGAAAAATGGGCAAAAAAAGCATGGAGGGATGCATCTTTCGAATAGAGATAAAAGGCACAGAGAGAGAAATAAATGTTGTATAAAACATAAGTGGGTTAATGAATCGTCAAAACTGTTATGTAGGCTTGGGCAGGCCACGTGGCGAGAATGAATGCTGTCTGTTGGGCAAAAATGACATGTTGGCACTCAATGAATGAAACGTGTCCCAGAGTACTTTCATTGAGGAGATGATATCCACTTGTGTGCAGGTGCGAGGTGGATTATCACATCACAGGAACGCGTGAGATGACAGGTTGCTGCAAATGTCCTGTTACGCCTTTCTTATCAAAGTGAGTGTTTGATTTACCTATGGTATGTTTGGTTACAGGTGTTATAATGGCAAATACAAGTTAATGTCACACAATGCGGAAAACACCCTCTGTACTGGTGTGAAAATTGTCTGACCGATCATATTAACATATTAGTTATATCAGGTGTTACTTGTCATTAATATATATGCACCTGTGAATGTACATGCATGTTAACCCATATTATAAGCTACATAGCAAGGTTGATAGCTCTTTGTATGTACAGACCTATTGTCAATTTAGTGCTGGATGAGTGCTTAGCCACAGCATCTGGGTTATTTCACCATACTGTTGAGCGCAGTGCAAACAAATATATTGCTGTACTGCTAAACAGCTTCCAAGATCTAACGCATTTCAAATCATTTGGTTTCTATACACCACCCTTTATATAAATGACTAATAAATGTACTGTAGCAATAGCACGACATTCTGCCACAATAAAAACAAGCCATAGGCACAAGAGTTGTCATGCATTACGTTGTATGCTGCATAACGCACATGCTATAAGTTTACAAAGCCATAAGAAAGCTTGTAAAACCTTCGCTAATCACTTTCACATGAGATAAGTCAATGTTTTCCTCGCCCATAACGCAGTACTGTAAGTGACCTTCAGAATATGCGGGCGGCGCAAACCAAAAATAACAAGGTACAGTGTCGAACTCGGGTGACATTGCACACGTGGCAAAGAATTTACATTTTATATATTTACAATGCAGGTATATACACACTTGAAATGTACACACTATTGCATGGTCGATTCAGTACCCCGTTAAATTAAACACAGCAATTGTGCACTACAATAATTGCTGTTATTGCAATGCTCAATACAGAATGCACAATGCAATTCGTCTTTTTTTCTCATAACCAGATAAGAGGCTATGAAAAACGTCTTATTTTTTCAGAGAAATCCAGAAAACAAATGATGACATGTGTGCATTGTGTAATCATCTAAGTGGTTGATGCTGGGAGGAGCATGGGGGACTTTACTTTTACCGGACCAAACATCAATAAACACAGCTCATTCATAATCAACGTTTTTGGGTTTAGATCGCGTTATTTATAAATGTGTCACACGCGATCTAAACCCAAAAACGTTGATTATGAATAACATTGGTCGCGAAAGCCTACGTGTTAAACACAGCTCACTTCTCCTGTCACTTCAAGGTGACTCCGCTTTTAGGTGACAAACGCAAATGAGCTCTAAAACATTATCCAAGTGTTGCGATGTCCAAAAGATATCCCCACCCCACCTCCAAGTGGGTTCCTGACCCTTGTACGCGTTGATGTTTCAGCTTTTTAAATCCTTTATATTAAGTTCGCTTGCTTGCTTGCACGCTTACGACCGTGCAAATCTTCCAGTCGTTTTTTAACCCACTTCCCGTGATCCAATCGAGCTGACATTTTGCACACACACTCGTTGTGCGTGACAATGTTTTTTCGTGAAAAAATTTTCCCAAAATTTTACACTTTTTAGGAAAAAAAAATTATATTTACTTACCAATTGCTTAATGGTGGCAGGCAATCATCTGACCCCCCATAGGTGGCAGCCATCTCAAGCCAGAGGACGAGAGGACTCTAGCCGCCACGCATATAAAGGATTTATAGTGAAAAACGTAAGTTTTTACGGGTTAATTTTTCTCGATCACGAGCTGCGAAGCCCACGAAGACGATAACCCCCGTTTCGAGAGAGACCCGGGTTAGAACTGCAGCAAGCTTGCAATGTGCAATGCATCGTGAACGCACCATTGTACCCTAACATTAATGCACTGTTACTGGTGACTTGAATATTCCTGCTGCACAACGCTATTGTACTATAACAACGCTATTGTACTATAACAACGCTATTGTACCATGCAGTACTGACACTACGACGATAACGTAGTTAAATAGTATTCTCTACTCTATCGGTGCACTGTATAAATGTAACTGCACAGACACTACAACTACTATACCATTACATTACTGCACACCTCTGGCACCGTGTCCACTGTAACTGCACGGACAACCGATGCGTTCTGCAACATCAGCACCGACTTGTACAGCATGTACTGTATTGAACTTCTGTTGAACAATTAGCACGGTCGGCTACGTACGGATGCGAAAGAAGTTCAACATACACAATGATAAGCTAACAAAACCCCATGTATAGCCTTAAACAAGACTGTTGGGGCAAGTGCTCTGTTAGCACGGCACCGGCGTGGGTCGGTGGCCAGCCACTACCACGCCCGACCGCCTTTGTCTCCCCAGTGTCGATGTTCTACACACCTCACCAGGTACTCATTTGAGGCCGAGTCGACCTAGACGTGTTTGACCGTGAGCGGGGAAATCCAACTCGGGCCGTCCTCGGCATCTCACCACGGCCACGTTGCCCGCGTGGGCCCTCTCCGCCGAGCCCGTAGCGTGAAGCTGCCTCTGCTGCTTCTGCTGCGGCAAAGGTGGCGTCAGAGGCGGCAGCAACTCCACGTGGAGGCCGTAGGCCCGAGGCCCCAGAGGTCGCAGAGCCGCGCACAGCGCTCCAAGCCGAGTGCACCGCATCGCCGCCATGCAGGGCAAGAGCGGAGAGGTGGGGGTGGCACCGTGACGGGAGAAAATTTAAATTAAAAAAAGATAATAACTTCGGAGGCTTACGGATAAACACGAGGCGACGAACAGTAATCAGAATATAAAAAGGGCGGGAAAGCTCTCGCCGTTATATACTGTGACGTCACCGGTCATTTGCTCGCACGCGATTGGTTGGCGCGGTCAGCGACGGTGTGACGTCACGCGTCAAGTTAAGTTGCTAATTTTTTTTTAAGTCCTCACGATGGAAACTTCGAGCAGTGGACACAATTTCTAGATTTGAAGCTTTCGTGACTGCAAGGATTCATACTCTTTTTAGGTTTTTTCGGTAAAGTAACGTAGGTAAAAAATTCAAATAATTAAAAAATAAAAGAATTTTTTTATGTAGTTTTATTTATTATTTTATTAAATATATATCTATTTTTTCACCGTGTACACGTTTTTTCTCGCATTGTGTCGCGAAAGGAAGACACATTTGAGGGAAATCGATGGATGTTATGCAGCTACAAGCGCCGTAGTGCGTTTGAGAATTTAGCTTGATGCGTATTGCAGCAGTGTCCTCTCAGTGCCCCATAAGATCTGTTAAGTCCACATAAGAGAAGAATTTCCTCACAATAATCTTCCAAATAATTAATACACATCTTAATAGAAAAGCTGCATGTGCTTAAATGCAGTCATGCACAATTAACCATATAACATGGAGACTTAACCGTCTTAATCTTATGGAAACGTGCGCTATGCATTGAAACATTGTACGCAGTTTGCTTGAATGGCCTCTCACGTTGTTAGATGATTAATGTTGACAAGATAGCGACGGTGGGTTTGTGAGGAAATCACATGTGACTGATGGTTGTACAAATGCAGCGAGTGTCAAGATTATTATTTTTTAACAATCAATTGCTGAACTTGCACATTGTTGCAGTATTGGTCATTCGTCTGACGCGCTTGAAGTATTCTGAAAAGGAAAAGCTGTATGAGTTTAGTTTATTGTCCTTCCCCCGCAACTCCGATCATCACGGTTGGCTACGTACGGTGCGAAAGAAGTTCAACATACGTGCAGCCCCAACAGTCTAGAACGATATCCCTCTGCACATTCGCAGCATCACCTCAATCGCCTCCTTCAAGAGACACTTAAAAACTCACCTCTACAATCATGCTTTTGAGCGACTCTGAGCTTGGCTCCGCGCCTCTGAGTTGCGGCCACTACGTCTGCAAATTTGCGCGCGTTACAAATTGTACTATTATTATTATACCAAAAAGTGATTATTCAATGTTTCATTCAAAGTGAACGCAAATGCGTGCTTCGGCTTTCCGGGGAGGATTATGGATACTTTGTCGATGACAATATCGCCAACATTGTGTGCAAAATATATTCACACAAAGTACCGGACAGCCCTTTGTCAATCCACTGCTGGATGAAGGCCTCTCCACACCATGTCAGTTAATGGGGCTTCTTTAGGCAGATTTCACCTTGGTGGGAGGTGTCTTCAGGTCACCAGGTTCATAGCACAGAGCGTTGACCTCCATTGCCACTGCTTCACTCAATTTCTCCATACTGTTAAAAAGAGGAAAAAAAATCTTAATATAATATGAAGGCGTGTAGTTACAGATGAGAAGCCGTGAGTCACTCGTGAAGCCATGATTGATGTCTAAAAGTGACAATGCCCATCCAGACAAAGCACAGAATCCTTGTCCCTCCACCAATTCCTAATCCTACTGCCTTGTTGGCTGAATTGAGGTCGACATTTATTCATTGAGTGCCACAGCCACAATGTATGGCCCAAACATCCCTGCCTCCTTTGACCCCACTTGCCCTCCCCCTTCCACAGCCTTGCCCTCTGTTATAGCAGTCATTTCTTTTCCCAAACATCGGCCTTGGGGGTCTCATGGCAATTCATAAACGATACGTCATGATCTATAGAGCAGTAAGCAAAATGCATTATTTATAAACCGTAAACTTCTGCACAACATTCGTTCGTTATCACACAGAGTGCAGCGCTGCATGTCTAATGTAAACTTATGATACAAATTTGCTAAAAGATAACTCGATTTTAATGTTGGCCAGAGGTGAGCCAATACAATTACCATAACCCCATGTCCCTGACCGCAATCTGCAACTAATCTCACAGCCTGCTGAGCTCCTCTTAAAAGGTACAAACGAAGCATACTGAGAAATTAGCAGAGAGCCAGTTTCCATGTATAACAATGAAGGGCATGGTGATGCATGTCCTGTGATTCAGCACTTTGGAGGTAAGGGTTGGAGGATAACACACAGGACTTAATTTATATCAGGCGGGTCTGTCTAGATAGGTGACCCACATCCAGTGTACGCATCGTTATGGCTGTGGCAATTAGCGGTGTCTCTACTCCAGTCTACCAGGGATATATTCAGTGGCAAATGATAACTGATCGTGCGAGATGTGTAAAAACTCTCAAATCTGAGGTGGCCAGGAGATCACAGGGCAGAGAAGGGTGGGTTGTGAATCCATTTTGTGGACCTTTCAGTCTTCTAACGTGCAGGTTTTTTCCAGGTACTGTGGGTTTCTTTCCATTCGCAAAACACTCCTTAAAATGACAAGTGGCCAAACTTCCCACTTTGACACTCTACTGGAAAAGAAACTGTTTTGCGATGCCGGTTTTCCTGGATAAATGGCACAATGATCTCCAATAAACATAATAAATACATACTTTGTGCAAATATATGCAACTGTTTAATAAAAACAATCTTTCTGTCATATACTATTTCATTCACATTCTGTAGTTGCACTCATTCCACTCTTGGATGAAGGCCTCCTCACACCATTTCCATGCGATGGAGTTATTTCATCATACTTCACCATGCTGGTCAGATATCACTCGACATTGTAAGTTAGCCATGGCCTGGAATCAAACTCAGGTGGCTGATTTTATATCACACTTCGCTAACCAGTGCGCCATTGCTCCACAAAATGTTCTCTGGAATGATGATGATAATTATAATGTAATCACGTTTTGTACCTCCTATTTTACAACAGTAAACTCAACGCTACCTGAGGTTTTATGGACATCCATTACAAAATACACTAGATGGAAAGACGCCGCAAAGCGGAGCCACAGAAGTAGACATTGAAGTTGCTTGTGCTCTGGGTACATCACCGAGGAAATGAGAGGCAGTCAGTGTCATTAGGTTGAAGGGGTAGGAGAGTTGTGGTGTTAAAAAAACATTTATTGCCACTTTTCGCTCATAGCTAAGGGCTGCTGGAGGTTGCACTGTCCATAGCCTCCATTTAATCTTGGCCGACAGATCTGCAATAGATTTTTTCTTCTTCTTTCAATTGCGTTAATGCTTTTAGCCATCGTGTGGTCAGAAATGGCTCGTGCGTGTGCACTTCATATTTGATTATTCTGTTAACCTCCCTCGGCCACAGATGGCGTGGGTGATTTTTAAAAGTGGTCACAGATCACCCTACCGAGGTCAAATGAAACCTTGTTACATGGCTGTGTCGATGCTGTCTGTGATGTGTTCGAGTATCCAGGTACATGGCAATCTGTAGCAGGGATTTTTGTTTATTATTTCACAGGATGTGGTTGATGGAAGTTACTTTGGCTGTACATCGATCTTCTGACAGGCCATGCACAGTCCCTCCGTTGACAATCAGCAAGTTTACTAAATCCCTCCCCCACCTCTGTCCACCCAGCAGTATAAATGGTTACACCACAGTTTATCGCTCGAAAGATTGTGTGTGATGGGGTGAAGTGTGGGGAGCAGTAGTGTAGTGGTTCCACACGCTGCGTTACGAACCCAGTGACTCGAGTACGATTCCCGCTCACGGCCACCGACAACCAGTGACGATTATCCGAACCGGTCCTGGGCCTCCCTTAGGTCTACTCACCCTCAAATATTTACCCGGTGTGATTTGTTAAAATTGCCACCAGGGAGACAAAGGCGGCCGGGCGTGGTCTCGGCTACCCACCCCCTCGTGTGCCTTCATGCGTGCTCGGTAACAGCACTTGCCGTAACAGTCTGTTAAGGCTATATGGGGGATATTCTTTGGTTTTTTCGTTAAAGTCACGTAGGTAAAAATAAAATTAAAATAAAAAAATAAAAAATAGCTGTCGTGGTACAGCTGTCGTGGCTGTGACGGTTCCACCTGAAGACGGAAGCTTGTGTTGCCTCCGAAACGTCGTGATTTTTTATTTTTTATTTTTATTTTATTTTTACCTACGTGACTTTACCGAATAAACCTAAGAATATGAATCCTTGCAGTCACGAAAGCTTCAAATCTAGAAATATATGGGGGATCTTTGTCTTGTGGGCACATCTGGCCAGCATAGAGGTATTGAAGACCCTTCCACTGGCAATTTGAGGCTTTGGCTAAGTACATGTATTGTCAATTCACTGCTGGATGGCGGGGTCATTTGAACATCCTTCACCGTGCTGGTCAGTACGGGTCGATGAAGATGAAGAAGAAATACACAGAAGCATAATACAGTACAATGGATTTCGTTGCACTGGGTTTCAAAGTGTTCCACACTAAACCTGGCCATATTTCTCACTACAGCCTAGGTGTATCAAAATTGTGCAGTATGCTGGAATAATGTGCAACACAAGCCCACCAGATTTTGGTAAAAAAAAAAAAACTCTATTCCTGTTACCCAGACACAGATGCAAATTCTCAGACTGTATGGGTCAGACAAGTGGCAACCCTAGCTGTCCACGACGGAGTCTCACAACCTTTAATAATTATCTGCTTAGCATAGTGGTCACATGATTATCCAAGGACTATCCCAGTCTTAACTGTGCTTAGTTTCAAGCTCTGGTGATATTGGGTGCATTTCACTTGATTTCATCAGTGATTGGCTAAATGTGTAAAAAAAATACATTCATGTACTTCTGATCATCTGTCTCTCCTTAAAAATACAACATATTCGAGATCATTCACTAAACGATCTCCCAGGCTGATGTTATATGGCACGAGTTTTAAGACAGAAATTAGCGGAATTATATTAACTTAATAGCCACAATGCTCTGCATTGGCACTTAGTGAGTATTCATAATTTTAAAACTATTGTTTTTACATGGCGCAAATTAAGACTTCTTGAGATTACTGTACCTTTGCTTTGTTATACTGCCAGAAAAAAAAACACATGGCTGCTT